AAGTACAATAATATGTATATGTTTTGGTTTTACAGAATAATCAGTATTTGATTTGAACATGTCATCCTTGTATCTGGGGGCATAGTTCAGGTCATGGTCATATTTAAAGAATTTAAAATCACAATCTTAAATATAAGGTTTACGTCCTGGATTAAGTATGGTATTAAAATCATGTTTGAAAATCACAATGGATTGATGATATGTGGGATATAAATTAGGTGCTTGTTTCAATAGATATGTCATCTCTCTGCCTGGAATGTTTCACAGTAGGACACTCTACCTCTCTCTATCTTACATGTATTCAAGTACAGGTGGTTTTATAGCTCAGAAATATCTAGAAAAACAGGCATTTTGACTGTGAGCGGGGTCACCTCTCCACAGATCTGACCTATAACTTGGTCTGGTTTGGTCTCCATGAAGATAGAAAGGTTTAATGAATCCATGTATCATTCGTTCGTTCATTCATTCTGTGCAAAAGTCCGGCACCGCAATTAAAGTTACGGAAACGGGAAATGGCCGTTACTCGTTACGATTTTTCCATTATTCATTTAAATACAAAATCGAAAACTGAAAAACACAAATCGTTATCCGTTTTATTTGAAAAACGAATGAACGAATGATACACAGATTTTAATGCCATACTGTGAAACATTCGAGACAAAGCAATAACGTCTCCATGGAGAAAAGCATTTAACAGGCCCTCCGCCAGAAAAGTTACACAATGCACCTTTAATAACTAATAGTTTTACCTTTTTGTGTAAACTTTCTTTGTGCAGGGCAGTCGACCACCGCGTGTGAAACGATCGGTCGAACGGACATGTGGCTGATCAGAACTTACTGGGACATCGAGAGTCCAAGGCCCCTCCCCCCAAACTTTCGCTATGTGGGCGGGCTCCACTGTAAACCGGCCAATCCGCTGCCAGCAGTAAGCCGCCAATCACACACAGAAAAACACAGGCTATGAAAGATACAGTTACACAAGATACTTATAAAACAGTTTTGTAGATATGCCAAGTTAGAATCAGAATGTGTGATACTTGAATCTCCAATATCCATTTGACATGCATGTTTTAACATGTTTTTGATGTATTGATTGCAAAAGTATTATCTAATTACTGAGTTTAAAAAATAGATTGAAGGATTGGTTGTGCTCCATGTGTTTGGGGCACATGAAGCACCCATATTATTCACAACATCATTTAATAATTATTTCAGTATTGGATGCAGTGACCAAAATTTTTTTTTAAAAGTAGGTAAAAATAGATTGAAGACTGAATGGTAATTTTTAGTCCAACTGTTAAAAACTTAAAACGTGTCAAAGCTTTGGAAAACAGTCACTCAGTTACATTTACTCTAGTTAGGCTATTGCTTTTTCTTCTTTCAGGATCTTGAAGAGTTTGTGAGCTCGGCTGAATCTGGGCTGTGGTGATCGTCACGTTTGGCTCCATGATAACAAACCTGACGATGGAGCGTGCTGAGGTCATCGCCACTGCACTGGCCCAGATCCCACAGAAGGTCTAAACCAGGACAATACCAGCACTACCCCAAGACTATACCAGGTCCTAAATCAAGTCTAAACCAGGACATGTGTGTGTTTAGGTGATCTGGAGGTACAGTGGACCCACTCCTCGCTCTCTGGGACCAAACACCAAATTGCTGGACTGGATTCCTCAAAATGACCTCCTTGGTACCTCTCTTCATCTCTCTTTGAGTTTGTAGACTTTTAGACAACCAATGCATAAAAGCTCAATAGAGTTAAAAAACTAAGATCATAATGTTTATTTTTAGTTGAAGACACCTCAAATGCCCATAGTCAGATACTTTTGCATTTGATGGCAGACACTTAAAAAAGCACATTGGCACACACCTAAAATTTTGCTAAAAGTTCAGCTCAAACTAAAATGCTCCACTTCCAAGGCTTGTACATCCTTGCAGTGTTAATGTATGTAACTGTCAGATACCTTCACTGTCTGTGTATATCTCCCCCTTTAGGCCACCCTCAGACACGCGCCTTTGTGGCCCATGGCGGCACTAACGGTCTGTATGAGGCGCTATTCCACGGTGTGCCTATAGTGGGCATACCGCTCTTTGGTGACCAGTCGGATAACATCGCCCGTCTGAAGCGCCAAGGGGGCGCCATCATGCTCAACTTCAACACCATGACATCACAGGAAATAACGTCAGCCATCAATGAGGTCATCAACAATCCCAGGTGAGTCTTGTCTTAGCAGAGTTTTAACTTTTAACTTTGTGTTGTTAGCATCATGTTAATTTACATGGGGATGTGATAAATTTTAGACTTATACTTATTGTGAAAAGAGTTATTGTAGTTTTATGAATCGTTATTGCTGATTATTGCCTTAATTTACTTTTCATTCACATTTTCTACAAATGTTCACAAGACCGGGACAGTATCAGTGGTTTATTGTATCATTTAACCTAACTTAATTATTTATTGATTGGACATAATATGTTTAAGCAGTTAAATAACACTGTTAAATAACACTAAGCCTGCACCTGAATGTGTATGATCTGTCTCTGATGACTCCATATCCCATCATCCTCAGCTACAGGCAGAGCACCCTAAAAGCGTCAAAGATACACAGGGACCGTCCCCTCTCCGCCCTGCAGGAGGCAGCGTTCTGGGTGGAGTTTGTCATGAGGAACGGAGCGTCTCACCTGCGGCTGGCCTCCTACGAGCTCAACTGGTTCCAGTACTACAGTCTGGACGTCGCCGCCTTCCTGCTGATCGTCATGGTCATTGCTATCGCTGTCATGGCAACTATCATCAAAAAGGGACTGAGACTGGGGCGAAGACTGGTCCAGAGATCCAGACCGCATCAGGACTGAAGCCAAGAATAGACAAGGACTGAATCAGAACTGAGCCAGAAATGAGCCAAAACCGAGCCAGGACTGAACCAGGACAGTGTGAGAACAAGTGGAAACAAAAGACAAAAGATGCACACTCCACACTGAGGGACAATGCACTGGCTCACAAACTGCTTCATAGCTGTGAGGGCAAAGTGACTCTGTGCCTCTGTGAGTGTCTACAACCTGTACAGCAACAACCAAGACAGAGACTGAACCAGGACCATAAAATATAAAGAATGCTTGTTTAAAGGTGCAATATGTAGTTTTCTGATAAATGGTTCTATAATGTGTTATAGACTAGCTTTACATTTAGTCATCTGGGATGTTTTGCTCGAAGTAAATACCTTGAAAAACATGCTTTCTTACTGTAACTGGGGTCATCTCTCCACAGATATGACCTATAATGTGGCATGGTGGCTTCACATCATATATGGGTATAAGTTTAATGTCGTACATGAACCTTTTACCAGAAAACGAATACTGCACATTGTAAAGTTTATTATTTATTTTTAAATAAACAACAAGTCATATTCATGTGCAGTGTGTTTTTGAATGTCAGCTGACGTGATTTAAATGTGTTTCTGAGAAAGTTGGAGATATAATTTCATTGTAATTCCAAGTGAGTAGTTTGGTCAACCTTGATTGAAGCAACAGACATTCAGAGAGGCCAGTGTCTATTGAACTCACCCGATGAAAAACAACCAAACAAAAACAATAAAATATAGGTAGAGAATTATTAATCTACAACAGAGTACTGATAATTTGTAGAAGTACAACTTGTGGTCTAAGAAATGTTTCATGTATGGATAAATAACATATTTGGGGAAACAATACACAAAATCTGTTATTTTCATTTTACAGGAATGCATCTTTGCAAAAATAAGCAATAAAGCACCTATAACTGAATAAATGCTGAAAAATAATTGTGGCAAAGCAAAAACATATGGAAGCCCATTTCCTCCAGTAAATAAAAAAAAAATAAAAGCCTCACAGGAAGTCATAAATAGGAGTTTAAAAGTCATAATATATATATATTTTTATATTCATAGATATGAGTTTAAAAGTCATAATTATGAGTTTTAAAGTTGACTCTGAATCTGCCCTTGGAAGCACATGGACATTTTCCTGGAGAGGCCATCTTCCAGGAGGTCAGAACATCTCCACATAGCTCCATTTGCTCGTTAACTTGTGAAAGTTGTAAAAAGACACAGGGAGATGTATTCACACAAATCCCATATGAATGGCTACATGCAAAGTGTCCATCGATGTTACTCTGTTCATTGTAGCTGATTTAGTCCAAATGGGGAATGAAGTACTTTTGGCTCTGTGGTGCACCTGGTCTCCTGGCCCTGGCCGGGGATTGATGAGCTTTGCTGGACTCTGGCACAGGTCACTTTGGGTCACTGAAAACATGGGCTCATAGCAAATAATTTAGGTACAGTATGAAGCGAATTAGTAAAATAACAAAATGTTCCTTGTAGTGGGTTTATGCATGACTTCTCCAGGAAAAGAGTCGGACCACAGCTCACCTGCTTGCATGGCGAGAGCAGGAGTCAACTTTGAAAACTTCTAATTATGACTTTTAAACTTGAACTCATGACTTTTAAATTCGTTATAATGACTTTAAAATTCAGAATTACTACTATTAGATTCATAATTATGACTTTACAATGTATAATTATGACTTCCTGTGAGGCATTTATTTTTTATTTACTGGTGGAAATGGGCTTCTATAAAAAACATCTCCTTTGAGAGAAGCAGGCGGCAGACCCTCCCCCAGAAAAGTTACAGTCACAGTGCACCCTGAACAAAGCCCACTGCCTTTGTTGCTTCTTGCATTGCACTCTCCTCCCACGTCCATCAGAGGGAGCTGTTGTTTCATTTCAGGGTCATAGGTGTAAAATGAACTAGGTCTAAACTTGATTTGATTGTTCATGCATTGGTCCATGTGATCGTATTACCTCAGCTTTCTCTTATTATTATTAGTATTGGTTTAGTCCTGGTTTAGAACAGTTTGGCAAAATATCTGACGTTAGGCGCATCTGTCCTGCCCTGTCCTTGGATTGGGTACTCCTGACTGGGCCGTCTCCCGTCTCTGGAGCGCACGTCGGCCCTGGGTACACGCACGCACACCATCCCCGTCTCCCCCGTCAGCTCCTCCGCGGTGCGTCCCCGGCTTCTCTCCGCTCATTTGCCCCGCTCTCGGCTGTCTGCCCCCGGTCAAATTCCCCACATCTCGCCCCTGGATCCCCCCTTCAAGGACCCATCAGCTCCCGAACCGGATTGGACTACTTTGACCCCAAAACTAACGCAGGAAGCCGGCCTCAAACTTTGGCACGCACCGCCCTTGTCCCCTTTCCACGATCAGCTGACACCACCCTTCCCCTCTTTTCACTTCACTTGGAGTTATTCCACTATTTTCACTTTTGGGGGCTTTTTGGGGACTTTGCTCCTCGTGTCCAACTTTTTTCCCCGGACCCCTGCTCGTGCGCCATCGCGTGCGCCTGACCGGAAGCGGGTCTCTGGCACGCGCACTGAACCGGTGCTGTGATTGGGTCAAGCAGTAGTTCAGTTACATTTGTTTTGGGAGTTATTCGGTGTCCTTTTGGAGTTTGTTTTCACTTTTTCCCGCTTGGATCTGGAAAGGAATTACGCACAAGACATGGAGCGAGGACAGTGAACGGACGCGCGCGCACGAGTCTCTCCGGTGTGAGGTGAGAGGCAAACCGGTGACGTTACGTAAGAGACGTAGCCTTCACTTTGTTGTATACCGAAATTGTAGCCACATCCATTCGCGATCTTCTCGTAGATTTGTTCCGTAACTTATAATCACTTTTCTGGTTTGTTTCAATGTGGGGAAAAAATTAAGATCAAGCAAAACAGCTGTCAGTTCTAATTAAAAGTTGAGTAAATGACTTCATACACGTGTCTCCTCCCTGACCACTGTGCTAAGTATTGTTGACAACAAGTATCAGTAGTCGCTCGGCTTAAAATGCATTTGAGGATTATGGCTGTAATTATTTTATTCCCTTGACATAAACTCATAAACTAACCTGTGTCATTGCAAAACTGATTTGTCTCTTCGCCAACGAGAGCTCCTCCGTGTTTTTAAATTATAGATATATTTACAAATCTTATCACATTCGTTCACTTTTAACAGAAGTTATTTTGAGTTTAAGTGTAGATTTAAACAGGAGCTGAACTAGGGTTAAAGTAATAAATAAACCAGGACTAAACTAGTAATAAACCAGCACTACAATGTACAACAGAACTAAACTAGGGTTAAACTGTTTCTTAACAAAATAACTCAAATATAAAACCATTACTCTTGGTAATAACATTATAATGTTTCTGACTTCTGATTGCTGTGTTGACTAAAAACAATAGAATTTGCCGTGTTTGCTAAGAGTGGTTGTTCAGGCTTGTCTCTGTGTCATAATAACTTGTCTAACCAAAGAGCATGTGATTTAGCTTCAGACACTCAAAGATGTTTTATACTTTTCTGTAATATACTGTAGCCACAGCTGCCCTGGGGTAAACCCACCGAAGCTGTAGGTATAACTGTACCATCAGCCAATTCGACCACCTCTAAATCAATCCACTCACCACATAGATACATAGGCAAGGTGGCTGAAGTGTCTTGCCCAAGGACACAGTATACCCTGGTTTGGGCTGGGATCGTATGGCCCTCCTTTGGTGGCTGAATGCCATCCTCACAGTGTGTGTATAGAGTTAGTTATAGAGTGTATGGTGATATGTGGATATTGTTCCATGTGACTGATAAAGGTCCTGTCCTGTTGTGATTGTCGTGTGAGGGGCAGTAGCAGAGCTGAGGCTAAAGTTAGCGGCGGGAGTCGCTCGGTGTGGAATCTCAGCCATGTGCAGCGTGCGGGGGGTATTTTTAACATGTGTTTGGCCCCAGTGTCCCTGCTCCGGACAGACTTTAGCAATCGGCTTGTCCAAACCTACGGACAGAACACAAGGGAATTTTACTGGGACTTAAGGTCCTCCCACATTCTTCTGTCTGGATTTCTTTAAATCAAGACTAAATTGGGTCTAAACTAAAATCAGGCTCTGATTGTATAATGCATTATTATTGGGGAGTTGTGGCCACATCTGCCCTGGGGCAGAGTAACAGTGTGGCTGGTGGCCTGTCTGTGCTCTGTCTGTGGTAGGAGTAAGACTACACTTGGACTGAACCAGTCCTGGACTAAACCTGGTCTGAACCAGGGCCTGAGTGTGTCTGTTTCAGTGGTCTGTTTGGACAGGGAATGCTATGGAGTCATTCATTAGCACATTCCATTCCAGATGAGGCTTACATGGGAACCATGTCTCAATCTAAACTAGGTTCTGGTTTAGTCATGGTTTGGTCTTCGTTTAGTCCCTCTTATATCTGACCTTCTGCCAGATTTAATCCTAAAAGATGGTTTTCAATCCCAGATTCTCTCAGTCTTCAGGTGGATTCCTAACATTTTTTGTTTGAACAGCTGTCATGTTGGACATAGACCTGGTTTAAGTCTAGACCAGAACCTGGCTTGGACCAGTCAGTCAGGCTTTGTGTCTGCAGACCTCTGGGGGACTGGCTCCCTGTTTTCTTTGTCAACTAAGAACAATGCACAGAAACTACTGCATACAACATTTCACCTGTACATGCGTGCAGATGTGGATAGTTAGAAACACTTCACCTGTGTGTGTGCATCAGACTGCTGGAATGCAGTCTTCTCTCCTCTCTCAGTATCAGTGATCTCTTGTTTGTTCTGTCTCTGTATTTGCCTTTTAAACACAGCTTCTGTCTGTGGAGGTCCGGGTGAAGGCCGACCTCAAAGCCGTTGAGTCTATAGACACAGCTGTAGGAAGGAGAAGTAACTTTGGGTTTGAAAATGTCACTTGTCAAATGGTGATACATTTTTTATTATTTTTAAGACAAAATTTAATTCTCACGCCCAGTTTTTAAACAAATCCAGCAGCTTTGGAAAGGAACTGCTAAATTCATATTGTCTTTTTGGTTGCCTGGAATCTCTCCAATATTGAACTTTTTCTATTTGTTGATAACGGGTACAATTGAACCTAAAACTGATACATTTAAAAAGAAAAGCAAATTAATATTGCCAAAATATTTTTAGAGAAGCCTGAAATATCATTTGAACTGTTAAACTAATACAACAATCCCTTTATTTATGGAGGTCTAAATTACAGGATTAACAGGTTTTATACAGAATATGTTCCCATGGAGACTTCATATTTTAATGTTCATGTACAATCTGTAGAGAAATTTCTAGGGATGCACTGATAATGATATATCAAATATCGACGCTTCATGAAAATTTGCTGAACTGGGTATTAGCTCCAAAATATTGGTTCTGTAGATATTCTGGTTTGGACTATGAGCTGATATAATAAAACTATTTACTGGTCATAGTTCGTTCAGAAAGTCTCATAATGTTTGAACTTTTAATATACAAAGTTTTTGTGTAGTTACTTGAGAACTACATAACACATTTTGTTGCACAATAAAGTATTTTAGTCCCTGCACTGGTATCAGGTATCAACAGATGCTTAAAGTCAAGGTGTCAGATTGGTATCGGAACTGCTGGTTTGGTGCATCTCTATAAATTTCCATTTGTCCCCTGCATGTGACCCATCCTTCAGTGCAACCTGTCAGCAGCAGTGGGCACCGGCACAAATTTCCAGATCTTGAGCTAGTCTTGGTCAGAATTGCCTTAGCTCGAGGATTTTACATATTGTGCATGTTTTTGGTCGATGGGGGAAACCAGAGTGGCAGGAAGAAGCCAACCCAAGAGAAACATACAAAGTCTGCACAGAAAGGCTAAGAGTTAAAATGTTCCCGCTGTGAGGAGAGAGTAATTGTAATTTGCAACCATTCAAATTGCATTTTCATTTCAGTCACAAAGTGGAGGCATCAAACAACCTTCTGAGTAAGTCCTGTAAGTCTGACCAATGATAGCATCAAAATGTGTCTGTTATGAATTTGATTAAAAAAAAAAAAAAAAAAAAATGCCTTTAGTCATTTCACATTATCACAAAAAAAGTGATAAAAGTCTCAACTCTGCTCCAAATCATATTATTTTACTGACAGAGGATTGGCTGTGGATCTGTTCATTAAAAGACCCAACTTCACTTAATTTTAACAATTTTTAACTATAGAATCTCAATTAAAAATTTAATAATTGCACAGCCGTAACAGATGATTTTGTTTCTTTTAGTCAAAGGAGAAAACCCACACAGAGAGAATATACAAACTCCACACTAAATGGCCCTTTATTTGTATATGTTTGGGTAGATCCAAATGGCTTACGGGAGTTGTAGTTCTTTTTACATGAATGGACTACAGTTAGATAATGAGAGGAGACACATTACTGTAAAACCTGGAATGAAGGGAATGTGGTAAATTATAGGCAATAGACACAACACCACACAGAGCCAAGACGGTTCTCATATCAATAAGACTCCAGTGCTAGTTTAGCTACTGTAATATCTTCTGCAGAAACTTTAATATCTCCATGAGGTTTTATTATCTTTATTAAACTGTTATCTCTATAAACATGCTCTGAAATGTGTGTGATTCTTTGATAATTTTATGTTGATGCTCCTGGACTTGTTTAAATGTGTTTTTAAGTGGAGAATCCAAAATATTGTTTGCGTGAAATGGTCCACAGAATGGCATTCACCTCCATGGAGACAAACAGGGACCTGCAATAAACCAAGTATTCTTAAAGGAATATTTGGGAGTGCTTCTGGGTCTGGTAATGCACAAAATATGAAATAATATGTAAAAATGTACAGTGTATGTTATGGTATGGTCTGCTTTTTATTTATATAGGGACAGTGCACAACAATATATTAACCAAGGCTATGTTTATATGATGACCTTATCGCATCTTCACTTTTTATTTTGTGTTTAGACAAGTGTTTTTGGGGGAAATCTGCGTGCATATGGTGATGCAAAAGTGTGTGGAATTTAATTGGGTATGCATGCTAGACAGCAAGGTGGTGACGCTCGGTGGTCTAAACCTCTAAACGAAAGTTAACATGAGCAGGTTGGTGGAAATACTAAAAGTACAGATTCAGTGTATATAGATAAATTGAGATAAACTGAATTAAAACAGATATTCCTTAGGGTTGAAGTGATGAAATACTATTCTAAAAACAACAGAGGAAAAAGAGGATTTGGTCTTTCATTTGGGGACAGTGCATTCTCCTCTGGACAATGAGCGTGTTACTCGAGATGTTTTTTCAAAGCTCAGTGAGATGAAACCCTTCAGAGGAGGAGCAGCACCATGAAGAATTTTGACAAGCAAACAAATCTTAGCATATATCATTAGATTTTTAACATTTAATAAGTTTTATTTTGCTGCAGTAGGACAGTGATGATACTGTCGGGGTTTCTTAGCATGAATTCTCATCTCATCAGGAAGACAGTATTGTGTAAACAGTGTAGAATCTGAGGCATTATAATTAAATGAACCCTTATAGGCTGCATCATAATTTCAGATGGAGGGTAGTAACTTCATGGGAGATTTCCTGTTTTTTCAAGTTATATCCAAATGAATAATCCATAAACATTTAACCTCATCATTATAATATCAGGGTCCTCCTACCGTCCTTGGTCTTGAATAATACCACCACTTTCTGAAGCTATTATGAAAACGTTATTTCATTTTTGTTTATTTACTGACTTTGTGCCAGTTTTTGTTTGAAATGGATAGCCTCAGGAATTAGAGATATTAACCATAAACAAAAAAAAACAAAACAAAAAAAACAAAAAAAAAAGCAAATTCCACCATAGAATTTCAGTTCAGTTTAAACTATAGGGATTCTTTTACCACACTGAGAGACATTGTGAGGAGTACCCAACTGCAGGATTATTTTGCTTGTTTGCAGGTTGAGATGGTAGTGTAGATTTAAGGAACGTGGTGGAAGGAAAGAGCGGGAACTGTTGTGTGGAAAACTCTGTCTATAATAAAACCGGGAGGGGCCTCGGAAAAATGCAGAGGGAACACTGGCGTACATGTGTGAAGACTGCTCTGCTTATATCATGAAATGTTCACTCCTGGTTTAGACTTGAATCAGAATTGGTTTAGTCCTTGTTCAGTTCCAGTTTATTCCAGGTTTAGTTTTGGTCTAGTTCTGTTTTAGACCTGGTTCATCCCCAGGTCATTCCTTGTTCAGGCCTGGTTTAGTCCTGGTTCAGTCTGGGTTCAATGTATCAGATTTATAGCGCTTTTATGGACACTCAAAGACGCTTTACAGAACATGATTCATCCACTCCACACTCTGGGTTGTAAGCTGCTATTTTAGCCACCGCTGCCCTGGAGCAGACTGACAGCAGCAAGGCTGCTAATCTGTGCCATCGGCCCCTCCGACCACCACCATCACTCACACACACACAGCACTTTCATACTAGGCAGTGTTGGTGAAGTGCCTTACGCAAGAACACAATGACTGTTTTTGCGGCTGGCTCCCTACTGTGGCACCTGATTTTCCCAGTGATCTCCCATCCAAGTACTGACCAGGCCCGGCCCTGCTTAACTTCTGAAATCTGACAGGATCAGGCTTTGACAAGCTGGTATGGCCACATACCTGCTTGTCAAAGCCGGTCCGGGTTTACCAACTTACTCTGGGTTTACTCCAGGTTTAGTATTGTTTTGGCCCTACTTCATCCCTGTTTTAGTCCTGGTTTACTCCTTCATCCTATTTTTTAGTCCTGGTTCTTGCTTTAGTCATGGTTTAATCTTCATTTTGATATATCTGGTTAACTCCAATTATTTGGTTCAAAGAAGCTTATCATTAAAACTGATATTTTTGGGAATGGAGCAAACAGAAAGACAATATGAGGACATACTGTTCTGAAACTTATCTCAGAGACCTTTGTTTGTCTATGGTGTCACTAAATACATGAGCAAACACAGCAGATAAAAAGTGTTCTAACTGGTTTTAATGTTGTTTGGTCATAAATTCAAGTAAATGTAATTGTTAATAATAATAAATAATTATATTTTTAAAAAGATGAATAACCACCAACAGTTGAGGAGTTGGGTCTTCCAAGAACTTCATCCAGAACTCATTTTAATCAGTTAATACACTGAAAGACCATTTTCTGACCACAATGTTGTTGTTGTTTTGTTTTTGTTTTTTTGTTTTGTTTTTTGTTTTTTTGCACTGTATGAAAATGTTGCTGAGTTATAAATACAGAAAATTATAATCCCTTATCTGTTGGTAGGCTTGGTGTACCTGTACTCCATTTTGGGACTTCAGATGTTGTCTTGGTGCATCTCATCCTAACGGAACCAACCCCGCCTCTCTCCGATTGGCTGTAGGGTTACCAAAAGTATTAAAAGTATTGAAAAATCAACTAGTCAAAACTAGTTTGAAACTACTTTGAGCACGTATCAATAAAAAAAAAAATATCACATTGACAGGACAGTAACTAACTTTTCCTGAACAGCTATAGCTATCTTGAGCTATAACAGAAAAAGTATAAGAGCACATAGATTAGTATATGTCCATGGACCACTGTGGAACCTACCTGGACAACTGAGGGATTGCAAATATATAAGACCATACGGTAATATAAAAAAGTACTGCGATTTAATGTTGAAAATCACGTTTATTATCTAAAGTGAACGTGTTTTTTATTGTCATTGTGGTATTGGAGTCAGTATTGAGTATTGAATCTATTCCCTGTTTGCTCTTAGAGTGATGCACACTTCTCTCTGATTGGTTGTTTCCAGATGTATATGTGTCACACTTCTCTCTGATTGGCTGGTTGCAGGTGGAGTGGGCGGGGCAGTGATGGCGGGGTCCTCGGTGAAGGTGGCCGTGAGAGTGCGTCCGTTCAACGCCCGAGAAATTGCACGAAACGCCAAATGTGTCATCCAGATGCAAGGCAACTCCACGTGTAAGTAAAACCGCTAGCTCCACGTTAAATGCTCCATAAGAAACACTGGGAAAAATAGAACTAGTTCATTTTAAACAGCTTGCAATGTTATTTGTCACTTATAAGCACTTTTCTACGGAAGCCGAGAGGGGTCACAACAAATGCAAACGCCGCAACAAATACAAATGCGACACACAACAAAAAGCCACAACACACCAAAAAAAGCCACAACGGAAATGAGCGCGGGACTCTATTCCTGCAGTCATTTCCGTTGTGGCTTTTTGTTGTGTTGTCACCTTTGTATTTGTTGCGGTGTTTGCATTTGTTGTGACCCCTCTCGGCTTCCGTACTTTTCACAACTCTGTGATCAAACCAGTGTTTTCCATGACAGTAAAGCTACCAACAACTAGCATGCTAATATGCACTTGCTAATCATAAGTCAATAAAATGTGCTATAATTAGATGTAGATGGCACTTAGCTGACATATTTTGCTCAAATACATGAGGAAAAGTCAAGTCTAGGACTATATCATACATAATGCATAATTATTTTACACATTATTCATTGTTATCCACTGTTTTGATCTAAAACAGTTTAATAATAGAATCGGGTCTACTGACTTCCCGTTTAAAACTCTTCAAAGTGACATTCATCTCTGCAGCAGATTTAAATTTCACTTTGTTGGCGTTGTAACATTTTTAACCCTGTGACCTGGAGTCTGAATATTTTTGAATAATTGTAACTAAGTACAGCGCTGTGGGCAAGATAGGGGGTAGGTGAAAACAGACATTTTCAGAGCACTCAAGCCTCAAATAAATACTATATCCTCTTTAAACTTATAATTGGCCTGGAAAGTGACAAGACGTTGTACACAGTTTGTTTCCCTATGAGTGGATCACATTGCACACACTTTTTTTTATGATGCAACACTCTGAACTACAATCCCAGCATGCCTCAGTGATCATGTGATGTGCTGCTGCTTCCTGTTTCAGAGTTATTCCCGTCAGTGGGTATTTGTGTCCCAAACATTTACTCCAGTGACAGCCCACCCACAACTGTCCAACGCTGTAGTAACATTACTATTATACTCAATGGGGAATGCTAATGATGGTGTAATGAGGAAAGTAACACAAAGGGAATTAGTACTAAATATTTATAATGTTATAAGACATGCATCATGCTGGGGGTATTCTACACATTCCACTATTAGAGGTGCATGTAGCAGTTACCATGGTGTCACAATGCACACATTAGCAAGCACTGACAAAAAAGTAAGATTGTTTGGAAATTTAAGAAAAAAAAAAAAGATTTAAACAGCACATTTTCAGGAGCCTGTGACCAAAGAAGTGTTTATGGTCCTTGCTTGCTAATGCTAACTAGCTTGTGACTGTAATATCAGAGGTGTGAGAGGTGTTTAAGTGCAGAAATCATTAATATTATATCTCTTGTAGTTCCAGCCAAGTCAGTTCTGTATGTTAAGATTGGGTTGGTAGTTTTTCCAGTTAGTTTCACATCCTCAGGAAATATTGATGACATCAGCTGCAGAGTATTATGTTACATTACAGTCAGTGTTGGGGAGTAATGGATTACATGTACCGCCGTTACGTAATCAGAGTACAAATTATGAGTAACTGTATTCCGTTACAGTTTCAATGAGTGGTAATTGGATTACAGTTACTTTGCTGAAATAAGTGGATTACAAGGCAGTATTTTCCTGTTTTCACATTTTGTGCTACATCCCATTTATTTATTTTTTATTTCGGTAATTCTACTCATTGCTGGAAACCCAAACAGAACGCGCGCAATAAGAGCGACGTAAACGTCATGTTAAAGTTGGCGGTGTCAGTCACACAGTGGAAGCAGCAGTGCATATATATATATATAAATATATATATATATATATATATATATATATATATATATATATATATATATATATATATATATATATATATATATATATATATAAAAAACAAATATAAAATCGCCTACAACTTAAATGTGAAACCGGAGCTACTGGCACTGGTGAAAACAACCTGCATAGACTCATAATATCTGCACTACTGTCCTATAGTGACCTGCGACATGAGTGGACGCGCACACAAACACACACAAACACACACCTTCATCATCATCATCAACCTGAGAACCCGCGGACCACGTCTCCTTCCGTAGTTACAGCGCGGACACCGCCGTCTCGTGCGCCGCGTGTGGACCGTGTTTTCTAGCATAAACCGCGCTTCCTCCTGTGCGCCTCTAAACCAGAACTAACACCAGGACTAAACCAGGACTAACACCAGGACTAAACCAGAACTAACACCAGGACTAAACCAGGACTAATCCAGGACTGAACCAGGTTTAAACTAGGACTAAACCACGACTAAACCAGAACTAAAGACCTGGTCTAGACCTGGTCTAAACCAGGTCTAAAATCAGGAGTAAACCAGGTCTAAAAATCAGGACTAAACCAGGACTAAACCAGGTCTAAACAACATGACACCTAACAGTAGGTTGACATAATTTAATGTGATCTCATATAAAAAATAATTTCTCTATCAATAATATTTTTTAATATTAAGGAAAGGCTTATCTTGTTACTGTTTTTTAACAGACAAAACCTCTTATATTAAGATATCGTGGTCTTTGTTTCTCTACAGCAAACAGTTGCTTATTCATGGAGACTTGGGCTCAGACAATTTGAAGACAACAAACAAGAATTTTCAGGATGTGGTTGCTACATTCATGTCGTTTAAAAAACATGACAATATCAAGTAATCCAAAGTAATCAGATTACGTTACTCACTTTAAGTAATTTAATGGATTACGTTACAAACTACATTTTGTGGTGTGTAATCTGTAATCTGTAGGGGATTACATTTTAAAAGTAACCTTCCCAACACTGATTACAGTGCATTGTTATTTTTATTGAGCCTATTATATTTGAAAGCTGTGACAGGAAGACATTTTCAATATCAACACACAACAATACAATGCACAATACCAACAATGGAACTGTATGGCAATGCTGTGAGAATACAAATATATTATATGGAGACTTTGAAGCTGATGTCATCAACATTTCCTGGGGGTGTCATTCTAACTGGAGGCACTACTCTGTCAGAAGCTCTATTAGACTTTAATCTAATCTTTATTTGAATACACCATGACTAGCTCACTTAGCTGAAGTACAACATGTGAGCTGATTTGTGCTGTTAAACAAGTTTCTCTCAAATAACATTACCGCTCCTGCGAAGAATTGTAATTTTCAGAGATAGGGACGTTCGCTTTCTTAAGATATATTAAACACAGAGCAGTGGAAAGGAATTGTCTAAAATGTGCTCGAGATTAGGTCACATATGCAACTTTAGGCTGCTTAAAATGTTTTTATTAAGGCCAACTAAAATATCCAGGTCAAATTATGCATGATAGACATACATTAATCGTTTGTATATTTGATTTTACACTCATATTTAGTTTGTGGGACTGCAGTTTATCATCCCGCCCACTCCCGCGTTTTGTAGTCCCGCACCTGCCTGCGTCCGCAATGAGCTTTTAAAATGTGTCCCGTGCCCCACTGTTTTGCAGCGGGTCCCTTGGGTGCAGGGCTCTACATTAGCTAGCATTAGCCAACAGTTTTTCAGTGAGTCACTCTCACCTTTTTGTTGAAAATCTAAAATCTTGAAATCACCTAAAATCGACCGTGAATGCTCATATTGATCAAAGGCTCCTAAAAATGTGCTTTTAAAATCCATTTTTCTTGAGTTTTCAGATTATTTTAAAATTTATTTGGCAGTGTTTGCTAATGTGTGCATTGTATAACACCCCCCAGCATGATGGAACTGCAAAATATCAATTCTATTTTTAAAGTTGCACTGTGTAACTTTTCTTGTGAGGGGTCTTCAGCCTTCTTGTATCCATGAAGTTTTATTCCTTAGCCTGGATTGTTCCACAGTGCGGTATTATATTTTTCTATCTTGCGTTTATTCAGCTACAGGTGTTGTCGTTGTTGAGAAAACCAGACCTCCGCACACCTGGCCTGTAACCTTAGCTTTTGTTAAATAAATGTTTAAATTGCCAAAAAACATAAATTACAGTAAATTGTGGATTTTGGATGGAATTTTCAGTGTTGATTACGCGTCTTTTTTTCTTTTCAACCTTTTTCCACAAACTTGACTGATATAAAATGATGATAATTTTTAACCACCAAATTGAGAAATAATTAGAAAAACATGACAATATCGCATGCAGACTTTAAGGAACATTATTTTTAAGGTACCCTACTCAGCTTTTCTGCTGGAAGGTCTCCTACCTGCTTGTCTCCATGGAGATGTTTCTACTTTCCTTGAAATGTTGCATGGTATGACATTAAACATATCCATCTAACATTCATTACAGGAGTGTCGTGTGCTCAAAAATAAAACATTTCCTTCTGTGAATAAGGGCGACTCTCCACAGTAATATATGTTTGTGCTGTACCCTGCTTGTCTCCCTCATGGTAGATGGGTTTAGTCTATACTGTGGACAATCTAAACAAAGCAATAATATTTTCATGGAGGCAAGCAGGTGGCAGACCCTCCTCTACAAAAGTTACACGGTGCACCTTCAAAGTAGCAGCACCTTTTACCTTCATACTGTTTCTGGCTACTCTCCCCACATCTGGTCACAATGAAGCATGCCGACACAGCCCTGTGTTTTTAAATGCCTGTATTCTGTCTCTGCACTAATGCCAACCAGACAGTCCTCCAAAGCAAACGGACTACAATCCCAGCATGCCTCAGTGATCATGTGACCGTGCAGACGTTGCTGTGGGAATGTGTCTGTTTTTGGCGTTAATGACAGACTTGTGATGCTTTGGAATTTGAGGCTTAAAATTTAACAGTGGCGATAGAAATTCCTGGGCCAATGGACTACAATACCCAGCATGCTTCAGTGGTCATGTGATATGCTGACAAATTTACAGCTCTATAAGAAGCATACCAGCACTCCTGTTTCATACCATGGTGTTTTCAATTTCTGTTTACAATTGTATGTGTTCTCATCCTCGTAGCTATTGTAAATGTAAGATTATGACAGAAAATCTTGGTGGAGTGGGTCTGACCAGAACAACTTTTTAATATCTCAATCTAATCTTTCTAACAAATATTACAATTGAATTGAAGTGCAGTTGAAACAATGAAATAAAACACAACTCCAGGCATGCTTTTGAGGAGTTAACACCATTTTAACATGACTTAAAGCTCAAAAGTGTCAATTTTGCACAATATAAAACCTTTAAGTAATAATGTTGTTTCATCATTGTTACAGGGCCTGTGTCCAATTTAACATGTATTTGAGAAAAATTTGCCCTACCCCAGTACCCCAGTAATATTGTATAAGCAGCCTATATTATAAAGCATTTTCTTGTCAGAGAATCAAGAAGTGCTCTGTTCACATGCTAGTTATTTTGAGCTTTACTGTGATGATAAGTTGTGAAAACCACCTATAAATTCATCATGGTGAATAATTAAGATGCTTGGAATGCATAAGGTGAGGAACAACTCTGGGCCACTGCAAACATTTAAACTACTTCTATCTTTCTTGTTTTTAAGACAGTAAGAACCTTTAACTTGCATTTGAAGATTAAATGAACAGAGATTCTCCATTTTCACAGACTCCCTATTTCTCCACCCACATCCCTGATTATTCAAAATGTTCAGACTCCAGGATAAACCTGTGTAGGATTTAAAAAAATTGTAAAAACATAATATATATTTTTGAAAATGGTCCTTTCTTTGCCTGTTTTATGCTGACAGTTCTGTTAGTTTCTGCAAGGCATGCTAGTAGTCTCAGCAGAGATGTTGGCTTGTTTAAATATAAAAGAATGAGAACTTCACACATCAATTACTTGAGACAGGTGCGTTGGAGGAGAGGGAGCAGCCCGAGAATATAGAGAAAAAAATCCCGTACACCGTCTTACTTGCAAATTGGGAGATTTATTAGGACAAACCGTGCAACGTTTCAGCACTAGGCCTTCATCAGGCAAACTCTCTCTCTTTTTTTCTCTATGTAGCTTGTTTAAATACAAAATACCGGTTCTTGGTACTCAAACATTGTTACTGTATGGACTACAATCCCAGCATGCCTCTGTGGACACATGATATGCTGCCATTTCAACACACCAGTTATTATTAGATGCATATTTTTGTCCGAGGTGTTAATGAAGTAATAGTTTGACGTGTGTTGTTTTCGTATCCTGTTCAAAATCTAAAAACTCTGGTCTGATCTTAACTGTATTTTAGTAAGTAAGTAAGAGTAGTCCAACCTGTCATAGGCACTTTAAGGGTATTACTAAGGTACCCCAGAATTTTCCCACTGTGGCTTAGTAAATAATTATTAACCAATGCTGTTTTCTAAAAATACTTAGCGATGCTCAGCCAAATAAAGATTTCAGTGACGCATGATACAGAGGCCAGTTTGTGCAGAGTGGAAGAGGAAGCATGTATATTCAAGGTATCACTAAAGTCTAGAACTGAAAGCGTGGTTAGCCCATCTCCTGCCTCTCATCAGTGGGTTGTGGGTTAGACTTTCATGGTAAATGAGTAAGAGTGAATGGTTGTTTGTCATTCCCTGTTGCTTGATTTCACAAGTCACGAGTTTAACCAAACAAAAGCTGCATTCTTATCTTAAAGACATTATCTACAAATAATGTTTAGTATTTTCAATCTTATGACCTAGAACAAAAAGTCTGAAAATGTATTTTGGGTGATGTGAGTTGTTACAGATTTCCAAACCTATTTCTAAAATAGGTTAAGTGAAAATATCAAAGGGAAGCAATGATTAAAATGTGTACTTGAGAATAAAAGGCTCATCATAATCGTATTTTGATCACCGTTATCGACAATACAGACGCTAAAACTTGTGCGAAAATATCAGCATAACAAAGCATTATAAAATCAAAATGTCAGAACAGAATAAATCAATTTTCATCAGTATTAATATACTTTGTTTGTAATTACGATCTAACTAGAAGCTTTTAGTCACTAGATTTCGAGGTTTAGAGAATTTAAGAATTAGAAATAATCATTTGTTTAGTCAACTAATCAAAAAAATAAGTGCTGAAAAGCTTGCTAAAATAATTTTTTGTTGCAGCGCTAGAATTTAAGAACTGGACTGAGGCTGAAGACTGGGCTTAGGACTTGACCAGAACTAGACCAGACCTAGAACAGACTTAAATGAAGACTATACTAATACTCCAGTATATATTGTAGTGTTGTCATGATACGGCAATTTCAATTCATAGACTCAGTATTACTTACTATGTGGGTTTATATCCGTGTAATCCCTCGGTCGTCCCGGTAGGTCCCATACTGGTCCATGTGCGTAAACTAGTCTATGTGGTCTGGTTCTGATACAGCTCAAGATCATTCTTTAGTTTCATGTATGTCTGCTTGATGTAACTTTTTAGTATCCATACCTGCTCAAATTAGTATCTGGTTTTGATAATAGTTTTAGTATCGACTAATATCTGATTTTTGATACTGTTTTTTCCTATCAGTTCCGATGTCCGATATTTGTACAACAACCAATTTTTGATGATACTGATTTCACAGTTTTAATAAGTACAGCAAGGTTTACAAATCAATTTCAATTTGGAGCAAATTTCACAAATGTCACAACTAATAATAGGCCAATAATATTTAATACAGATGGACGTAGATCAAATTAATATTGTTGAAATGCAGATTTTTTTATGTAATACAGTGAGTTCTTGGGTGTAGTCATGAATGGAAATTACAGTTTCAACATTTCTGAACTGGCCTTTTAGATATTTCATGGCAAAGTACAACGTTATCAATAGGAAAAACTGACTCCTGCCGCCATTCTGGGACTATGACATCATCACAATCTAGACTCTGAAAAGCACCATTTGGCAGTTTTGAAATCTGCCTGTTTTGATAATAAAGTTTGTGTGTATTGTTTTCCAGGTATCAGTAACCCGAAACAAAACAAGGATGGAGCCAAGACCTTTACTTTTGATTATTCCTACTGGTCCCACACGACGGTATGTAACTCTTCTGTTACTTTAAACGGCCCATATTATTCTGTTTTCTGATCTCTTATAATGCTGTTTCAAAAACATATGCAGAATTTAGTTTCATTCACACATGTTTAACACACAAACCCTGCATATTTAGGCTGAGTTCTTCTCTCAGATAAAAACCATGTCATGTGGTAATACACCGTCACTAGAATCATTGGGATTTCAACCATGGAATTGCCAATCTCTGCTGAACTAAAGGCAAAAATAAGCTACGGCAGAGCATTTTATTCTTTAGTAATTAATCACTAGATTTATATAGCTCCTTTCAAGACACAAAGCTTTGTGCTTTGACAAGCAGGTATGGCCACTTTTGAGGTTTAGAGATGTAGACATCCTAATAATAAATAATTACTCAAACACGTGTGAATAAAACAAAACACTCCTGGTATGTTTCGGCTGAGGTAACTTTACCACATGTCTTAAAGCTCACAAGAATCCATTTTGCATAACATAGGACCTTTAATCCGGATGTAATATGCATAAAAGTAGATAAGTAATTAAAGTAATTAGACCTTGTCATAATTCTACAAAAATATTTAATCTCTTAAAAAAAAAAAAGAATAATTAGTCCTGACTACTCCTAACGTCTTTTCTTTTATGAATTTGTTATATTTCCTTTTTTTATTTCCAGGACGAGGACCCCGCTTTTGCCACTCAAAAAAAAGTGTACAAAGATATCGGTGAGGAGATGCTGCTTCATGCATTTGAAGGTAATTTTCACCTCTGCTCCATCTGACTCTGTCCTCTGCATCCTCTGTTCCTCTTCTGGGAGATAATGCCATAATCTGTGAAAACACCTGAAAATAACCTTTAAAATCTCTTTCACAGGGTACAATGTGTGTATTTTTGCATATGGCCAGACGGGGGCAGGCAAGAGCTACACCATGATGGGCAAACAGGAGACGGGGCAAGAGGGCATAATCCCTCAGGTGAGTCTGACTAAACCTGTGCTGTAACTTTCATTATGATTAAACATTTTCCACTAAATTTAATGACGCTTCTGTCCTCAGCTTTGTGAAGAACTGTTCCAGAAAACTGGGGAAAACCAGGACCCAGATCTGCAGTATTCTGTCGAGGTATTAGACCAGGACTCAACCAGGACTGAGCAATGATTGAGCCAGGACCGAACCAGAACTTAACTTAGCCTGGCACAGCCAAACTCTGAAAAGCAATAGAGTGTGGGATACAAATTGTGCAACCACAAGGAAGACCAGTGATCTGCCAAAATAATAATGTAAATTTCGCGAGAATGCAGAAGGCAATCAGTTTTATTTTTTGTTCAAAGATTTTTTGTGGAAGAAGCCCAGATGTCTCTTCTGCTGTCAGCAAACAGCTTGTAGTTTGTATAAATTCAGGCAAAAATGCAGTTCCACGAGCTCTGGGTCTTAATCTTTGTTTAAAAAACACATGCAGTGTCCGTTTGAAAAATCACAGTACTGGAAAACGTAGATAGATGTGAATGAATGTAACTAAACCACTAGACCAGACTGAGATCCTCTGTTTGAAATGCAGACTCAAATGAGAACTAAACTCATTTTCTCAACTGTGCAGGTGTCATACATGGAGATTTATTGTGAGCGCGTGAGGGACCTGTTGAACCCGATGTCTCAGGGCACTCTGAAGGTCCGAGAGCACCCCATCCTGGGTCCATACGTCCAGGACCTGTCCAAACTCGCCGTGACCGGATTCTGCGACATCCAGGACCTCATGGACGCCGGGAACAAAGCCAGGTTTGGTCCCAGACTCCGACTCGGACTAATGATTTGTTCAGACCACAGTATCAGGGGTGTCTAGTTTAAGTTTATGGTGGTACAACACTTCCTCTGTGTGTTTCAAGCATTCACACAGCACATTTTGACCAGAGTTTAAAAAATTTAACTTTTGGCTAAATTTAATGCACGTCAACAAGCATCTGTCCTCAAGTGCAAAGGCGTCCAACTAGAGGCATTTGGCTTAATTTTGACGCCGCGCTCTGAACCCAGTATACGACTTATACAAAGACTTGGACTCGAACTAGAATCAGAAAGGTTTTATTACTCATATCCTGGAGATGTAGAGGCCCTGGAGAGATGGGAGGCTGCAGCCAGTCACCTTCTGAGTTCTGCTGCAATCTCTGTCTGTCCTTGGCTGCCAGTACCTGAACCAAAACTAAACCAGAACTTGGACCAAGATGAACCAGAACGTGTTCATTTTATTTTTCCAGAACTGTAGCGGCCACCAACATGAACGAGACTTCCTCCAGATCTCACGCTGTTTTCACCATCGTCTTCACCCAGAAACGCAGAGACCAGCTGACTGGCCTCGACACTGAGAAGGTACTATCAAAACCTGGTCTATAACCAGACCTCACACCTGGTTTAGTTCTGGTTTAGTCTCAGTGTAGATCTGGTGTAGTCCTACCTGTCATATGGATGGGGAGATTTATTTTTTTGTCATTTTAAATTTGTTTTCCAGGTGAGTAAGATCAGTCTGGTGGATTTGGCTGGAAGTGAAAGAGCCGATTCTTCAGGCGCCAAAGGCACACGACTGAAGGTGAGAAAACAAAATCTAAACTACAAAATATAAAAAATAAAGATTCACATCTGGATACTCTGCTTTTGCATTGTATAAAACTCTTCTTTGTCTTCAGGAAGGAGCCAATATCAATAAGTCCCTGACGACGCTAGGCAAAGTCATTTCAGCTCTGGCTGAAATGGTAAGTGCAGTTTAATATTTTTTAACCTTCAAATCTTTTTTTTTATTTTTTTTTTATGCCAAATTGTTCAAAAATATTTCATGTTTTTTTATTTATTTATTTATTTTAGCAAGGCACAAAGAAAAGGAAAAGTGACTTCATTCCCTACAGAGACTCGGTCCTAACCTGGCTCCTCAAAGAAAATCTTGGTGAGAGCTCTTTTAGACCCTGGTTTAGACCTGGTTCAGTCTCGCTTCAGTCCCAGTTTAGACCCGAGTTAGTCATAATTTGGACCCATAGGCTTGTCCAAATTTAGGTTGGCTAATAAAGCAAGAAAAATAATAGCTTAATTTTGTTACATACTAAGAATGTCATATTTACTTGCAAATATTAATAAATAAATAGCTTAAGATATTGGCAAAATAAATCCTTTTTGCAGTCCTAGTTTGGTCCCTTGGTATTTACTGTTATATTGTTATACTGTTATACTGTAGCGTCTATTATCAGACCTCTGTATAATTGTACCCAACCTAATGAGCCTAATCAATTTTAGTTTAGATCTGGTTAATTGATGTTTTAGGGTTCTATTTGGTTTATTTTAACAATTTATAAATGTAAATTTTTTTCAGGTGGAAATTCACGAACGGCGATGATTGCAGCTTTGAGTCCAGCTGACATCAACTATGAAGAGACCCTCAGCACGCTCAGGTCTGAACCTTGGAGCTTGAATTGATAAGAATAAGATTACATAGAGAATACAGGTCACGTGAGACTGTTTGGTGGTTAATAGATACGCAGACCGGGCCAAGCAGATCCGCTGTAACGCCATCATCAATGAAGACCCCAACGCCAAACTGATCCGAGACCTCAAGAGCGAAGTGGAGAGACTGAGGAGCCTGCTCTGCTCCCAGGGGCTGCATGACCTACTGCAAAACCAAGGTACTACTATTATTACTACCACTGCTCCTGCTATTACTGCTAATACCATTACATTACTTGCCAAAAAAAGTAGTAGTTAATGTCTTATTTCAAATCATCATGTGTTCAGTTATGTTCAATATAAACTCCAAACTTTTTTGCTATTATGGACAAAACTTCTATTACTACCTCTACCACAAGTATTACAGCTAATTCTTACAAACTACTCTGTTTTTTTCTGAAGGAAACAATGAGAGCTTGGCAAATGCTAACATCGGAGAACACACAGCGAATGGCATCGAAGGAAATCAAAGCCCCGCTTCCCCAGGTATATTTTCTTAGTAATAATAAAAAGAAAACGGATAAATAAATGTTTGATAAATGTGTATGGTGTTTGATTGACAGGTGGCGATGCGTCTAGCGGCAATGCGTCTCTTAATTCTGACATCTTATTGGACGACGATGCGGAGGGGGAGGGGTCTGTTGGAGCAGAGCCAATCAGCAAAGAGGAGGCAGCTGAGAGACTTCTGGTAAAAACAAAATACATTTAATCATATTTGTGCTGATCATTTGTTTTCCTGTTAATATTTGTTTGTGTTTTGACTTTTGCAGGAGACTGAGAAGATCATCGCTGAGCTGAACGAGACTTGGGAAGAGAAACTGAGGAAGACAGAGTCCATACGATTAGAAAGGTCTGAAATTTATTTTAGTTTAACGCCCCCATATTACTCTGTTTTCTGATCTATATTATAATGATATTTCCTCATCAGAAACTTACCTGGAGTTGTGTTTAGTTTCATTGACACATGTTTAACACACAAACCTTTCATATATAATTCTTGTCTCAGGACTGGTTCACTGCTTCTGAGACTTTTAAAGGTGCCCTATGTAACTTGTGTTATTGCTTTGCCTGGAATGTTTCATAGTATGGCATTAATTGGCACTCAAGTAACAACAGAACAACTTTGTATAAATAGAAGATACAAACATTCTGACACTTTCTGGCTATCTACGGCCATTAAAGAGTCTTATTTATCAACAATTTACATGTCCAACCAGGATATCCACTGAATCAATATTTGGAAGTTGAAATCCAATTATTAAATCCTTTCTGAGTAAATTATGGTTTGCTTTTTTCAATGGACAGTATTTTTTACTAATGTGACGTGCCACAGGGAAGCACTGTTGGCTGAGATGGGCGTGTCCATAAAAGAAGACGGAGGTACTTTGGGTGTATTCTCCCCAAAAGGAGTGAGTGGCAAGCAAACACATTTAAATCATTGCACAGTTAATCAAATCAAACCTGGACTCAGACTCTCCTCTCATCTTTAATTTTGACAGACACCTCACCTGGTGAACCTAAATGAAGACCCACTGATGTCTGAATGTTTGATCTACTACATAAAAGAGGGAGTCACCAGGTAAATATAGACACGCTTCATCTGTGCGTGTGTGTGTGGACATTTTAAATTATGTGTTTAAAATGTGTGTTGTTGTTTTTTTCAGAGTTGGACAGCAGGATGTGGACATTAAACTTTCAGGGCATTTTATCAAAGAAATTCACTGTGTTTTTGTGAGTGAGACCAACGACAATGGAGAAGGTAAATAGCAGACTCTTCTCCACGTGTTTTTATGTAGATCATGCACAGCACCCCCTGGTGGTCACTTTGTTGTACACTCTTTATAAAGCAGCCTTTGGATTCAGGTAAACAGGTAAAGTGCGTCACCAAGTCATGTTTCTATAAAAATATGTTTGCGTTTTGATTTTTTAAATTTTTTTTTTTTGTGTGTGTGTTTTTTGATTCTTTGTTGATGGTCTTTGGAGGTTTAGTCCAACTCATACAACTTTTTTTATGCACACTCTATTTTATACTTTATAGTTTGCTTATGTTATTTATAGCATAACTTTTTGCCCAAAAATAGACTAAAATAAAAGCATGTTTGTTTTTTTGTATATTGCACTGCAAAGGTAGAAAAATATGCAAGCTTGCATTTCTACAACCCTGATCCTTATTTGGCGTGGAGGAGGGCCTGCTTATTTTCCATGGAAATATTGTTCCTTTTGGTTATAATCCTTAACTGAGAATGTTCCCAAGTATGGTTTTAACTTTCTGTTCCCATGGAATCATGCAGGGGAAATGCCACCTCCAGAAAGTTACACGGTTTGGAAATATGGTGGCCAACCAAAAACTGTTCTAATACTTGATACTTCCATTCAGTGTAATTATATTTAATGTAACCTGTAAAAGTAAAGTTACCTGTATAAGTAAAATAATTGTTTGTTGAACGAACCAATAAGTACTGTTTTGTTTTTCGGTGCAGTGGTGGTGACTCTGGAGCCTCTGGTCGGGGCTGAGACTTATGTGAACGGGAAACTCATCACTGAAGGAGTGGAGCTCAAACAGGGTAAAACATTTTGTGCTAAAGATGCAAAAACAATTAACAATTCAGCCCTGCCCATCTCCTAATGTCTTCATAATCTAGAACATAAATGGAACCTGTTAAAATGGTACCAGGCCTTAACTAGACTTTGCAGTTGAGGTCCCGGGCCGATTGCATGGTTATAGTTTAGGAACGCCTTCTCCAGTCTCTCAGCTTTACCTTTTATAATTCCCTAATCCCTGTGTTCTGTATCTGCAGGAAATCGTATAGTGATGGGGAAGAACCACGTGTTTCGGTTTAACCACCCGGAGCAGGCTCGTCTGGACAGAGAGCGCCGCAGTGCTGCTCTCCAACAGAAGGAGGCGCTGGAGGGGCAGAGGGAGGGCAGCCCAGACCCACAGATGGAGCCTGAGGACTGGACCTATGCTCAGAGAGAACTGTTGGAGAAGCAAGGGGTGGACCTCAAACTGGACATGGAGAAGAGGTATAGGGCAGACATAAGAGTGGCTTTAAGATTAATCATAATGTGAATGATTGCAATGTGAATGGTTGTATCTAAAAATCGCAAAAAAATGCAATTATCAGGTAGTATACTCTGCAGTAATTAAAAATAATGAGTAGAGTAGATTTTACTATCTAGGCTTACTGTATATTTTCACAATGCAATCTCATCTCCATATAACATCGTATCAAGTTATTTTTACTGGAAGAAAATCTTGATTTCCTTCTGACAATGGCATAATTGTACCTAAAATTTGATTTTTCTTTCTTATTTCAACTGAAATGCTTTTGACACTTCACATAATCCCAAATAATATACATAAGGGAAGTTATCAAAATAAGGACTATACAGTGAAACAGAACACAAGAAATTTCATATTTTGTTGTTGCAGACTGCAGGACATGGAGAGTCAGTATCGAAAAGAAAAAGAAGAGGCTGATCTACTATTAGAGCAGCACCGACTGGTGAGTCTAGGAACAGCAAAAAATATACAGAGATTTGGGTCTAGTTACATTTTAAACTATCTTGTTCTTTGTACAGTACGCAGACAGTGACAGCGGAGATGATTCGGACAAGCGCTCGTGTGAGGAAAGCTGGAGGCTCATTTCATCTTTGAGGGAGAAACTTCCTGCCAACAAGGTACAGTTCACTCACTCATTTTCAAGGCTTGACAACCAAAATAAGTTAAACATGTCCATACTTAACAGCATTTAAATTGACTTGACCTGTATTCTTTTTGTACTGTCTTCAGGTGCAGACAATCGTGAAGCGCTGTGGCCTCCCGAGCAGCGGAAAAAGACGAGAGCCGCTTCGAGTTTATCAAATTCCCCAAAGACGGAGGATTGGAAAGGACCCTAAACGCCTCACTGTGGAAGACCTCCGCATGCAGGCCGTCAAAGAGATCTGCTACGAGGTAAGCAAACCCGGTTAAATCCTGGTTAAGATCAGTTTTAGCCGTGATTTTTGCCTTTTTTATGTAGTTCAGTCCCTCATTGGTCTTGGCTCCCGCCTGATTTAGCCCTTGTTCATTACTTTTTTGAGCTTAGTTTGGGCCTGTTTCTGTCCTGGTTTATTTTTTGGAATGCTGTAGTAAGACCTGGTTTATCCCTTGGTTTAGTCCATGATTTGGTCCCTGGTTCAGTCCCTGGTTTAGTCCAGATTCAGACCCGGTTAAGTTCTTTTTAGACCTAGTTCAGACCATGTTTCCTCTTTCCTAGGTTGCGTTGGGAGATTTCCGTCACTCGCGACAGGAGATTGAAGCCCTGTCCATAGTGAAGATGAAGGAGCTGTTCCGGATGTATGGAAAGAAGGACCAGCCAGAGGGGCAGAGCTGGCGCGCCGTGGCCCAGGACGTGTGCGATACGGTGGGCATCGGTGAGGAGCGAAGCCCCCCGAGTGAAGATAGCCCTGGAGCTCCCGGAGAACCAGATCAACCGGCCAATCCCAGCGGACTGCAAGGCCTCAAGGCTCATATAGACAAGCTCACAGACATACTAGAGGTGAGACCTAAGATAGTCCTGGTTTGGTTCAGGTTTAGTTCTGGTTTATTCCTTGTTAAATCTTGATTCTGGATTAGTTCTGGGTTAATTCTTGCTTAATCCTGGTTTAGTCTTGGTTCAGTCCTGGTTTAGTCTTTGCCTAGTCCTGGTTTACACTTGGGGTAGTCCTTGGCTAGATTCATCATTTAGACATGGTTTTACAACTAGTTCTAGACATAAATTCAGACCTGTTGTAAACCTTGGATTATTCATTTTACTTGCTATTGTTCTCTTTTAGGACCTTTTTTCAGTCTCGGTTTTACCTGGTTTGGTCCCTGGTTTAGTCTCTGGTGTGGTCCCTAGTTTAGTCTCTGGGTTGGTCCCTGGTTTAGTCCCTGGTTTAGTCGCTGATTTAGCCCCTGTTTTAGTTCTTGGTTAAGGCCTTGGGTAAGTCTTGATTTAGTCCTGGTTCAGTCTTTGGTTTAGACCTGGTTTAGTCTTGGTTGAGTCCTGGTTTAGTTTTTTTTAGTCCTGATAAAATTGGTTTCTCTTTTAGGAGGTGAAGCTGCAGAACAACATGAAGGATGAAGAAATCAAAGCTCTTAGAGACAGAATGGTCAAAATGGAGTCCATCATTCCTGTGCAGGTGAGTGACATCTGACCCTCTTCTCTGCATCTTCCAGTGACTCAACGAGATGTAAAAATGCAAAATAATAATAATTAAACAAGTTGAATCAAATTATAATATGTTGAGATACACCAATTTTTTTTTTTTTTTTTATCAGATCAATAAATGTAAATAAACTTGTCAGTATCCCAAATTAAAGTTTAAAGAATTTGATGAAAATGAACAATTCACCAAAGCACAGCGTCTATCTGATAAAATAATTTTATTTCAAGGATGAAGAAATGAATGGGGAAGAGGGCGGGACCTGTCAGTCTGAAAATGGAATGACAGATGACTCGAGTGGTGATGTGCCAGAGACCAGAGTGCAACGTTTGATGGAGGAGGACCCCGCCTTCAGGAGAGGGCGCCTCCGCTGGCTCAAACAGGAACAGCAGAGGTTTCAGAATCTACAGCAGCAAAACATCACCAAGAAGCTGAGAGGACAACCCCAGAACCAAGGTACAGGACTTAACCTATGAAGAATAATTCTTAAATAAGAATAAGTCTTAAAATTTAAAACCTGAACAACTTTTGGCAACTTATTCTTATTTTTTATTTCTTTTCCAGCTCCCAATGCCCCTACAGTCCCGGTCCACCTCCCTGGCACTGGACGCTTCATCCCTCCCCAGGAATGCAAACTTAAATTCCCCTTTAAGAGTAACCCCGCCCACCGCCTCTCCTGGGGTCCCGCCACAGCCGCGTTGCAAGCTCTGGGGATTGCCGACGTTAGCATTGAACCGCTAAAAGATGAAACCAAATCGCAACTGAATCCCGAAGTTCCTCCCTTTAACAGCATGGCTACTGCTCCGACCAATCCGCCACCTCCTTTGCTGCCACTTCCTTTCCAAGTCCCACCTCCTCCCAGAATGAGATCACCAAGTCCACATCGCAACTGGCAACAACGAAATCCGCAACAGCAAGGAGGGTACCAACAAAATTACAACAATAATCAAAAAAGATACAGACGAAATTCATTGGATAATCCCAGAAATTATGACAATGGCGAGCAGCAACAAAATGGAGGACAATATCAAGGAAGGCCTAGACAGCGAAGGGGCGTGTCTCCGAATCCAGGGGGTGGGCCTAGAGGAGGAGGAGGCGGCGGAGGAAACGCAAACAACAACGATAGACGCGATTTTCAATTTAACCAAAATCGGTATCATCAGCATTACCCCCACCCGTACTACAACCCCCACAATGCACCATTCCAGCCTTTTCCAACTTATAACAGCTTGCCGCGAAATGGAGGTCAAAATCAAATTGGCGGCGGAGGAGGAGGAGCGGGGTGGGGCTTCCAGACTCCGCCCCGAATGAGGCGTCAGTTTAGTGCGCCAGATCTCCAGAAAGACGATACAAGGAGGCAAGCATGTGACCATAACGGAGGATTCTGATTGGTTCACTCAGAGGCTATGGAGAAAAAGGCTGTGTGGATTTCAGCACTTTTTGTTTAGTTTTTTTTACACGTCCGTAACCTCAGTCCTGCTGTTAGCGAGCGAGTCTACATGTAATCTGAAAGGCTGTTTAATGATGACAATGTAACTCAATAGCTCAAATGATTCAAAATTAGAATATTAATCTTGATTTGAGTCATTTTAGAACATTTGCAGAACATTTTATTTACATATTTCTTTCTTATACAATACAGTGTTTATATTGCCATTTATCAGCTTGACAAGCCTCTCAAAGCTCTGCACTGGTGGTAAACAAAGTCTAGCCACTGCTGCCCTGGGGTAGACTACCATTTTTGTCTCCCAGTCTGCACCACTGGCCCCTCTTTCCCATGTTACCAGATCATTGGGTTTTTAAGTGGTAAACGTGGTCATTTTTGAATAGTCCTAATAAAAGTTGTGAATTTCAGCGAAAAAGCTTTATATCCAAAACCATCAGTGCTCAATTCATACAGATGTCAGGGGAAGTGTGTTGCCCAAGGACACAACAGTGGCATGCGCTGGTCAACAGAGATGCAACCACAGATCTTTGGGTTGATGGACAAACTCCCTACAGCTTTGTAATGATCCTCCTCACATACTTGCAGTTTTACACTTGAATCAAGATTAATGTTCAGAAATAAAGTGATGTAGTGAGAATGTCAGGCTTTAACTCTTTATAGTAACTAAACCTTTATAGGGCTTAATGGGGCATGAACAAAGACTTGATTCATAATGATCAAATTGTTTATTAAGAATGACTCAGGTTTAGTAAATACTTAATTGATACAAGTGGAAATTAATGTAATATGAATTAATAACTAAATCAATCATTCATAATATATCTATTTGTTTCATTATTGGTAAAAATCTTTGTTGATGCTTTATAAAGGCTGAAAAGGCCATATCGTGTTAGTGGCTATCAAGCTGTGCCTCTCTTGAGAATAATAGGTGCCCTAAGTTCAATAAAAAACCTCTTGTAGCAATAATTCTGTAAACTCTACGGTGCTGTGTGGCTTCGTGGTAGAGCTGGAGTGCATAGGCTTGAACGCCCTCCAAACCAGACACACCTACTGTTCAATGTTTTTACTGTTTTTATTTTGTCAGTTTGTTAGCAAGACGCTATAGTTGTTTTACTTTGATTCTAAGGATTTTTAGTGCTGGCAAATTGGCGCTTTTTAGCCACGGCATTAGCATTAGCTTACCATGCTAGATTTGCAACACTACGTTTGTTATTTTTACTATTTTAACTGTCATTTATATTCGGGTGTTCTGTTTAACTGAAGGACTTTAGCTATTTGAAGTCGTAGGTTTATCTGTTAGCTGGCAATGCTAACTAGCTAAGAAGCTTGTGGTCATTTTCAAGAAGTTGAACAAATGGGGAGAAGCAACAAGGAAAATGGGTTACTGAACAATTTAAAAATATGACTTCACGTTATAACAAAAGTCTATAATCACGTGTAATGTGTTTTAAATTCACTGTGGCAGAGTGTTTGTTGTAAGAAGGTTGTGGGTTAGATTCTAGTTCAGAAAGTTGGAAACGAAATGTCAACTTGAACGCTACGAAACCAAAGACGCTGCTGTACAAAAAAAAAATCAAAGCGGAGATTTATAAACATTTTTAATGCATTGTGTGTATATTTGATGTGTATTTTACATTATTTTATGAAGTTTTTGGAAAGTTTACGGCATTCATTGAAGGACGAGATGGTGACTTTTTAAAACCGAATGAAATGGAATTTTGATGGATTTATAGAAAAAGTAGGGGTTGTTTTAGTCTTTTGAGTAGGATTATGGGTAATGTAGTCAGACGGAGCGCGGACAAGTGAAGGTGGATGTAATACGACTTATGACACTATGAAAAAGAAAATGGCACTAATACTGCGTTCATGCGGTCAGCTGGTATTCGGGGTTCTGACTTTGCGTTCATGTGCTCATTGCTCATTAACGACGTTTAATTGAGCTAACCAGTTAGATTTCATGTTGTTTTATTTTACTTTAGCTAAAACTAGTTAATGTTACATCTGCAGATATTTAAACAGTTGTGCCTGATCTTTCTTGCACAAGTCCATTGCTCTTATGATATAGACAACTGACAGTAAACCCCTAAATATAATCATGTTTAGTCAAAGAGCTGAAATGTTTAAAATATTAGTATTTTCATCGCTGACCACATGAACGCAGCATAAGTAGGCTACTGTGCAAGATGTGACACTCTTTAAATGGGATTATTGGATTTGTAGTTTTTAGAAAGAAGAAAAACTACAAAATAAAATGGTAAAAATTGTCAAGTCATGTGACACTGACTTCAATTCAAGAGAGACTAATTGTTAGGTTTACAAAGTGGATTTCAATATATATTCTACAGTGAATGGGAGTACTAAGAAATACGTTATGTCATTTTATTTTATTTTTTACAATAACATGCTATTAGTTTAAATACACAAAACACATGGGAAAGGGCAGAAGGACATCTGACACACAGGATATAATGGTTTTATATAACTCAGACCTGTTTTGATTGATCTTTAAGAGACTTGGTAATTAAAAGCAACTTAAGTACTTTTGTGTTTTGGGACAATGTGATTGGCTGACAGCGGCTGCTCTTGGCCAATCACAGGACAATCTCTGAAAGTCAATCCGCCCTTTTGTTTTCATTAATTTTATGGAATTGTTTTGTTATTTTTTGTTTGTTGTCATTTATTATTAATATTTTTTTAACTTCCAGCTTGGCGTCTGATTGGCTGATTCATATATAAGTGGGCGGGATTTCCTGTTTTGTTTGGCTTTAGCGTTAACCACATTTTTGCTGTAAAGTTGCCTTGAATCTTGGCAACACACACTACTTTTTCTTTTCATAATTTAAAATATTTTTGTTTTACTTTTTCCTGCTGCTAAAATAATTGTGTTCTGTTTATCTCATTATTTTCCCTTTTTTCTTTTATTTTATTATAACTTTATTTTGTTTAGTTTTACGGTGGTGTGAAAGGTGAATTTGTGATTTGGCTGTTGATGTTTTGTGGATTCAGAAAGAGACAGAATGCAATAAACTCTGAGAAAAGTGTTTCTGTTGTAATTTTCTTTTGTTTTTTTCCTAGATTTTACATTAAAATCCTCAAAGTAGTCACCCTTTGCTTTATTTGCTTTGACAGAGCTACAAACCCATGATCTTCTCTCAATGAGCCTCTTGATGAAGACTCCTGAAATGGTTTTATTTCACAGCGCTGCCTTGTTAGCCTGATTCATCAGCCGGTCTGATCTCGCAGCTTTAGGATTTGTTTGCTTGACGGTAGGCAGGTACTTTTTTTAATTTAACCAATCGCTGCTATTTGGTCATGATGTATGTAATGCGCCGCTAATGGGACGAACTGGTATATTAAGCTTTTCCCAAATTGCGTAGGAAGAAGGACAATAATGTCTTTCCCCTTGATAAAATTCACCAAACATTCTCTTTGTTCCAGCTTTCAAATCCTCGATCTCAGGTATCGTTGCCAACACTGAATGTATGGCTCTTCACTGATTGGCAGGTGCCCGAACTCACACTTCTGGGTTTTTGCAAACCATCTAGTGTATTTCAATTCGTGACCTAGTCGCTGGAGAGAAGCGGAGGCACTAGGTGGCACCAGACTGGCTAATCCCTTGTCAAATGGTCAAGAAATGCCAAAAGTGCAAATCAGTGATCAAAGCAAAGAGCAGCTAATTTTAACATTCTGAAATCTTAAACAAGTTACTTTAAGTTTATTTTTGTTTGCTACATTCCATATGTGTCCTTTCATAGTTTTGATTCTTTCACTGAGATTTTTATTTTTATTTTTTGATTTTATTAATTTATTATATTTTTGAAACCTACCTAAAACTTAATAGTCACTCTAAACAACAGGTAAAAAAAACAAAAAAAAAAAAGCAACCTCATATTACTATTAGGCTCACTTTTAATAGCCTAAAAATTATGTGTTGGTAAAATTACCTATGCTCATACATTTAGGTTCACTTAGTAAGGGTCTGCCACCTGCTTGTCTCCATGGAGATGTCATTTGCTTCATTGTTCTGTACAACACAACCAGATCCGTTACAGAGTATTTCATATTGTACTATTTATTGATTTATATATTGGACTATTGATATTTATTGACTTTTATACTGATTTCTGTGAAACAGTATCTCGTTTGCATATGTATAAAAAATTACAATAAATTGAACCATAATCTTGAATTAAAGCCAATTGTGGCGATGATGGCCCCTGCCCCGGTGCATATTCCCCCCAAAAAAGATAACTTCTGTGAAACTATGTCTGTAGATGTGAAATGACAAATCTGAGCGAATTTTTTGCACCTTCCTCTCCCACATTTAACTAACTGTCCTGTGGTTTCTATCTCACTGAAGATTTAGAATCAGTTTAGGAAGCAGCTTGGCCTCTTGATGCCCTACCAGCCTGACATCAGTGTTTAGAAATTTTACTTTTGAACCATCTAATGGAGATTAACATTTAAAATCTGGCATAATAATAGGATTAAGTCAGTTAGTGATGTGTATACTGAGCATCATCTTTTTTGGTTTTTCAGGTCCAAGATTATGTTAAGAAGTTATTCCTCCACTTTCCAAATCGCCCTCCAGAATCCTTAATATAGACACTCTCCTCTCTGTGAACCCTATTACCAGAGGATGTATCTCAGTTTTGTACAGGTTAATTCAGTCAGAAATGTTAACATATTCTAATGCAGTTAAAAATGCTTGGGAGGAGAGTCTCAATATTGTGATTACAGAACAACAGTGGAATTCTGTGTTATCTCTGGTTTATTTTTCTTTTATCTGTGCCCGTCACAGACTAATTCAATGTAAAGTTGTTTACAGGGTTCACTACAAATGCGAGACTGGCTAAGATTTATCCTTCTGTAAGTGACACCTGTGGCAGATGCCAGTTCTCCCCTGCCAATCACTCACACATATTTTGGGCATGTCCTAAACTAGGACCACTGTGGACATATATATATATGCACATATATATCTATAGCATATATATATATATATATATATATATATATATATATATATATATATATATATATATATATATATATATATATAGCATATTAGCTGGGGCGTATGGTTATCCCATTGCTCCAAACCCTATCTCTGCAATTTTTGGTGCCTCCCCTGTTTCAAATTTGCCCAATGCGGTGAAACGGGCCATAGCATTTACCACCTTACTGGATCAAAGGCTGATTTTACTTTATTGGAAACCCCATCCCTCGACAGATCTCTGCTGGGTTCCTGAAGTGCTTTACAATCTTAATCTTGAAAAGCTGAGGTTCTCACTCAGAGGCTCTGTTAAATTATTCCATGCTACCTGGGACCCCTTTTTACATCACATTGACTCTTTAATTCTTCTTCAGGATCTGGAGGATGACTATATAGGAAATAATCCTTTCTTCCCCTCTTCTTATCCCATGTAAGCATTTCACCTCTATGGGCTCCTTTCCTCCTTTCGCACCCCTACTTTCTATTTTTTTATTTATTTTTTTAATTAGTTCTTCTTTTTTATTATTATTATTATTATTGTTGTTGTTATTAATAATAATAATAATAATTATAATACGTTCAGGCCCTTAAAATCGTGATCATTTGCAAGGAAAAACAATAATAAAAGAGCATAAAAAACCCACGAAGAACAATAACCCTCGCCAGTTACTTCGTTACTGGCTCGGGCCAGTAATCCAAAAATACCTCCTTTCCTCTGTTGATTTGCCCAGTCAGGCAGTGGAGGAATCTTAGCAGTCACAAGCCAGTCCACACAAGGGCGCTAGAGTACTCCTGTGAGCTGTGTGCTAAAGCCTTTGCTCAGTCCTTCTTTGCCTGGGTTAGATCTGATTCAGGGGAGAATTGCTGCATTAAAGGCCATGAGCCAGATTTTTACTATTTAAAAACCTGTAAAACACATGTACACACCTCAAGAGCAGTGTTTCCTTTTTTTCTCACTAATACCATGCATCTTAAATTGTATGTTCAAGTAATGTAATTTATTCCTTTGATTTTAGAGTAAGTAACAGTGTTCTGAATAATCCCAAATGACCCAAGTGTAATCGAGTTAAAATGAGTATTCTGAAAATGTATTTTCAGTGGTTTAATTCTGGTTTAGCCCGAGTAGAACTCTAGCTTTATTTTACCAGACTAAGCTGTGAGTTGGTTAAGTATAGTGTTAACTTGACTTAATATTGAATTAAACCATTTTATATGTAACTTCTTTTTAGTGACACAAATAAACTGCTGATATGTGGGAGACATACACAGAAAAATTACTTCCAGAACTGGAGTGGACTTCAAAGTTTTGAGCTCAATACAGAGCAATGGGCTTAGATAGGGGGTAGGTAAAAACAGAAATTTTCTGAACACTCATGCCTCAAATGCTGGACGATACAAAACATCACTCTATCAAATCTATCAAAATACAATTATGAGTAAGATACTGATGAGAGAACACCGTTATAACACAATTAAAATAATACATAATGCCCCCTTTAATGTTTAAATTTCCTCAGCAAAAAAGGTAGTTCATTGTTTCAAGTTTCAATTTCAGGTTTAGTCCTTTAAAACCTGTTCTTCTTTACATCTAAACATAAGTCCTTGTTTTACGTTGTGTTGTCAAGGCAGCAGCAGCATTCTGTGGTGCTCCAGGATCACTTGTGTTCGCTCGTGCACACGCGTCAGTGCACGGATGATGATGCGTAGAGCGGGCACGGCCTCTGACTGACTGTTCACGCACACCTGCTGAAAAAAATACTTCCTCTCTGGGAGCGCGACGAAAACCAGCTCCGCCGCACGCTGCAAGAACCAGGAATGATGAGGGGCCAGGGCCACTGAGTACGCCTCCCTACAACAAGACCGGGTTTAGACCAGGTTTACACAACATTTAGAACAGTTTAAACCAGATTTAGACCAATCTTAGACCAGATTTAGATTGGGTTTGGACTGGATTTAGAACAGGTTTACACAACAGTTAGGCCAGTTTAGATCATATTTAGACTCAGTTTAGACTTGCCTCTTTTCTCGTGTAATTAAAGGGCTCACACCATAAACCTTACATACGACCGGGATTATTATATGTATTGCTAAATTACGGTATTACTGCAGAAGTTCATGTTGATCCTGATTTACCTGCCGATCTCTCCTGGGGTCTTGTAGACTCCGTTCTGGTCTGGATCCTCGGTCAGACCCTGTAGAACCAATTTGACCCAGAGCAGAGACCGGTGAAGTCTCAGTAAAGTTCTACATCCAGACTCAGTCCTGAAGGAAAATCCCACCAGACCTTGTTTAAGCTCCGCCTCCACCATTGAGCGCACCGTGCGGTAAACCTGCCACATGAAAAGCCTGGTTAAAGAAAGCTGCAGATTTTTATTTATGTGTTTTCACTGTTTAAAAAGGGGTATGTGAAAACTGAAATTTTCTGAACACTCAATTTTCAAATACAGGACAATGAAATATTACTCAAAAATGCAAATTAATGATAAGGAAACTCTGCTATGAAAGTCAATTTTACATAATTATTTACAAGGGCTGATGTGGTCCTGGTATTGTTTAGTTCCTGTTTAGTCTGGGTTTAGACAAGGTTTAGTTCTGGTTTAAATTTGATGCCATTACCCCTTGTCTGAGTCCGTATGCTTCTGGAGTGAGACCGTGTTGCCCGTGATCCTCTCCTGCAGTTTGCTTGACTGACAGCTGTCGGATCAGAGCCACTTTGTCCTTGACCTTGTGAGAGAAGAAACTCACCATCGTCCCCAGAGACTCCATAAACCTGCAACACAGAAGTTCACACTAAACTGGGACTAAATCAGAGCAAGTCTAGTCTACATCAAGACTAAACCATGATCGGAGGACCAAACCAGGACTAGTTTGAACGCAGCCTTTGCCTTTCCAGATCCAGTGTCAATGTAATTGGCATATCTGCTGTTTGGCTTTAGTTAGTCTGGGATTTAAATCTGGGTTTAGTCCTGATTTACATGTGTTTAGTCCAATTTTTAAATCCTGGCTAATCTTGTTTTAGTCCTTGTTCAGTCATGGTTCATACCTGTTTTAGTCCTGGTGCTGGTTCAGTCCTGCTTTAGCCTTGTTTAGACCTGCTTTAGACCTGGTTTAACATTTCTTCAGTCCTGGTTCAGTCCTGGTTCAGTCCTGGTTCAGTCCTGGTTTGAACTCACAGTATGAGTTGGTCCCAGCTCTGTAGATATGACTCCATCAGAACATCCCCCTCCTCACTTAGACATGCCCCCAGGTGACGCATCAGCACTGAACTCTGAAATGATTGGCCGGGACATTCCCTGAAGGCGGGGTTAAGATCTGACCCCTCCCACAGCGTCTCATCCACTTTTGGCTCAGGCTGACATAAAAAAATAAAATACTATCAAAAGGATAATATTAAAACAGTTGTACACAGTTACGCCACCTACTTGTCTTCATGGAGATGTTCCCCACTGTGGCATTAAACTCACCTTCTTGCATTTGCAATTACAATGCAATAACAGGTTAGAAACTTTGTGTTTTCTTCTAATAAGACAAACTGTGAAATGCTAAATCCCTTATTTACGTCACACGTTTTGGCGGTGGCAACTTTCTGTGTGATAAAAAGACAAAATACATTTTCTAAAAGCAATAACAGGTATCTGTAATTGCATTTAGAAATTCTATCTTTAACCATAATCTTTTCTATTGTATACCAAGATATTTGGAACATGTTTACCAAATAAAGGCTGAAATGTGGTAAATATGAGAATTTACAATAAAAATGTACTTTTAATAAAAAACACATATTGTCTACTCTAGTGGTTCCTAATGTGTGGTCTGGTCTCCATGGAGATTAATAATTTTAATGCCATTCTGTGGAACACACACTCTGCAAAATAGGACTGGGCGATATGGGGAAAAAAAGAATCACAATTTCCCCCCATATTGATCCACTTTGAATTTTGTTTCGATCTTCTTTCATCTCATTAAAAACATAGATGTGAACTTCAGGTATAAAGTGCAGGGTGTCAGGACCAATACAGTTATTTTTACAGTTTAATAGGCTTAATGATTCAGGTGAAATTCACATTTAAAATTTGTAATGAGTTTGTACAATATTATGAACCAAAGCACACGCATGTTACTGCTAAAGGGACATGCACACAGAGGCAGGAACACACACAGAGAGGCAGGAGCACACACAGAGAGGCAGGATCACACACAGAGAGGCAGGATCACACAGAGAGGCAGGACACACAGAGAGGCAGGATCACACAGAGAGGCAGGACACACACAGAGAGCAGACAGACACACAGAGAGGCAGGAGCACACAGAGAGGCAGGCACACAGAGAGAGGCAGGAGCACACACAGAGAGAGGCAGGATCACACAGAGAGGCAGGATCACACACAGAGAGGCAGGAGCACACACAGAGAGAGGCAGGAGCACACACAGAGAGAGGCAGAGAGCAGGACACACAGAGAGGCACACAGGAGACACACAGAGACAGAGAGAGGCAGGAGCACACAGAGAGGCAGGAGACACACAGAGACAGCAGAGAGGCAGGAGCACACAGAGAGGCAGGAGCACACACAGAGAGGCACACAGGAGCACACACAGAGGCAGGCACACAGAGGAGCACACAGAGAGCAGGCAGGAGCACACACAGAGAGGCAGGAGCACACAGAGAGGCAGGAGGCACACAGAGAGGCAGGACACACACAGAGAGGCAGAAGCACACACAGAGAGGCAGGATCACACAGAGAGGGCAGGAGGACACACAGAGAGGCAGGAGCACACACAGAGAGGCAGGAGACACACAGAGAGGCAGCAGAGACACACAGAGAGGCAGGATCACACAGAGAGGCAGGAGGACACACAGAGAGGAGACACACACACAGAGCAGGCAGGGAGCACACAGAGAGGCAGGAGCACACAGAGAGGCAGGAGCACACAGAGAGGCAGGAGCACACACAGAGAGGCAGGAGCACACACAGAGAGGCAGGATCACACAGAGAGGCAGGCACACAGAGAGGAGCACACACAGAGAGGCAGGAGCACACACAGAGAGGAGGACACACAGAGAGGCAGGAGCACACAGAGAGGCAGGAGCACACAGAGAGAGGCAGGAGGCACACAGAGAGGCAGGAGCACACACAGAGAGGCAGGAGCACACACAGAGAGGCAGGATCACACACAGAGAGGCAGGATCACACACAGAGAGGCAGGATCACACACAGAAACAGAGGGAAGGCGACTTTTAGTCAAACTGTGCAGATTTAAGTCAAAACTTATGAAAGGCGAGGACACTGAGGAGACATAAAGAGAAACGCTATTGCTCGGGATACTTTTTCCTAAACAAGAGAAAAAGCGTAAATCCTCTTACTGACACACAATTGGCTGTAGACTTGTCGATTAAAATGAGCATGTCTTATCATCGAGATCGACCAAAACTGAAATCGCCATCAAACGATCTTTCGATTTTTGGCACAGCCCTACTGCAAAGTAATAACATCTCCTGATTGACAAGTAGGGCATGGATCCTTCACCAGAAAAGTTACATAGTGCACCTTTAAAGTGACAATAAAATGCTTCTTAAAGATGAACACTGCCTTACCTTGTTCTCATAAAATGTGAGACAGGGATGCCACTCTGAGCCACAGACTGGTCCTCCTCCCTGAGCTGGGAAAAGAAATTCTATGAATTTCAGTCATATTTTTAAAGCAGATATAGCCTACAAATTTGTACAGACTAAGATGGTTTGGAGAAGAGAGAGTGAATATGGGTCGAAGGATGCTGATATTAGATGCAGAAGAGAGGGTCAAATGGAGCAGATGATGCAGAGGAGAGGGTTGATGAAGCAGAGGATAGAGAGGAGAGGGTCAGTAATCAACATATTTATTTAACTACCTACTTACTGTATTTTGGGGGACATCTGGTTTTGTACAGTATTACAGTTAAATTAAGGGTTAAATTATTTTTATTGACAAATAGGCTACTGAATTCATTACTATTCTAGTTCCAAGAAGATAACTTAAAATGATATGAAAACTTACGTAACCAAAAAGAGCTGATGAAGAGCATGAGAGCCAAGATGGTGGCCGTGACCAGGACTCGGAGCCGGTTTCTCCTCATTTCTCCCCAGAACTCCCGGTTTGGACCCTCCGAGCTCCGGACTAACACGAGTCATTCTGCCTTCTATCCTTGGTCAAAGTTCGTCCATATCAGGACCTTTGCTCCAGCAATAAATCATAAACGTCAACGCAGGTTAATACGACTGCGCCACCTGCAGGGGAGAGGCTGTAGTTACATACAAACTTATTATTATTGTATATAAACTTGTGTGATGGTTTGTTCTTGAAAAGCATAAACCTGAAACTCTAGGTTGCTTTATTTGCACGTCTCAGTGTCTTTTATTTAGCCTATGCCTTTATGAGTCTAAAAGATGAATGGTGTAACTTTTCTGGTGTACTTATCAGAGGTGGGACCAAGTCGTCGGTTGGCAAGTCTTAAGTAAGTCTCAAGTTTTGACCTCAAGTCCGAGTCAAGTCCCAAGTCAAAGACAGGCAAGTCCAAGTCGAGTCACCAGCTTTGAGCTTCAAGTCATTTTAAGTCTTTAAATTTATTTTGACTTTATTTATTTGACTTTTAAGATAAATTGTACTTATAGAGGCAAAGTATATTTATACATGAGTATTTATAGAATATATAGTAGTTGTAGAAATGTAATTTTTTCCTTTTTAAATGTCAAGATCTTAGAGTGAATCATTACAGTCAGAAGAGAAATTAAATTCTGATTTAAAAGTGCTTCTCAAGTCTTCTCAAGTCACAGGCCTCAAGTCCAAGTCAAGTCCCAAGTTTTAGTCTATTTTATCAAGTCAAGTCTCAAGTCCCAAAAATAGTGTCCAAGTCAAGACTTGGAGACCCCACCTCTGGTACTTATTGGTTTAATAGGCCTACAGTTTGGCATTAAGTTTACCTGTGTAGCATTATTTAATTATGGATGTTCTTGTATTCTGTTGCTCAAAATGTAGACCACGGCCTAGTGGAGCCACTTGCAGTCTCGTTTATAATTTCAGCTAGCAAACAGAGCACTTGTAATTGAATAAATGCCAGATAAAAATATTTCAGCAAATAATATCACCATGGAAACGAGAAGTTACATTGTGCACCTGTAATGTCACCAAATATTGTTCAAAGTCTTAAACCTCTTCAATCCTCAAAAGTTTACAGGGAAAAACAATTCAAAAACTGTAATTTCTTTCATTTTATTTCGAATACACAGGAAGCAACATGTAAACAGTGCATTTGGAATTGTGCTCACAACTTTTAAAATTTCAACAAACATTTCACACAATTTATGGCTTTTACCAGAGACTTCTACCTGCTACAGAAATAGGTTTATAAAATCAGTAAATTCGTTATTTTAGAGGGAAGAAAGGAGATTTTCTCAAATACTAAAAATAGGATTTATTGAGGTAAGAAAGAGAAAAGGTAAGAAAGAAACAATCAAATAGGCATTTAGAGTCATGCATAGATCAACTAAAGGCCCCCACACATTACAGGATTTTTCGGTAGTTTTAAACATGCAACAAAAAGTGCACACCGCAGACACGAGGAGAATCTCATGAGATTTGAAATCTCTGATCACTAAGACTGCTGCAGGATATGTCTGCATAAAACAGGCTACAAAGTTGTGAGTGCACTCACGTCAGCTGTTTACTGTAGATTAAAACCACTCACTTTGAGACTCTCGAGTGTTGAAAAGATCAGAGCACTGCACTTCTAGTTTAGATACTCAATTTAGTTAAAACTGTGTTATTATTATTTGCTAAATGTGGTGCAATACTTCACATACATGATTTTTAATACACAGAAGATTAGCGATAAAGTACACATGAAGTAGAGTCTTGATCGCTAATCTGCAGCTTCACCTTGATCTGAGGATGTAAACAAACACACGTGAGGAATTACTCTGGCCTTTTTACTTTAACTTCAAACTGGATTAACAGAGCTGTGTTGTGGACTGGGTGTCATTATTTGCGGAGGAGAATTTCTATGGAGAATGTGGATGAGATGCTGTAGTTTATATTTATAACTTTACAAGAGTTGAGGAATAATTATTTTCGCTATTTCCTGAGTTTGTATCTGTTTTTTATCTCTGTGTCCGTCACTCCGTCTGACGCTCTGTTTTATTGGCTGTTACTGTAGCGTTGCTGATGTTTGGTGGTTATGATCTGACAGAGCAGCTCAGAGTCACACTGACACCACACACACAGGAGCGCAGCAGCTACAAAATCGTGCACAAAGACAAAAAGTTGGGTCATGCCTCCCCCAAACACGAGGAGAAGCAGGAAGCAGCATAAATCGGGCAACTTCTCCTGTAGTGTGTGGCGGCCTTATAAAATTAACTTAACAAATCATAGGCGATAAAGTTTAAATATTTCTCTCAGGTTGTCAATTGATACGGTGCAGTGACGTCACGCTAGGGGTGTTCTACATGTATCTCTATTGGCAGAATGTTCAGCAGTTACCATGGTGACACAATGCACGCATTAGCAAACAAAGACAACAGTTTAAAGATAGTCTGAAAAATACAAAATTGATTTAAACAACACATTTTCAGGAGATTGATTTTCAGTAAAAAAGGTGAGAGTCAGAGACTCACTGAAAACTGTAACTGTGCTCAATTGTTGTAGTTCCAACCAAGTCAGCTCTTTCTGATCAGATTGTGTTAAAATAAAGATCAGATTAAGTTTAACTTGTGCAACAGAGCTTCTTACAGAGTAGTGCTTCCAGTTAGCATCACACCCCCAGGGAATTTTGATGACATCAGGTACAAAGTATCTATATGCAAAGTATCAATACACAGACAAGAAAATGAATATTTCTATGTAAACGTGTTAATAATTAAGGGTGTAACAAAGAATTTGTGCTCACACACTCAATCCACGGGTTTTCAAAAGATGAACCATTAAGATTGTTGTTATAGCAATTGACAATTTAAAATTAAATGTTGTATTTTGTGAGTGGAGAAAAGTACTCACATGTCACCTATAACCGAATGCAGAAACCAGTCAAAAAAAACCTTTAAATCCTATGTCATCAGAATGTTCAAAATTACAGAATGGAGGAAACTGGAGGCACAATGAAGCAGACATAATACAATTTTAATGATTAACAGAACAACAGATCTAAATGCTAATGGTTTTATGATCTTATATAAAAATAAATCCAAAAGTACAAATATTAGTTAATTTGCTCCTCTGCTAAGAAGCAAATAATTTATTTTAAATGAAGAGATGTTTTTAAACGGTGCTCTGATATCACTTACAAGTGACATTATGATATTCTGAGGTTAATCCCAATTTCCACACTGAAATCACATTATGTTTAATTCACTTTTGCCTCCAGTTACACATTTTTACGGAGCACTAGGATTTTAGAACTGTGCCCAAGCACAGATGGTCCCTAAAGTGTGAGCGCAATCGAACCGTGCCCAGGCACGTCACAGATTGTGTTACTCATACAAGGAAAACACAAAATAAAGTCCACTCCAAAACGTATGGCAAATCCGCGCTTACTTTCAATAAGGACTGTGGACAGCGAGAGAAGTTTTGCAGCCTCGTCTCCAGCTGTCCTCACCCCTCTGTGCTGTTATCACATTTATAAACTCACAGAGGAGCATGTATCGCCGCAGAACTCATATCTGCTTCACTATTTAATAGATATTTCATGCACCTGGACTTACATTTTCAACTAAAAGAGACAGTTCTGCTGCGCAACATGTAAACAAACAGTGTCGTGGGATGATATTGTCGGGCCGTGGCTCGGTGCGCTTGTGCAGGTGTGAGTGCGGGCCATAGAACTTTAGGCAATTGTGCTTGAGCATGGCATGGTTCAAAAGTCCTAGTGTGAGTGCGCCCTAAAGGGTGTACAGGCCAGCCTTCATCTCTGAGTGAGTGTGAATAAGTGAATTGTGATAAAATTTGAATTTTGATTAAAATTTTTGAAGAAAAGCACAGTTTTTTCTCTACTAAACAAAATACTGAATTAAAATTGGAAAGTCAAAATGAACTCTATGTGGCACAATTCAGCTGTACAACCCTTTCAGAAATAACAAATAGTATAATAAACTAAAAACAGTAGGACTATAGCACTTTAAATGATGTCAATATGAAGCAATAAGGTCTCAGTGGTTTTGGAAGTCTGTAAATTCTAAGTCTAGCACAGTTTGGTTTGGCACAGTTCAGATCAAGGCTATATACAGTAAACAGTTAGATGATATTCTTTGGGTTTTGACCAGATTTAGGCTGCTTTCACACTTGCCCTGGTTTGGTCCTGGTTTCCTGATGTAGACTGGCCCAGTTCTAGTCCAGTTTTAGTTCTGGTTTTGTCTTGGTTAACATCCTAGTTTTGTCCCAGTTTAGTCCCAGTTTTGATGTGTTATGTACAAGTGTGAATGCAGCCTGAAAGTGGATTTGGTTTTGTCCTGGTTTACTTCTGGGGAAGATAAAGATAGTAAAATAGAAAAAACATTTGGCATAAAAAGGCTGACACTGATTATGTGAAGGCTCACTGTCAGACCTGCGGGAGAAGACATGTTTTTGTCCCAGTTTAATCCTGGTTAAACCTGGTTTAGTCCTAGTCTAGTCCTGGGTAAAATTGAATTTATTCCTGGATTAGGTTAGGCGTCATACTTGTTCAGTCCTGATTTACTCCTGGATTATTCCTGGTTTAACTCTGGTTTGGTCCTCTTTTAATTCTAATTTAGTCCTGGTTTAATCCTGGTCTAATCCTGGTTTAGCCCTGGTTTAGTCCTACTTTTGTTTTAGTCTAGCCCTGTCTTAATCCTGGTTTAGTCCTGGTTTAGTCTTGGTCTAGTCCTGTTTTTGGCTTTGGTTTAGTCTTGATTTAGTCCTGGTTTAATCCTGCTTTATTCTTGGTCTAGTCCTGGTTTGATCCTGCTTTTGTCTTGGTCTACTCTTGGCTTAATCCTGTTTTAGTCCTGGTTTATTCCTGCTTAATCTTGGTCTAGTCCTGGATTTGGCTCTGGTTTAATCCTGCTTTAGTCCTGGTTTAGTCCTGCTTTAGCTCTGGTTTAGTCCTGCTTTATTCTTGGTCTAGTCCTGGTTTGGTCCTGGTCTGATTGGTCCTTGGAACTGGCATTTTGGAGTGTATTGATTGATTTGGTCTCCTCAGCACAGGCTTTCTTCTCCTCTTTCCTCTTCCTCTTCCTCCTCTTCGTCTCTCTCCTCTTCCTCTCCTTCCTCCTCTGTGCTGTAATGACGAGCTGATTTGCTCCAAGTTTGGCCCCATCCTCCTTCTACAAACCTGAAACGCAGAAGGTATACAAACTTATAATACTATGAAAATTATCGGTTGTGTCCCGATGTGTCTATGGTGGAATTTGCCGTTTAAATGCCAGATTGCAGATTTGTTCGCTTCGTTTATGGTTAATATTTCTGTCATTACTGAGACTATTCACATGAAACAAAAACTGGTACAAAGTTCAGCGTATTCTGTGTCCGCATAAGTAAACCAAAGGGAAACACAATACCCTTTATGGTCTGGAGGACTAAAGGAAAAGAAAAGATTAGGAACAGCTGACAATGCTTCCACCATGTACACATTTTAGTAGCAAAAATGTGTAGCAACCCTTTAACAATAAATCAAGACAAATGAGCTTTGGACATGTGGATCAGTGGTTTGCTCACCAACATGAAGATAAGCAGTTCAAATCCCAGCTTTGACCATGTGCTGTTGGTGTGAATCAGGGCCCGGCCGATATCACTGGCTGATATGGACACTTGGAGACATATCAGCTATCGGCCTAAATCTAGCCGATATGGACTGACAGTTCAAGTGGGCATGTTATACCTATATTATAAAGCTTACATTCTCTATATTACAGCAATACTACTACCCCTGAATGAGTTATGTGACTCAGGTTCTCTTGTTTATGCCAGTCTGCTCTGAGGCTGCACTGAGGCTCAGGTGTTTGAGCAAAGATACTGACTATAAATAAAAATGAACGTAAATGCAAGTGCGGAGCAGAGAGGACTGTCCCACAGACAGAGGACACAGGCAGCTGCCGTCAACAAGCTGGATTATATTCTTTTTACGGACGATCGTTTTGAGTCAGGATGAAAAGGACACTTATTTGTGAAGACTTGTGATCTGAGAAGTGCCTGCGTGAGCAGTGAGTGTTGAAAATGTGTCGGTTTTGGAGCTATTTTTGGTTCTTTCTCATTGGTTGGAGCTTAGCTGCTGTAGCTCCCACACATAAAACAGCCTGTTTTCTCTTACACTGGCCTACTGTAAAGTGACTATACTGGCTGTACACATGTTACTGGACATGCACTGATAAGTAGATGAGCTGTGAATAGAGGCATGAATGACTGATATTTACGCAGCAGTAATTAATTACCACAGTACATTTACTGCTAAAGGCTAATAGCAGTAGCTTACTTTACTTTGTTTACACGCTACAATGTCATACAAAAATGCCACTGGCAAAGGCAAAGAGACAAAATAAGAGTAAATGTATTCTAAATAAACCCTACTTAAAATCCAATAGAGCCAAGACTTACAGTGAATTTTTGCATCACTAAATATATTGGCTTTGATATCAGCTATTGGCACCTCCAAAGTCCATTTTATTGGTATCATATTGGATCCAAAAACATCCATATCAGTTCGGCTATAGTCTGAATTAATCATGACTACAGTGTAGCACTCAAAGAGGCTTGTCCAGCTTGTAATGGGGAAGACAAATGTACTATAATTACCTGGTAGTGTCCGGGGGAGTGTCTTCATCTGCACAGTCCAGAGAGAGAGCTCGAGTTGGGCCACACTCCCAACTGCTGCAGCCAGGACAAGAGAGGAGCCATGGCATTATAATTTATGGAATAAGCTGAATAATCTAAACCTAACAAATAAAGACTGAATAAAATGATAAGAAGAGACAAATATTTCTTCCTCCTTTGAGTTTTATACAAACTCAACATCCAAAGAAGAATTAAAGCATTGTAGCTGTCACCTGATTGTCTGAAGTCCAAGTCCATATGAGTCTGAGAGACTGAAACTTCTCTAAATAAAAAAAACAAAAAAACCCAAATATAAATACTGTAATGAAGTATAATTTTATTTTTCGAAATTTAGAGAGAAGAAGGAAACTTACCCTGTTTCCAATGGACTCCTGTAGTCGACTGGTGATAATCTGGTCCAAACTGCCCCTGGAAGAGAGAGAGAAACCTTCAAATTTATTTTTATTGAATATTTAATCATTTGAGGGACAGGAGGACACTGGACAAACTGCTCTACATCATGGACACTCCTGCTCACCCACTGCACCAGACTCATTCTCCAACAGGCTCCTACAGCTCCGCTCATACTACATTCATACCATATTCCATACAACTGTACTAGTCACCCTTATGTAACAGATAACCCTATGTTATGTCAGTCACTAGTTCATCTTTGCACTGTTTCTCCTTACCCCACCTCTTGTATATAGCCTAGATATATTTCTTATTTTCCATCTTTTTACTTGTACTTTTGCACATGTACAACTGTATAACTGTACCTTATTGGACACCAGTCTCTGCTATTTTTTCCTACTTATTTTGAATAGATTATTACCATTTATATTTTTGCTCTTTGTTATTATATATTGCGATGTGTGACCTACTGTGTCCAAATAATTTCCCTTGTGGATCAATAAAGTCTACCTACGTAAGAAAAAATAACACATACCAAGTAAATACTTCATTTAAAGTATACATATAAAGATTTTTTTTTGCAGTGTAGACTCTCATGTTCAGGACTTTCTCCAGACCAGGTCCTGGATCTGGTCTGGTTCTGGAGTAGTACCTGTGTGAGAGTGGGTGGGGCTTGTGTGAGGCGAGGAGGAGCAAGTGTCTCTCAGCGCGGTCAGCTCTCTCCAACAACGACTCAATGAAAACCTAAAAAGAGATAAATAAATACATTAATTGAAATAGTTTTACCTGAGAAATGATAAATAAAGACAAAAAATCTATAATACATTAGTCCACACATATCGTCAATACCTGGAGTTTGACTTTAGCTTCGGCTTCTCTCTGGGCCAAACCACTGAGAAAACACTCGATCTCCACCATCTCCCTGAAACAGACAAAAAACAGGACTAAACCAGGACTAAACCAGGACTAAGCCACATTACAATACTACTAAACCAGGACTAAATTCAGACTAAACCAGAACTGAAATAGGACAAAACTAAACCAAATATTGCTTAAATATCTCACTGGTGCTTCTGGCTGAGCTCTGTCTCTCTGTCCTCCAGATCCTTAAGCAATTTGCTCATGAGCTCCTCAGCAGCAGACACCTGCGAACAAAGGAACGATCACACAAAAGCAACTAATATAGCTGAGACAAAAATGAAAGAGAAAATGTTTGAAAAAGTTATTCATTGTATTCTGTCTTCCAAATACAAAAGTTGCTCTAAAAGTACACCAATTACCAATAATTTTGATGATGATTTCTCTTGTGCACTAAACACAAACCAAAATCAGATCTAATTATTAGGTTTTCTGATTTTTACTAGTCATGTAAATGTGAGGAAAGCATTTAAAGGGTCCATACTGCATTTCTGATTTATGTTATAATGTTGTTTCCTCATCAAAAACATTCACACCTGTCCTGTAAGGTAGACCACACGTGTGTTCAGTTCTTGTTTCTCAGCCCTCAGCTTTTCCTCCAGGTCCTTCTGTTTCTTAAGCTCCGCCTCCTTCTGGTCCAGTCGGGATTTGAGCCGGTCCACTTTCCGGTTCACCCTCTCCTCCACCTCCGCCAAAGTCCGGGCGATCCTGGACCCAAGATCCAAACCAAGACCCAATCTCTCCTCCAGACCGATGTCCACCGTCACAAAAGCCTAATCGAGAAAGAACCATGTTTTAGAGCTGGTTTTGACCTGATATAGTCCAGCTTTAGTGTAGCTTTAGTCCAGCTTTATTCCTGGTCTAAGCCTGGTTTAGTCCTAGTTTAATCTTGGTTTAGAGTTCAGAACTAGTTAAAGGCCGATTTACAGCTGTATATTAGCTCTAGTTTGGAACCAGTTCTGACCGGGTTTAGTCCAAGTTTATACCTGGTTTAGATTTGTGTTAGTATACTTCTACTATAGTCCTTGATTAGTCCCCTTTTTCTGACTTGTTTTGGACCTGGTTTATACCTACCTCTGTGAGTCTTCTTCTGGGCAGGACCAGAGACTGGAGCAGATGGACTGAGGAGGTTGACGAAGCCAGATCCAAACTCTCCAGAGGGAGGGTGCGTTCTTGGAGCTCTGTTCCCAGTGGTGAGCTCTGAGCCTGGGCTGACATCAGCTCGGGAAGTGGGAGCAGGGAGCGAGGTCTGGAGGTCCGCACACGAGCCTGGAACATTCAACAGGATCTGAAGGTTAGTCCTTGTTTAGTCCTGGTTTAGTCTTTGCTCAGGCCTGGTTCCCTCCTTGTTCAGTCCTATTTATGGTAAGTCTTGATTTAGTCTTGGTTCAGTCCTAATTTTGTCTTGGTTAAATTCTGGTTTAGTCTTGGTCAAGTCCTGGTTCAGTTCTGGTTCAGTCCTGGTCTAGTACCTGTGACAGCAGTAGTAAGGTCTCATAGGTATGTTGTGTGATGAGGTGAACTCTGAGCTCTGAAATTGTGCTGAACTTGAATGCATCCCCACAGCGAGGACACATGAGAAGTCCCGACATGGTTCAGACCTGGTTCAGAGCACAAAACAAGGTTCAGTAAGGGGAGCATCACAGCTTTAGACTGTAGTCCTGGTTCAGAACTGGTTTTGTCTTGGTTCAAATGAATGTGAGTCAGATGAACGTAACCCCGATTTTCTCCATGGAGAAACAGAGGCGGATGACGCTTCACCAGTAAAGTGACATAGCGCATCTTTAACCATAAAACACAAGACAAGCAATAACAAGTATAAAATGGGCATAATAAAGTACAAATGGACAATAACTGCATGATAATATTTTTATGCCAGAGAGAGAAGTTACTGTTTAACGACCAAAAACACTGTTAGAACTGTCTTTAGCTACATTATATACTGTATGTCACCACATTTAACGCGCGCCACGCCTTGACCTCTTTCTTCTTGTTCATTGAGGCGCGCGCTGATTACTCCGCTCTGACCTGTCAACTCCGATCACCGCGGAACAGAGCACCGCACCACGGACCATACAGAGTGCACGAGCATTCACTCACAAACAAATCAAATAACAGTGTAAAAATGAAGAACATTTACCAAAGTTTATTACAGAATTGGTTTATTGGTTAGGACTCCAAATTCAATCGTAAAAGGAATTATAAATAGACCAAATTAGACTAAAACACGAGTAAAGACGGACTACTTTAGGATTAAATGCGCAACTAAGGTACGGCCATAGTCCTGGTTGAGCCCAGTTTAGTCCAGATGTAGACTTGGTTTAGTCTTGTTCTGTTCCTGGTTAAATCCTGGTTTAATCTAGGTTTAGTTTCAGATTAGCCCCGTCTGAATGAATTTTTATGTGGTGAATGAATTAATGAATGTTAATGCGCCCAAACCTGGACTAGACCAGAACTAAACTATAACTGGAACAGGACCAAACCGGGTCTACATCAGGACTAAACCGGGATCAACAGGACCAAACCAAATAAAACAAACCCTTAAGTCAAAATGTGGACTAATTCGGATCTGACCTATTTCACCTGATGTTGACACTTGACAGGGAGATGCGCGCTCCCGGCAGCTCACCTGTGCGCGTCCGTGTGTCAGAAGCGCGTGCGCGTCTGGAGCATCGTTCCCGCTCTCCGCTCCACACTCCGGAGCTCGATGCGGTCGATACGGAGCCGTTATACCCGGGAAAGAGGCTCGATCAGCGGCGTAGCTCCTCCACCAACACGGCCTCTTCTTCTCCCTGCTCCTCCCGCGTCTGAGCTGACTGCCGCTGCGTCTTACGTCAGAGAGACCATGTGATTGGAAGGACTAAACCAGGATTAAACCAGGACTAAACCAGGACTAAACTAATCCAGACCAAACAAAACAGACCAGATAAGTAGAAAAATATGAGATGGCCAAGCTGCAGTTGTTGAATGTGGTGGAATGCGGAGGGACAAACTTTGGAAGTGTGTGCTAGTTTAGGTAAAATAACACCAAATCATTTTTAGTTTTAATCAGTCGAGCCTACATAGATTGAAATATAGGTAGTAACATATTACAAACGTGAAAGCCAGTGCATCTAAAAAATATTTATTTTTTGCGTGAAATAAAATAAAACATATTGTGATTTTCTTTTTAATAATTCATCCTATGATAACGGAATAACCAAAATATAGGAACAGTTGGAAACCCTGGCTATAGGCTAAAGTATAACTCTGTCAAAACCAGGGCTAAATCACTTCATATCTAATCAGTCTAAACTACTCTGGATATGAACTTATTGAAACTAATTATTTCTATCATTTCATTTGCTCCCGTGCGTCAGAGTTGCGCGTAGTTTGTTTAATGAAAGGCAGTGGTGGAAACTGACCAGCAGAGGGCGCCATTGCTTTTAGTATAAAGGGTGTTTTATTTTATGTAACCCTGCCACAAATGAGAAAGAAACCGGCATAATTCTACATTTTCAGCTGAATGGGGTTACACGGTGCTTAGTACTGGTTTAGTCCTAGTTTAGTTCTGGTTTAGTTTCGGTTATGCCTGATATACAATAGCTCAAGTTCATTTTGAAACCATTATATTCGTGTGCTCCTATTTTAAATAAAGATTGAATTTAAAGGTGCACTATGTAATTTTTCTGGTGGAGGGTCTGTTAATTGTTTCCAGATGTTAGTGCATTGTCTGGAATGTGCCACAGTATGGCATTAACAACATAGGTTTTTATGACCCAAGATACATTGACATGTATGCAACATGCATTGTTACTATGAAGGGGGTCAACACCATCTGTTTGACACCATCAGTATTGTTAAATGCCACACTGCCTAACACCAGTAACATCCTCATAGAGACACTAATGCAGAAACGTCACATAGCTTTAAAATTACTGAGTTCTGGGTCTGTGGACACAATACACAGGTTGTATACAGTTGACACACAGTCTTTCTGTTTTGGGTTGCTTACTTTTTAATATCCTTGATTTTCCTGAATAATTATGAAACATCTTGTCTTCCAAATCTAGTCCTGGGTTAGATGTGCTTTATGTTCTATGTTGTATATTTTATCATGTTTTAACTCAGGGATGTCCAAACTATGGTCCCCGGGCCAAATACTCCCGGGACCAATACCAATTGTTGTTGTTGTTGGCCCTCAGGGATACTGCTGTATTGCCCCAAATGATCATATTTACAAAAAGTTTTACTGCAAATTACTGTAACTTTGATATTGAGGTGAAACAAGACTTTTTACCAGTGTGGTGGCTCTGTGTAAAATATATCTTTCTAAAAGTCTTGCTGTATTGACCACCAGTCTGCGGCTCTCCACCCCAAATATATGCAGCCCTCTGTGAAAAACAAGTTTGGACACTGGTTTTACTCGTGAACAGTTGAGTCCTTTTTTTGTCCCATCATTTCTATCTGAATAATATAACTCACAGTAACAGCTGCATTAAAGTGACTGGTAACTGTCAATGCACAGAAGGAGAGAGGCAGTACTCTTTGTTTGTTGTTGTTGTTTATTGACAGCGTCTCATGCACAGGACAGTAACGTGCACAACATTTGTGCTACTCTCCGCTCAGATGCTCTGAGCACTACAGCTCCCATGATGCACCTGTCTCCAGAGGTGCCCTGGGTCTGAATGACATCATCCAGAGGTTTACTGTGTCATTTACATGGTACAAAAATATAACTGTGTCAAATATGATACAAATATAGAACTGTTTAGACAAAATAGATCCACAGGTCATGCATCGGCGGCACAAACATCTGCCACAAAAATATCCACCAATTTTTAAGACAAAGTGCTTTGCTTCAGTTCATTCGGGTGTCTAATGAAAACCCTCCAGTGCTTACGCCCGCCCTGAAAGTCTCCTCTGATTGGTCCACAACACTGACAGTCTGTCACACTATGACGTCACGCTGTAACAGCAAAAACACAAACAAATACAGGATTCCCATGATCCTCTGCTGCAGTCAGTGACTCTGCTCCTGCTCAGTTCAGACCAAGTTCCCTTGTCCAGATCTGACTAAACCCAGACCAAGTCCAGATCAAGTCCAGACCCTTTAATTCCAGGCCACGTGCCATGTACTGCGGGCTTTTACGCCATTACGCACACCTTGTGCCGCGGCTTAAACATTTGAAAGTGCCACAAACTCAGTGACAATAATTAAAGCTTCTCACGTGACCGCACATTACACTCCTGGCGCGTTCACGGCCAGTGCATACGCGGCCATCATCTGTGCACGAAGCTGCTGCTTGATGTGCACGCGCCCGTGCCTTTTCCTCTCGTCGCTGCGCGCAAACTTCTTCCCGCAGACGTCACAGGAGAAGGGCTTCTCCCCCGTGTGCGTGCGCGTGTGTGTGGTCAGGTGGTCGCTGCGGCTGAAGGCGCGCGCACAGATTGTGCACTGAAAAGGCTTCTGTCCCGTGTGGATGCGCACATGGCGGTTCAGTTCATCTGAGCGCGAAAAGCGGCGCTCGCATCCTTGCACCACGCAAGGGAACGGTTTGGCTTTGACGCTCTTCTGCCGCCTCCCGCGGGCTGCAGCCTTTGGAGCGGGGACGTGCACGCCCTGCAGCAGGGAGGAAAGCACGTGCGCGTCCACGACTGGATTCCCGCTGATGACGTAGGTGGCGGGATCCCCCTCTGCTCCAGGGAGCCCGGTACAGAGCCAGTCCCGCGGCTCCTGCTTCAGCTCCAGGCCGGACCTCGGTGCGCTCTGAGCGGCTTCGGGCAGCAGCAGAGTGTCCAGCAGCTCCGCCACATCCAGGGCATCCAGCTCCAGCGGCAGCGGCTCACAATCTGCGCTGGTGGTGAGGCAGGTTCCGCCGCAGCTCGGGCTGAACTCCGTCTTCACCAGCACGGGCTCGGTCTTCACAGACACCGAGGGAAGCACCGGCGCAGATGGGGGGCTTGGAGCGGGGGCAGCGGGCTGCGGCTCTGGCTGTACGTCGCTGCAGATGCCCACGATCTCCGTGATCATGTTGAGGATGGCGTCAGCGGCGCTGCTTAGACCCGGAGCCGCGTTCTGCTCCTGGAAGAAGGCACCGTCCAGCCCCGGGGACTGGGAGTCCGAAGAGCAGTCACTAAAGTCCGAGAAGAAGTCCGAGTCCGAGGCGTCGGTCCCGGGAGAGAACACTGCGAGAGAGAGAGGAGAGAGGGTTAGACCAGATCCACGCAGGTGTCTTCTGGTGCACCTGTTGTCACATGCACGCTCTCACGCGCACTCTAAACATGCTTTCATTTTAACATTTGCATCACACTCACAGACCATCGGCTTGTTTATACACATTTGCGCACACGCACCTTGGCTGAACGGGGAGCCCACGTCCGAGTCTTCGCTGAGGCTCGAGCCCACGCTGTCCACCCACGCGCTGCAAGCGTCCTCAAATTCTGACATAAAGCTGTCCTCTCGCTCCAGCAGCATGTTTCGTTAGTCCGGTTAGAGCTCAGTAAGTCCGATAATCGTAGGTAAGTCCTCGGTCAGAGCCGTGATTCTTCGGCACTTGTTTCTCTGTCTCCAAAGATGCGAATGATGCTGGTCCTCTCCTCGCGGCTTTTATATCCTCCGTCTCCTCACTTCCCTCCTCGGGCTCTGATTGGCTGCTCCGGAGCCAGGGATTCCCCCCTCCGCGTGCGTGTCGTAGCTGCCCAAATATGTCCCGTTTCCGGTGTTGACGCGCGGCGGTATCCCCGAACCATAAAAGGCGCGAGGGTTTCCTCCAGCACTGCGGCACTGAGTTACACAACAGCAGCGGGAGGACCCGGCTCCGCAGCGGCTCTGCGCGTGCACGGGACACGCACGGGACATACTAAACATGCAAAATAAAGTCAAAACATTGTTTTGGCATGCGCTTATATTGGCAACAGCATGGAGTCAAATGCACGAGGAGGAGAGGGTCTGCAGTGAACAGAGGGGCATGTGGTGAGACATGGAGGGACGGAGTCGGGAAATAGCTCATAGAGAATAACTGCAATAACACCAAATGCTTTTCAGGTTTTATCCATCTTAATGCACATGCAAAGATTGGAAAGCAATAGCTGCTGACATATTACAGCCCGAGAGCCAGTACAGCCAAAAAGTCTTGATTTCTTTGTGAGTAAAAACATATGTAAGCCTCACTTTTTATAATTTATGTAGCAGCAGTGAAAAAGTGTGACATGCTCTAAATCTGAAGTTGGACGAGGGACAGGAGCAGATGGCTGCAGGGTAACCACAAGAGGGACAGGTGGTCCCTATAACAGAGAACATCCATCACCTATGTGTGTGCGGATGAGAATAATAACCCATCAGATCAGTGACTTTAAACTAGGTCTAAAACAGGTCTAAAACTGGTCTGACATAGGTCTAAAACTGGTCTAAGGTAGGTCTAAAACTGGTCTAACGTAGGTCTAAAACAGGTGTAAAGCAGGTCTAAAGCAGGACTAAACCAGGTCAAAGCCATGGTTTAATGCAAGACTAAACCAGGTCAAAACCATGGTCTAAAACAGGTCTAAAGCAAGACTAAATCAGGTCTAAAGCAGCTCTAAAGAAGGTCTAAAGCAGGACAGGATTAAAATAGGTCTTGAGCAGTTCTGTGCATGTGTGACAATGTTGCAGGATGGAGGGAGTGTGCACACTGAGCAGGTGTAGAAAGGGAGAGAGAGAGAATCTGGTCTGAACATACTCAATAATGCATGCAACGGATGACACCTGAACAAGGACTAAACCAGGACAAATCCAGTACTGAACCAGAACTAAACCAGAAGCAAATCAGGACCAATCCAAGAAAATGAACCAAGACTAAACCCGGACCAAACCAAGACCAGAACCAACCCAGGACACTGATGGATGGGTCAAATGCACTGATCACTTTTTCAGGTAGACAAAAAACGTGAATCAGAACCAGGACTTAACAGGACCAAACCAGGACTAAACCAAGAACAGGACTAAACCAGGACCAAACCAGGACTAGTTTTGACCTGGCTCTCTCCTGCTGTGATAGTCCACATTACATAAGTCAGTGTTAAAAAGATGGATCTAAACTGGTCTCACTTGAGTCACATGACCCTCCCACAGCACCATGTGACTTGCTGCTGTCTCCATGGAAACGCCCGACATTCCCACACTCCTTATGTAAAGTCCAGCGGCTGCTCATAAAGAGGCATTTAGATGTTTAGATATTAGGCCTGGTTTAGTCCTGTTTAAGTCCTGGTTCAGTCCTGGTTCAGTCCTGGTTCTCAGTCCTGGTTTAGTCCTGGTTTAGTTCTGGTTCAGCATATTTAAGACCTGGTTAACTCTTGTTCAATTCCTGTTTCTTGTATTTTTGGTACATTCAATTAGTTACTTAACAAAACTGGATATAGATCATCAGCTTTATAAATGACAAATAGGGTCCAGTCTGTTTAAAATTATTTATTGAAAGAAAAAAAAGAATAAAATAAAACCAACTTGAGTCAAATGTACTTGTCTGCCTCTATGTGGGAAGAAGCTACTATTACAATCTCTAGTATCTCCAAATCTGCATATTAACAAGAAACTTTTTACCTGTCTTCTCTAATACAGGAACACAGGAGGATGGGAGGGCATCTGACACAGTTATATGTGCTTATCGCCACCTCCCCAGCCTGGCCGGGGAGTTACTATGACCTGATAGGGCAGAGGCTGCAGGACCACACCCAGCGCCCCCTGCAGGTTGGGGGCGGGCTCAGAGGATGGGCGGCTGAAGCTAATTCTCTGCAGCAGAGACGACAGGAAGAGGAAGAGCTCCAAACGGGCCAATGATTCGCCAACGCAAACCCGAGGCCCCGCCCCAAACGGCAAGAAACCAGACGGAGAGTACCGTTCACCATGCTCATTCAGGAAACGCTCTGAGAAAAGAAAAGAAAAGAATAAAATGATTGTGATGTGTGATTATGGTTTAGTGCAGGTTTAGTCCTAGTTCAAATCTTGTTGCCTTCTGGTTTAGGCTTGGTTAATTAAGTCAGAGTTTAGTCTTTGTTGCAGAATAAACTGAAGTAGTACACAAGTTGAATTCTATCCATTCTAGTCTAGTATGATTCAGTCTGGATATGCTTCTGTTGTAAGGAGTATTATACCTCAGATGATGCAGACCAAGATTCTGTACTGTGTCCTCAGTACAGAACAGAAATCCAATTCGCTAACAGTCTTGGTTTAGTTTTTGTTTAGTCCTGGTCCTAGTTCAGTAGATAAGCTCTTTTTTATTTCTAGTCCTGATTCTCTTCTTGTCGTGTTCTGGTTTAGTTCTTCTTTTCTCATAGTGTAGTTCCTGATTTAGTGTTGGTTTAGTTCAGTACTTTTCTAGTCCTGGCTCAGTCGTTGTTCAGTCCTACTTTAGCCCAGTTTTTAGGGTTAGAGTTAGTTCTAGTCCAGTACCTGGTTTAAAGAGGTCCGGTTTGTCCCAGTGTTGTGGATGGTGGTGAATGGCCCACATGTTGACCAGGACACGGGTCCCAGGCTGGACCGGGTGTCCCCCCAAACTGCACAAAAAACAATATAGGAAATATATGTACCGTACATGTATTTTAAACATGGAAAAAAAAGCAGAATATAGAAAATTACAAAATATATATATAAAACTATTACTATTGCTACTACTTGTACTACTACTGCTAAGAGTATAAATGTAGATTTCAAAGCACACTGTAGCTTTAACTTGTGCATCCTGTAAAATAATCACATCCGTGGACAGAAAAGAATACCATATTATTTTTATGCAATACAGATTGGTGTTCAACTTTTTTTATGTCTTCATTTACTCCTGCCTGAATCATACATACCAAATAATATATAATATTTTGACATTTTAACCCTGTAAATGCCATTTTTGTATGTGAAAGTCTCAAATTATGTACATGAACATTTTTATTTCTATATCTTTCAAGTAATTTAAAAGTGTTTGTGTTGGGGTTATCAGAGGCTGGGGATGTCATAAAATAGTGCCAACACTGATTTTGACTTTGTTGTTGTTGTTGTTTGTTTTTGCACAAAATGCTGTTTTCCCCTAAAGCCCCATTGACTTCCATTATAACCACACATTTTTGTGTAACACTAGGAAATAATCAATTGTGTATTTTTAAGTTTCTCCTGTTATGAAAAGGTAAATGATTCAACCCCAATTCATTCTATTCCACCTTGTGTAGGCCGGTATGCAAACACAGTTATAGTTTTCCTATGCTTTCCAATGGACTTTTATGGGATTTACAGGGATTGTGCCTATGTGTATTTAGGAGGGTTCTGGGGGAATATACTTCCCTGGGTGGGGTACAGGGGGGTGTTGGGGGATATATGCGTGTATGTTCACATACTGTACATGGGTCTGTGTGGGGCGTGAAGGGGGGTTAAATTCGCATTGTGTAAAAAATGACTGAAAATGTAAATATTATGATCATGCTTGAAATGGTGGACCTAAAAATCATAGAAAGAAATCTCCAAATCCCCCCAAAACAGTCAAAAGTAAAAATTTTAAGCCATTTGAACACACTGACAGGAAAAAAAACAAGTATCAGTTGAAAAAAAATTGGAATTAGTCTGCTTTTTAAAAATACATGTTCAGCATTTATCAAAAGAGGTGTTAACAGTGACAGATACATACACCTGAAAATCTGCACACACAGGCACACACAAACTCACACAAATTCACAAACAAACACATTCAGTCACTCCTCTACAACACACCCATATCATTTGAACCTCAAATATCTATGTCTCTGGCCTTCAGTGTGAACTAATATGTACAAGTGTCTTTCTATTGATATAACCTTGTAATGGAAGATACACAGTAAAAACAAAAATATAAAAAATTCAAACAGACACTAAGACAAAAAAAAAAAAAAGAAGGGTTTTCAACACCAGAGAATTCAAAATAAATCAAAAAGTAAAACTATACTGGCAAAGTTAAGCCAGTAAAAATACATGTTTTATTTTATTGCAGTAAATACGCCTGTAATTCAGTAAATCCAAGATAGATATGTTTAATGTCACACTGTGGAACATTCCAGGCAAAGCAATAGCGTTTCAATAAGGTGGTGGACCCTTCACCAGAAGTTACATAGAATAGTTCTTGGCTTCTTTGGCTTTGTTCTGACCTGGTCTGGTTCATGGCGGTGTGGGGGATCAGGATTGGACTCACGGGGCGGATCCTCAGTCCCTCCTGGATAACTGCCTCAACAAAGGGCAGCCCAGTCCGGTCCGAGATCATAACCGGTCTATCCAGTCCCACCTGCTCCTCCAACTCCCTCTGCGCCCGCGTCTGGACCTGAGCAAAGACACATACTAGTTCAGTCCTGGTTTAGTCTTGATACAATCCTGGTTTAATCCTGGTCTAGTCCTGGTTCAATCCTGGTCTAGTCCTGGTTCCGTCCTGGTCTAGTCCTGACCTCTGGGTAGTGCAACAGGTATGCGATGATCCACAGTAATGTAGTTGATGTAGTTTCGACTCCGGCCCCAAACGCCTCAGCCACAGTCATTAAAACATGGTCGTCCGATGACATTTGACCTTTCCCCTTTCTGACCTCTGAGCAGGGCGTCTAGGAGGTCACGGGGGTCGCCGGGCTCACTGTCGCTCATTAAGGCCTGGAAACAACAAATATGTATTCATTCATATTTATTTATATTAGTTTAATCCTGTTCAATATAAACATTACAAAACCCTGTTATTTTGATCAAGAGAAATCTACACGCATGTACTAACGCTATAGTACACATATGTTTCCAACTCATTCAGGAGTATTGAAAGTAAATCTTAGAACAGTGACTCTTTGTAGCCTGTTCCTGTGTTGTTATTCTTGACATGTACCTTGTGTTGGTCCAGTTTCCTCTGCAGCAGTTTGTCTCTGACTCTGATGCACTCCTTCAGTTTATCCAGAGTACTGTTTGGAAAATACTGACAGAAACATATACATAAATGTGTTATTAATATGTATTATTTATTTATTTGTATTTTTTTTTATTATACAAAACAAAACAAAACAAAAAACACAGAGGAGAAGAGTGCCGTTACAATCGTTCATTGAAATATCAGTCAAGATGTGTTTACAGTATTCATTTTCAGATAAAGTCCAATCTAATAGGTTTCACATACTCAGTCCATTTTGTCCATGTTTCATAAAATGAGTCCCTTTGGTTCCGCAGGGTGAAACACAGCTTTTCCATCACATACGTTTCATAGACTATTTCTATCCACTCCTTTGTTGATGGATAATGCGCCCTCAGCCATTTTTTTGTAATGTAGTAGGGCTGCTAATAACTTTTAGCTTTTTATCATCATTTCTCCAATTCTGGACATTAAAATCTTCCAAGTATAAACACTCAAAGGTAAACATCACTTTAGGCCCCAAAACATGGTTTATATGACTCCAAATCTGTGACCAGTGAGATTTCAGAATAGTACAGTCCCAAAAAATGTGATAGTGTTTCGCCCCAGATGAGCCCCAGAGCCTCCAATATGAGTCCCCATTACCTTGTTTTTTTTGTTGTTTTTTTTTACAATATTCTTCCATCCAAACACTCACCATGTATTAGATAATGTTGTCTTCCACTGTAATTGACAGATTCTTTCCCAACTTCTGTTTAAAATGTTCAGATTACCTTCCATTTCCCACCTTTTCTAAATGTATTCCTATTTATTTTTTCTTTTATATTACCAGGTAGTCTTATCTCTGTGTAATCCGTCAGTTGTCTAGGTAGGTTCCATAATGGTCCATAGGCATTTTCTAGTCTATGTGGTTTTATACTTGTTCTGATACAGCTCAAGATCATTCTAAATCTATTCAGAAAAAGTTCATTTCTGCCCTGTGACTTTTTTAGTATCAGTACTTGCTCACATGACGCTCTAGCCTTGATATTAGTTTTAATATTAATTAGTATCTGATTTTGGACACTTTGACAACAGCCCTAGTCCTCACCTTTAGCCAGGGGTAGATGTCCACCAGAGCTCCAGTGGCAATAGTTTGGACGATGCCGTTGTTGTACCGAATCACCTCCTGGAGCTCCTCATCCTTCGGTCTGTAGGTGGCGCTAAAGACCAGAGTGCACACCACGTTGGTGACTGCCCGAGTGACAGCGGCAGAGGGGTCAAAAGAGCGCCCCCTGCTGGTCAAGAGCTCCTCCACCAGGTCATCCACTGCTGAAAGGACTGATAACAGAGTGAGAGAGTGGTTATACTGTCTACTCCTCTCAGCAGGGAGGTTTTGGGTTAGACTCCTGATCTATCTGTGTGGAGTGTGCATGCCCTCCCTGTGTTACTGTGGCAGAGTGATTAGGAGGTCTCTTACCATATAGCCTAGTAAAGTAATTGAGTAACCCCAATTTAAATTTGGACTACATCAAGACTAAAGCAGTTGATCTGATGGAGCAGAGGATAATAATACAGTTCATTTATTAGGCTCCTTTGTGGACACTTAAGGTCACCCTAGAGAATAAACAAATACAAAAGCAAACGAATATAAATAAAAAGGGATGCAGAGGAGAGGGTTAGATGGAACAGAAGATGCAGAAGAGAGGGTCAGATGAAGAAGAAGATGCAGATGAGAGGATCAAATGGAACAGAGGATGCAGAGGAGAGGGTCAGATGAAGCAGAAGATGCAGATGAGAGGATCAGATGAAGCAGAGGATGCAGAGGAGAGGGTTAGATGAAGAAGAAGATGCAGATGAGAGGATCAAATGGAACAGAGGATGCAGAGGAGAGGATCAGAAGGAACAGAAGATACCGATCTCTTGCAGGCGTCCGCTCCCCTCCCCAAACAGAGCGAAGGAGCTGTGAACAAGGCGACGGTGAGATTTCCACAGGGGAGAATAGTCACAGAACGCAATGTCTTTCCCTCCTCGTGTCAGAAGATCTGTGGTCACCTGTTTTTAAAGATATTTGGATGATATTTAGCAACATAATTGGACTTTTAAATAATTCACGCACAGCTGCAGAGTGAAATTGAAAAAAAAAGTAATAATGTGAATCATGAGTGAAATGATAAAGCACTAAATATGATATGAAAGATGTTAAGTGAAATTATGCCACTTTATTCTGACCATATTTGGGCGTCCACCAAAGTCCCTTCCTCTAGTCAGAAGAACCTCTCGGGCCAAATCATAACTGTTCACCACCAGCGTGTAGTGTGGGCCCAGGTACAGAGAGAAGAGGGGGCCCAGTCTGAAGAGAAGAAGAGATATGTATGAACAAATAACAAAGCAGAAGAAGAAGAGAGAGGGCTCATGTAAAAGAAGAGGGGGCCCAGCACTGAGGTATAATAAAACCATAGAGATCATCACCATGGTAACACCTATGGTAACAGACATCCTGCATGACGCTTGCATGCTCCGTCAAAATATATGACACATGAGAGGAGAGAGACAGAAAACTGAAATAAATCGAATAATCTGAGTAAATCTAAAGTTGTTCTCTAGGGAGATAATATTGCTTGGTCTGGAATGTTCCACAGTATAGCATGCATCTGTATCTATGGAGATGGACAATGCCATAAAGCAAAATCATCTTGACATGGTGGTAGAGCCTCCACCAGAAAAGTTAAATAATGCACCTTTAACATTAATATTCTAATTTAAATGTTTACATGAATGCATTTGTCGTTTGTGCATCATTTCATAAGCAGTACCTTTTAGAGATCCGTGTGAAGAGCAGGTGAGGGGACAGTCCTGAGGCAGCAACCCAGGGAAGGCTGCCCAAAACGGGGACACTCGGCAGACACGGCACCCCCTCGGCTCTGGAAGTCCGGCGAAACGAAGCCAAAACTACAATGAAAAATACCAAAGCTGCAAGAGAGAGCGGAAGAACCACACCGGAGGAGGAGAGGAGGAAGAGAGGGAACATGGTGAAAGTGAAGAGACAGGGGCGAGCGAGGATATAAACCTGACAGGAGGAGAGAGAGGTCAGGGCCGGGGGAGGTACACTGTAAAAATGCATGCTTAAAAATTCTTCTTTAGATTTATTTTGTAGGTCTTCAGATTTTCAAACAATCACAGTGGAGTAAGAAAATGGGACAATGTGTAACTTTTCTGGTGTAGGGTCCGCAACCTGTTTGGCTCCATGGAAATGTTATTGCTGTGCCTAGAATTTTCCCCAGTATGGCAATAATCAAATGAATCTATATCCATAGAAGCCTGCTACTGTATCAGGCCAAAGTTACAGGTAAAGCATGTTTTTGAAGGTGATTTTGAGTAATATAAACATCTGTAATTGAAAAATCCATACTGTGAAACATGCAGGTGACAAAACCAGAAAAATTACATAGTGCAACTTTAACTATGCAATCATGATCAGTATATTGAATTGATGGCATTTTAAGTAATATTTTTCAGAGTATAAACAGATTTTTATCGTCTTTAAAATGTGATTAACAACAACTAGCATGTTTACAGTGCACTTCCTGATTCTTGGACAAAATGAAAACACTATAATCAGATGCAGAGAGCACACGGTGGGCATATTTCGACCTCAAAAGCTGCTTATGCTATAGATCTCTGCTGGGGCAAAACAATTCAAGACAATGGGTGAAAAAATGTAAATGCTTAAAGATAAAAACCTTATCTTGCATTTGAATCCAGGTTTAGTCCACTTTTAGACCTGATTCAGTCTCTGTATGTTAGGTCCTCTAGTCCACGTTGACTGCTAACAGGTAGTAACAGAGAAAAAGTAAAAACTTAACCTTAAAGTAAAATCGTTTTGTTTGGACTCTGTCTCAGGGTCGGTGTTGTTGTGGCCTTCGTCTTATCAGAGATTTTGGACTAAATGGCCTCAAACCAAGGACAACAAAGTGTTATATCTGCAATGGCCAAGACCTGGTTCAGTCCTGGTTAAATTCTAGTTTATTTCTGGTTTTGGCCTGGTTTGGATCCGGTTCCATCCTTTTGTTTAGTCCTGTTCCATCCTTTTTTAAGTTATCTTTGGTTTAGTTGTGGTTCAAGTCCTTGTTAAATACTTCTCAAATATAAAAATTATTAACTTAAAATCCTAATACCTGCTTTAGTTTAACACAAAAAATGTAATTATTTTCATTTAGTGTTTGAATGTAACCTTTTCAAATGATATATTTTACTAAGAATTGTAATTTCGACTTGTGACAGTAAATTTAGTTTGTTAAATTGTTCTTTTCATATTTTCTTTGTTTTTTCAAGGCAGTTAGCTAAACAGAGTGCAGACTGAGTCACTTTGGGTTGCCATTTCCTCCTAGTAGTAGTAGTAGTAGTAGTAGTAGTAGTAGCAGTAGTAGTAGTAGTAGCAGTAGTAGTAAAAGCACTGAAAAAGAGGCTGTTTTTTCCCAGTTTTATTTGTATATTGTCACACGTTACAACAGGCTGGTTGAGTATCACACACTCTCATTTAGACCCAACAGAAGCGCACCAGAACCAGGGGCCCATACCCATAATTACTATTATTATGAACTGCATTTTACACAAGAAATTCCAAACTGTCATATGATTGGGTTTAGTCATTCACAAATCAAGAAGGTAAACATACACTGCAAAAAACAATAAGCTCCATAATATCTAAAGTCTTAACGTGAACATTTTCCTTCCTCCATCTCAGTTTAAAGGCGCTGTATGTGTTTTTTAATGTCGTGAAATTTTGAAAAACAACGACTTCATTTCAAATTATTATTACTGCACCAACTTTCTGATTATTAGACGCTTTAAAATTAGATGGAGACTTATTTTGACCTAAAAAGCTGCTTATACAATTTATCTGTACTGTACTGTATTTTGCTCAAATACATGGAAAAATCTGCTCATTTTTTCTACAAGAACACCCAAATTCTTCAACACCCACATCCAGATTAATATTATTTTTTGCAGTGTAGTTTTCTCAATTTTTTTTATTTTTTACAGTGCTTTGTCTAGTTTAGATAAACACAAGCTCGATAATTAGTGGCTTTTCAAAACACACCATTGCTAATCTAAAGTGCACCTCAAATCAACAGAATTCAGATTTTAGGATAAATTCCACAGATTTTTACAGTATATCGGTAAAAAAAATCACACAAATGTAGTTTTCAAATGGGACAAGATGAAGATTTTGTTGGTGTCATTCGCCCATTCAAAAGTAAGAAATAATTTCAAAAATAAAATAAAAAATTTATTCAAAAATCCCCAAATTTAACAGCTCTCCAACCGCACTGAATCGAGTTAGATTTACTTAATGTTTTCTAGTTAGTTACAATCAAGTCAACTTAATAATTTTTATTTAATTGAACACCTTTTACCCAATACCCCTGTGGTTTTGGTGTTTTGAAAACATATGACTTAATTCTATTTACATTATCTATAGTAATCTGAAGAGTTTATGTACTTGTGATACTTGTCTAGATTTTTTCACTTTTTAGACCAGTCACAGGTCAGATCTGTGGAGAGGCAATCCAGCTCACAGTAAGAATGCATGTAATCAAGGTATTTCTGAGCAACAAAAACACCTGTAACTTAAAAAAGCGAAATATAAAAGTCTTAATACCAAAATGTTCAACATGATTCAGGCAAAGCAATTGCATCTCCATGGCATACACAGTAAAGTTACATAATACATGTTTAGCTTTAAGACAGAACTATCATTAATTAAGTTGTAGATATGTAAGTAAGTAGCCTGAGATAAATCAAAACTAGTTGAAACTAATAAATTGAACATTAATAGTAAAAAATTGTGTCCTTTTAACATTTTATCTCATTATTTTAGGTGCAGAGCTGGTAAAGTTGTGGATTCTTGAGCTTTAATTTCCACACACAGTTTCTCCATTCACTCATTAAACTTCACTCGAATCTAAACGCTAAGAGTTTAACAGTATCGCGTAAAAATGGCACGTAATATCATCAAAACCACGACAAGAGAAGCACGACATCGACTGCTCAGTTTGCTCAAAACTACCAAAGTTCCCAAGTTCTTTTCAACAACAATTTTCCAGATTTTGTATGTTTTTTTGAGCTCGGATTCTCTCTAAGTTCAGCTCAAATGTGACAAACATGTTACAAAAAAATCCGGTTGTTGTTGTTGGTGAATTCTGACAATCCGTTGAATTGTGCCCCAATTCAAGCAGAATTCTGTAAAATTCTGAGCGAATTCAAGTCAGAAATTTGCCGATTTTTCAGTTCGTTTTTAGTCCGTCGAAAGCCTCCAACAAGAATGAGTTGAAGTTGTAGTAATGCAGCATGAAAACAGGGTTTAAAATAAGATGTTCCCATTGGTCGATATCAACCAGTGAGATCACAGATAGTTCTTTCAAATGCGGTAAACTAGATCCAAGCAAATGAATCGTTAAAACCTTGTCAATATAGCATGAGTATTGGAAATGAGGTCTCATTTTAAACATACGGTGCCATCCACTACGATTGGCATGGGTAATAAATCTATTGTGGTGATTTGGGGGCATCTTTAAGTCTTAATTCATTATTTTGTACTGTTTTACAGCTATGATTTGTGACTAAATAAGAGTGTTAGTGAGGAACTAAAAAAAACAAACATGATTAAATTCCGGATCCAAACCAAGGACTAAACCAGGGACTAAACCAGGACTAAACCAAGGTCTAAAATCACTAAAGCAGAAACTTAACGGGAACTTGAACTCAGAACTAGAACTTCAAATGTACCAGCGTAGTGGACGGCATTGTATATTTTATACCACAAAACATTTTCGATATCTTCTGTCACTCCACAAGAACCTTTCTCTGTATTTACACAATTGCTGATGAAAAATATTGCTCTTCACTTTCAAATCACTTCACAAAATATATAATTTGTTGGAAAATACCCACAAAAAATCTATTTAATCATATTTCAACAACATTTGTATTTGTTGGATTTACTATGAATTTAACATTACATAGAGAGGACAGGAGCCACTGTTTAAAGCATTTTCAGAACAGAAAAATATGCAAATCTCCCAGGTTATTGTCTTGATTCTACAATAACATTCTTGTGGCTTAAAGGTGCAATACGTAACATGCGAAGGGCCCACCACTTGCTCATCTGCATGGAGTGATATGTTCCATAATATGGCATTAAACTCACAATAAGAATCCATGTTTTTAAGGCATTTATGAGTGATAAAAACACCTATAATTGAACATATTTAATGCCATACAATGAAACATTCCAGACAAAGCAATCACATCTCCATGGAAACAAGCAAGTGGCAGACCCTTTACCAGAAAAGTTACATAGATCACCTTTAATCATCTCCCTGTCTCACCTTAGTTCATTTGTACTGATTCATTTGCTTCAAGTGGACAGGCCGAGTAATTACAGAGATATTAACCATAAACCATCTCTAAACATCTGCCATTTCTAATCTTTAGCAGCTCATTCTGCCTTCGTCTTCAATTGTATGACCTTTAATGGGTCTTGACGTTGCAAGATTATCCAAAAGGGATGTCTAAAAATAGGGGAAAAGTTGTTTAAATGTCGCCTTTTCATCAGATTTTCACGTCAGAAATCCTTTGTTTAGTTTGGTTTCATTGAGAACAATAATAACCCAATGTCTAACTGCTCCTACGCGCTCGTCATTCTGCAAAATACCAACAAAAGCATTCACTATTTTTGACTAATTCTGTGCGTCACAAACACCATCGGTTCTCAAACTGTGGTACACATCCCCTTGGTGTTAATAATAGTAATAATAACATGGCTAGTATCCTTGTGTTTGGAAATTTTAATTATATCCAAAAACGAAAATGCACAAATGAATCAGTTTCTTTAAATTAGGTTTGGAATCCTGCAATAATTTTCCAACGAACGCAACATCTGATTTACCTTTACCTGTCCTAATATCAATAAAACTATTTATGGTAGGGCATCTGACACAAAGGTATAAGTAAGTTAACTGTAGATACCATTGAAACATATGAATAGGAATTAATTTGATAAATAATTGATAAAAAGGTACTGAAGTTGTAACTATAATGGCATTTTAACATTCCAAAAGTGAAGTTGATTATATCCAAACAAATTTCACCAGTTTATTCAAATCTAGTCCAGGTAAACATATTTTAAAAATTTCTTAACATTTTGTCATTGCAACTTGAAAAATGTGATTGCTCAGTAGTTATCCAGTGTTAGTGGTTTAAATTTAGACCAGATTTAGTCCTGGTTTAGAACTGTTTTAGACCTGTTATGCTTTAGGCTCTATAATGAAGAAACCTGGGATTAGTCCTGGTTCAGACTTGGTTTAAACGTCGATGATTGGAACTCTTAACATTTGAGAGTCAAAGTTTCCCTGCTTTGAGAGATTTCTTAAAATTATCCATCACAATTTTCTATGTGTCATCTTGTATTTGCATCTCGTTACACCTTTTGAGGAAACCAGAACTCCAGAATACTCTTATAACGCTACTTCTATAATGTTCGTTTAGGTCAGTCAGTTTGTAAAAGAGTTTTTAACGTTACTGTTTGGTTGACTTTTAAATATTGCTCAATCAAAAAGAAAATTATAGGTGCAAATATAATAGTGGAGCAAATGAACACACTTGAATTATGGGAAAAACAACAATATTAAATAAAAAAATAGCTTGAACTAATCTTGGTTCAATTTGACTAAAATAAGAATTTATTTATTGTTGCAAATATATAGTAAATCCATTATACTGGAAAACTTTTTAAGACTCTTGGTTTGGGTGGATTTTGTCTTGTTACTTGCCAAAAATAATCGTAGTAGTAGTAGTAGTAGTGGTGGTGGTGGTGGTGGTATTATATTTCTTCCCTGCCATTTTAAGTGACTAATAATAGCTACTCCAATTGCAAATATTATTTATAGACCAGTCAAAATCTATTCCAATCAAAATTAAATCGCTAATTAAACTTATTTAAGAGTGTTGTTTTTCCCTTTCCCATGAATCTGATAATGAAACATCCCTCATTTACAATCATAACGTGTCTTTGTATGTTTTGCCAAATTACACTGTTTCAACAGAAATCACCACTTTCTCATCTGAACTCTGCATCGTTTCGGTGTTACACAAATTAATGTCGTCTCCGCTCTTCTGGCTCCTCACTGGACAATCCACGCTGTCGTGAAGCTCGGAATTGCCTACGAACAACTTCTTTTCTCCTCCGTCTTTGCCGCCATCTTGTTTTAGCTTCTCTTTCTCTTCAGCATCATCGTCGTCGTCGTCATCATCGTCGTCGTCATCTTCGTCTTCAACTCGGCAACGGCAAACTTCGATACCAGAATCTCCCGTTAACCTTCTGTGACGGTACTGGCTTTCGTCCGCTGCTACGTCGCTATCCTCGCAATATTCTTCGTCAGCTTGCTCCTCGGACTCTTCGTCGTCCCAGTTGGGATTTACCGGTTCGAAAATGTCTACGCAGGGCGAGAAAAGGGTTTGTTTAGGCGGGGACTGGTGTGTTCCGCGGAGAGGGGGACAGGGACGAAGCGTGGCCCGAAGATGCTGCGCTTTTCTCGGACGCGTGGAGAGCGGCGAGAGGGTCCAACAGCAACATGGAAACCGGAGGAGAGGGAAGAGAAGGCGAAGGGATGGAGCAAGGTGAAGAAGGCGAGGTCGCGAATGATGGCGGATCTGCTTGAATTGTGATCGCGGGGAAAAAAGAATTTGAATTTTCATTTTTGACTGGTAAATTTGTGAAAGAATGTTCCAAATTAAGACTGTGCGATTGGGGTACGCCTAAACAAGATGTGGATTCCGTTGGGAGCGATTTTGACAATGTTTTCTCATCTGACAAATTTGCGTTTTTTCTATCAAACGTCGACCAAAGAATATCAGAAGCTAAGGTTAAGTCCGACTTAGCTTTTGAGCTAAAACTTGGGTCTTCTTTGTAAAAACGCAAACTTGATGCTATGTTTTCTTGGCAACTCAATTCCTTCGAGGCAACATCTTGGGACAATGGTAAAACTGGACAGACCAAATTAGCATGATCTGGTATGGATATTGAAATGCATTCACTGACAGGTTCTGGCAAAGTTGTGGCAATTTCTTGAGTTTGGCTAATTGTTGGAGACTGAATTTTTGAATTTACATCGATTAAACTTGGCTTTTGAGTTAAATTTAGCATTTCAGAAATTGGCGGAGTTACAGCTTGTGTTGTAACTTTAGATTTAGAATTTGGGGTACAGTCTGTACTTTCTGGGAGAGGAGGAGCAAGTCCCAACAATGATTTGGGTGCTTGCAAAATACCTGAATTTTTTAAAGTGCTTGTATCTATGTTTTCACTTTTTTGGTCAACATTCATAGCTACCATTTCTGTTGGTTGCACCAGTTCTGTGGTCAGTTTGCAAGACCCAAAGATGTCTTGATGGTTCTTAGTAACGTCAGCCTCAACTGTTGGTGCTGGGCTTTTAATTTCCGCAGTTTCGCTTGGCGCTTTGACGAAATATGTAACTTTATCATTTTGTTGTGTGACAATACATGTTTTTGTGTCTAATTCTGAAGTTTCTCCAGCTGGTTTGGTAGAAAAATTAGATATTCCTTGGCTTGAGGGTGAAGAGATAACAGACTGGTCGGAATTTGTGGCAACCGGATCAGCAAACAAATGTAAAGTCCTCGTAGGAGATAAGTTGGAGGGAGTCGTTTCTGGAGTTGATTTTTGAATTTTGGAATCTGATTTTTGAATTTTGGAATCTGATTTTGAGGTGCAAGTCTCATCAGATAAAATAGATCTGCTAGGATTTTGCGGAGAAACCGAAATTGGGACTAAACTTGGGTTTGTGTCTGTATTCCCGCCCATAGAGTCTAGTATTAGGTTAAGAGTCCTTGGCTGTTTGTGGCTGGTGGTGCTATCAAAAGTTCTTGTTACGTTTAAGCTAGCTGGAGGGCTAGTCATTGGCGAGTTGGATTTAGAATTCTCTGTGCTCTGAGGACAAGAAGTTGGAGTCGTTGTAACTGTTTTGATGTCCAGTTGTTGCTTTATTGGAGGCGTAATCCCAACTGGAAACGTAGCATCCGAGTTGGACGAGGCTATTGTTTCCAGTGGAGATGCCGATCTGGTAGCAACAACAGTGACGCTTTCTGTTGTGGCTGCCGGATTGGTTTCCTCGATTAAAATGGCGACCGTGGCAGAGTCGTCCGTCTTGCCCTGGGGCAGCTCCAGGCGAGTGGCGGCCGCGCTGATCGTCTCCATGGTGACAGAGTCCAGGGCGAGAGGCGTGGCTTCGCTGGGCGTGGAGGTGTGGCTTGTGTCCGTCTCATAGGTAACGGGCGCGGAGAGGGAGGAGCTACAGGGGGAGGACGGGCAGCAGGAGTCACAGGAGCAGCTGGAGCTAAGGACAGAAAGCAAAATAAGTTTTCACACGATATGATAAAACTTAAATGGTGCTGTGCCTAATTATTCACCACAACTTTTCACAATGTTTAGACACCATTGCAAGCTTCTAGGGATGGGACAAGGTCTCGAGCCACGAGATGTTGCAAGATAAAATTGCCACAAGATTGCACACATGTGGAAAATTATCTTGTGAAATTTTTGTCCAGGTATTTATTTACATTAGCCTTAGAAAAAATTGAGGATCTAAAAAGCAGTTCTATAATGACAGCAAAAATACTAAATAAAGTTTTCCATGAGTTCCAATATTATTTTCCAGCACCACCACAGAGTAGTTTATTAGTTATTTGAATCCTGAAGCCAGTGTTACCAGTGCAGTCAGCTATGGGTCTATTGAACTCAAATCTCTATTTCCAAATTACAAATATACATTCACTATTTTGATAGCAATCCTCATTACATTTCACTGCATAATTTTTTCATTAATAAAATCACATTTCCAAATCACAGTTGAATTCCGCTTCATCTACAGTGCACATTCACAGTCCATTTACAGGACATGGACGTTTCAGATAGATTTTTAGTAATCACCTGTTTAGATATGTGGGCATTACTGCCATACTTCTGCAAAGAATTACAATGAACAATGTTAGTGGTGGTTTGTTATTTTGAAACCATAATAAACTTCCTGGAACAGACTTCCTGTCATATGTCACCACATAAGACCTTACTGCCAATGTGCATGCAAAGCAAAAACTGTAGATATTTAGAGATACACTGAATATGTATTGTGATTGGAGACAGAGTAGTGGACAAATGCAGACTTATTTAATTTGCAGGTCTAGAATTTTGGGATTCTTTCAACACATTTCAGGAAGGTTTCAATATTTGCTTTTCTTTAAAGGCCCTAAATTACACAAAATGGATTCTTGTGAGCTTTTAAGCAATGTTATAATGCTGTTACCTGATCAAAAACATACTGTACATGGAGCTGTGTTTTTGTTATGTTTGAGTAATCCTTTGTTATTACTGTCTACATCCAAACAAAGACTTTTTTTTTTCTTCTACACTTAAGTTGACTTGTTATTTTCTAATTTAATTGACAAATAACCAGCCCAAAGCACAATATGTAACTTTCCTGGAAAATGGTCAGCTACTTGCTTGTCTAAATCATTAACTGCATAAAGAAGTGGATTCAGGGAGTGTTTTACTTCACCCGTCATGTTTAGCTCCAGTCAAATGAAGCTCACAAAGCTAGCTGAGTTCCATATTAGGCAAAATAGCAAAATACAAACACCAGGATCAAGAGTGGGTTAATACAAACATTGTAAGACTAAGATGATGAGGCTAACTGCAGCAGTTAGCAGCAGAGAGAAGGGTTAGCTACTATTGTAGCCACAGCTGCCCTGGGGCAGACTGATGGAAGCAAGGCTGTCAATTTTCACCATCCGCCCCTCCGAACACCACCAACACTCACGCACACACCTCTTTCATACTAGGCAATGTGGGTGAAGTGCATTGCCTAAGGACACAATGACTTTTTGTGACTGGTGCTCCACTGTGGCACCTGATTTTCTCAGTGGTCTCTCATACAAGTACTAACAAGGCCCAGCCTTCTTAGCTTCTGAGATGTGACGGGATCAGGCTTTGACAAGCCGCTATGGCCACAATCAACTCAATTGGAACCAAAGTCAATTGGAACCAATTGGAGTCACTGGAACTGGAAGGGCCCCCATGCTCACTTCCTTCTTGGCTGGTGGGTTAGCTATGTCAATTTATATATGCAGTGTATGGTCTAAATAGAGATTACTTTGCTTACTATGTTCACAGTATGGCATTAAACCTGGAAACAAGCAGGTGACAACAAAACACGCAACATTAGTACCAGAGTTTACTTTTGACTACACTATAGTGTTACACTGTAATACTGTACATAGTTCTTTTTCCACAGTGCATCTCTTACCTGTTGTCAGAGCTGAGTGAGGAGGGTCCGTCGCTCAAAGGCTGCAGGGGCCGGTGGAGCAGGGTCCCTGGGTGCTGCTGGGTGAGGAGGTGAGGGTCGGCTGTGCGGGGGGGCTGGGGGTATCGTGGAGCAGTGAACACAGAGCTGTACGGAGGAGGAGGAGTGGAGGGTTGAGCGGCCACCTCCTCATAAGACGGTAACTTTAGGGATGCCAAGAAACCTGAGGAGGAAGAGGGATAGAGAGGGTTAGGTTTAGTTCTGGTTTACTTTTGGTACAGTCTGGTTCAGGTGTAGTCCTGGGTCAGTTCTATAGTAGTCCCAGTGTGGTCCTGGTTACACATAGTTTAATCCTGGTTCAGTATTGGTTCAGTCCTGTTTCAGTCCTGATTCAGTTCTTGTTTCAAATCGAAATAGTGCCTGTTTGAAACTGTTCTGTTATTAAGTCTTTGTTTAGTCCTGGTCCAATGGTTTAGTCATGTTTTAATCCTGATTCAGTCCTAGTCAAGTCCTGGTTCAGTCCCAATTGAGTTCCCGTTTCAGATTAAAACCATTCCATGTTTGAAATTGTTCAGTCTTGGTTCAGTCTTTGTTTAGTCCTTCTCCAGACATAGTTCAGTCCTTGATTAGTCCAGGTTCAATCCTGATTGAGTTCTGGGCCAGTCTTGGTTCAGTCGTGCTTCAGCCTTGCTTCAGTCTTGGTTGTGTTCTGGTCCAATCCTGGTCCAGTCCTGGCTCTTACTGAGGTCCAGCATGGAGGAGGGGAAAGAGGAGGCTCCCTGATAGGCGAGCAGGCTGATGTCTCTTTGCCTCTGCTGCTGCTGGACTCGCAGTTTGGCTCGGCGATGTCGATAAGCACAACAGCAACTGAACAGGATCAGGACGGTCCAGAGCAGCCAGAACCCTGAAGAGCACAGGCCCAAAGGTTAAGACAAGAAAAAACAAGATAATGAATTAATTATAACAATATATCTGTTTTTTTAGGCTTTAAAGTTGCTTTTAGGGTAAGAGCAAAACTATATTGATCTTAAAGTGAAGATATATACTTATTCAGCTCTTTAACGAACACTATGCAACATTTCTGAAGGACGTCTGCCACTTGCTTGTCTCTATATAGACGTGACAGCTTTGCTTAGAATGATCCACAGTATGGCATTTTAAGTATCTCATCGAGAAAAGCCAGTGAGTCAACCAGGCTACGTTACAGGTCAGATTTGTGGAGAGGCAAGCCTGCAAGAATAAAGTTTTTCCTCCCTTTTTTTGCAATAAAAACATCTATATTTTAACACATTCTAGAACAGATTTATACATTTAATGCATAATGTGGAAGCATTTTAATCTCCATAACACCCAGTCATACCACAAAGTACATGATTACTCATACAGGTGGGAATTAAATCAAAACTACCAAATGATTATTAAAAACAAGCAAAATATACCCAACATTTTGCTCAATAATAGTTTTGTTACTTGTTGTCTGGTGTAGACAGATCAAGTTCTACCGTTGTGTCCTTAGGCATTTCACTCATCTTGCCTAGTACAGACATGATGCGTGAGTGAGTGATTATTGTTCGCCTCAGTTCAGTTTAGGGCAAATGTGGCTATAATAACTTACAGCAGCTTATCACCAGGCAGAAAGTGAAAGAATAATGCAAGAAATTGTAAAGTGACTTTGAGCATCTGGAAAAGCACTAGATAAAATTATATCATTATATAGCACTACAAAAACACACTGGTACAGCGTTTGTTTGTTTTAATGTTTTTTGTTTGTTTTGTTTTGTGTGCAGCATTTTGGAACATAACTATTTATATATAACATGTAGTATATAAATAAAGTGGATTGGATTATTACTTCATTATTACTTACACCAGAGCCCATAGTAGTAGTAGTTCTAGGAGTAGTAGTAGTAGTAGTAGTATTTCATTACTTACACCAGAGCTCGTAGTAGTAGTAGTTGTTCTAGTAGTAGTAGTAGTAGTAGTAGTAGTAGTAGTAGTAGTAGGATTTCATTACTTACACCAGAGCTCGTAGTAGTAGGTGCAACAGCCGCTCTCCCCGCAGCAGTGTCCGGTCTCACACAGGTAGCCCCCGTTAGCGTTAGCACCGGGGCAGTAGCGCGGTCTCCCCAGCAGGGGCAGGCTACCACCGGAGTGGTACTCCATCACACCCCCGCGTCTCCTGCAGCTACTCTACGCCACGGCTACGGCTACTCCTGCGCGGACCACTTACGGACCGCTAAAGGCCCTACCCTAGGCCTCTGCTGTAGGCTGAAGCAGCTTAAAATGCCACTAAGCCTTCTTAAAACTGCCAAAAATATGACTCCTCACCTTCTATTATGTTTATAGAATTTTAGTGAGGAAAATTTTGTTAACTGGGTTGTTAAAGAAAAACTGCTTACTACAGATCAAGCAGGTCAAAACTAGGTCCAAATTGAGACCAGTTCAATATTAAGACTAAACGAGGAGTAAACCAGGACTTAACCAGGACTAAATCAGAAGTAAACCAGGACTAAATCAGGAGTAAACCAGGACTAAACCAGGACCAATCGGGCAGCTTGTTTGTCAGCCAGATGACGTCTGCAGCTGGTGGCGAGAAGCAGGATGTATGCCAACTGAAAAAAAGAAAAAACACAAAGCTTTATTGATAAAAGTGGCGCACAATGACAGTCTTTAGCAGACTCCTGATTGAGATTCAGCCCAAACCGCAAAGACTTGGGCAGTGAATGAAACAAAGAATGCTATTTACTAACTAAGACTAAACCAGGACTTGACTAGGAATAAAACCGGACTACACAAGGATCACAGAAAACAGAAACACAGTCTAAAACAATCAAGCCAATAAGAACTTCAAGGTGCACAATGGTAACATTACAGGTTGGACTACAGGCACCTGCAAGTGTCCATGGAGATGTTATTGCTTTGCCTGGAATGTCCCACAGTATGGCAGTAAACTTTCCATAGTGAGAAGGAGGTGATGCCAACGGGCCAAGTTACAGGTTGGATCTGTGGAAATTCAAACCCGCTCACAGTAGGATTTTTTTTTTTTCTTCATATTTTGTAATAAAAGACATGTAACTGAACAAATGCAAAATGTATAAGTTGAATGCCATACTGTGTAACATTGCAGGGAAATCAATAACATCCTCCACCTGAAAAGTTACATAGTGCACCTTTAATACAGAGTTTGAGAAGATCATTCAACCTTACTGGGGATATACCAGATATAAAACCAAGACCAAAAAAATACATGCATAAATAAAACCAAACAAGAAGACTAAATAACAAAGACTTGGATTCTCGCCTGTTGTCCTATAATTTGTTGAATGCGACAGCGTTTGGGCCAAGTTCGAGTGGCGCGAATTTCACTGCGGCGCGCGCAGAGAGAAAACCAGAGCAAAAACATGACACTGCTGTGCCCCTCCAGACGACAGGTGCGACCTAAACTGGACCGGGTCTAAACCAGCTCTAGACCAGGCTGAACCGGGTCTACAGCAGGTCTACACACTGGAGTAAACAGGGTTCAGAGCAGATGCACGCTAATAAATCAAATGCGTAAAGTCCGAGTTAAGACGGGATAATATGCTTGTAATAAATAATAACCAGGATTAAGCCAGAACTAAATCGTTACTAAACCAGTACTAAACCTAGACTAAAGAAGATAGACACCATTTTGATTCAATGCGCATGCATGTGTCCCCGTGCGCGCGTCCTGGTGGTGTACCCAGAACTAAGCTTAGCGTTCCCCGTGCACATACTCACCTACGTCACCTATCCATGGCGCCGGACTGTGCGCCTTAGCTCTGCGGGCTCTGGTGCTCTGTGTGTCGGCCTGGGTGCGCGGCTCGGGTCGGTATGTGACTGCGGGGCCTGGTCTGGAGCGTCTGCCCTCCTCCCTGCGCTCCCTCCGCCGCCATCAGCAGCGCCAGCGGCACGTCAATACTCCGACCGAGCAGCGGGTGCACTTCCTCTGAACGCGGAGGGATTTCACAATTAAACGACCTGTGACGGAAAAACACATTTACAATGTCACTCCTGCCACACAACACAGTGATACAGATGCCACCACACAGACAAGTGGGATACACCACAGCTATGACACTAAATCAGCTAACAGTGTCCACCAGTTTCCGTCCAAAGTGTAACAAAGCGTCCACCCTGATTTTAATGTTAGGCGTTTTTTGTGTTATTATTATTTTCATTAATGTTATAAGTTGAACACATCATTTATCTTCCTAAAAGCACCACTTCTCCTCGGACATTATTGTGTGGTAGCCTCCAAACTTTTCCAAACCGGAAATCAAGCTGGGTGCCTTTTTATAACTTGATTCCTTCGCCATTTCAGAGCCATGTCTGCACAGCCTCACCGCCCATATTCTGCTAAAATCCTACTCAAACCAACAACACACGGTTTGCACACACGCACGCACACTCACGCCTGCCATACTCTCCACTTTAGGGCGCCATGTGCACATTATAAAGTTGCAGAATGACATAAATGTCGCTAAACAGCTTCGGAGAGATATGGTGGACGTTTGTAGTAAAAGTAGAGAGACGCACGCACATTATGGATTCTTATGGCGCACGCACTGAGCGCTGATTGGCTGAAGCGGCGGAGGGAGACACGCGCGGCCCCAGCAACAAGGGACAGATTTCTTTATTTGTCACAGATCAGTTTTCAGCAGAGTTGAAGAGGAGCCAAAATATTTACTCAGTATTATTACTCGAGTACAAGTAAAAAGTAACGAATTAAATAGGTAAGTTATAAGGTGAACGTAGCTATTCTCAAATCTTATCAGTTTTATGGATATAATTAGACAAATACAACATAAAACCATTTGAAGAAAATATATAGTAAAGAATATTGTACTCTTTTCATGCACCATATCTATGGTAATACTATGAATGCAATTGCCCTTTATAACAGGATTTTTGTTTACGACACTTACTACACTCAGTGTTAATTACTGTTTTAGCCACAGGTGCCCAACGCTGACAGATGGAGTGCTGCTCATCTGCGCCAACAGCCTCTCCAATTTCGTTAACACATCACATTCATATAGGTGCAAAGTGGGTGATAACTGTCTGTACCAAAGGCAAAACAAATCTGTGGCCAGAGATTCTGTTTAAAGACTATAACTGGTTTGCATGCCACCAAGATATTACATAAAAATATTATAACCTAATTAAATAAAACTAATTAAACTATAAAACTTTCTGTTGTGTGTAACAGGTTCTCCACCAGATGGCGCCATTTGTGAAAAAGTGGAGCTGCAGCACAGAACAGGTAAAGTGTATACAAAGCCTCAGTGTTACCAAATCTCTATAAATCTTTATAAAAATCAGCACATATTTTTGACAAGAAAGAGGATAAAAGTAGGATAAAAAATATTTTAATGAATAATGAATATCATATAAATTTTTTTACTGATTCAGTGGTTTTAGTAGTTTACTGTCCTGTTCTAATTCAGACCATTTCTCTAATCCAGACTTTTGTCCTTATTTAGTCCTATTTTCTCTTTGCTTGCTCTTGACCTGGTTTAGTCCACACTGGTCCTGGTTCAGACATGATGTAGTTCAGATTGTAGTCCTAATTTAGACCTTTTTTGCTCTTGGCCTGGTTTACTCTATTCCCTAGTCCCATTTTAGTTCATGGTCTTGTAGCCCATGGTCTAGTCCTGGTCTAGTCCATGGTCTAGTCCTGGTCTACTCCATGGTCTCGTCCTGGTCTAGTCCATGGTCTGGTTCTGGTTTAGTCCTAATTTAGTCCTTGTTTGCTCTTGGCCTGATTCATTCTGAGCGGGTCAATCGTTGAACAAACACACACAGACTTTGGACCAAAAAAAACACCAACATTTTTTGAATCTAGACCACGATCCAGACCAAGAACCAGACCAGGACCCAGACCAGGAACCAGACTCAGACTAGAATTAGGACCTGGAGAAATGTCGACTCAATTTCGCGACGAGCCGGACGAAGACGATGTCAGCAACTCCTACTGGAACAAAGGTATTTGAAAAGAACAGTTGGTCTCGTTGTAGAGTTTGATGACACTGTAATTTCAGATGGAGGACAGGGGCCTAAATAACTCGATGGGAGATTCATTGTTTTTGAAAGAAATTTATGATCCACATATATTAAACCTTTTCATTATTTGTTTGGGATTAGGTCTACAAACCTGCCATATTAATCTTATGACTTAATGTTCTTTCAGCTGACAACAAGCATGTCTTTTGTCATGTGCCAGTTTTTGTTTCATGTGGATAGGCCCAGTAATTACAGAGATATAAATCATAAATCAGTGAAAAAGCAAGTTTTAAGCTACAGAGATCTGATTTGCTGGTATATTTCTACATCAAATATTACTCCTGCCACTACTACTAATACTACTAACCTCAATTTGGCTCTGCTCCTCTCCCTCTGCTCCTGTCTGATCTAAAATCCTGGTTGTGATCCTCAGACCCAGGTCCAATCCGGTACTCGGCCTTTTTCATTTATCGTAAATGGCTGGTCTCTGGTTTAGTTTCAGTCTTCATCCTCATCCTCATCATTGCCTTTGGAGTTAGCAGTGAGTTAAACTTAACAAAGACTAAACCAGGACTTCACAAGGACTTAATTAAGGATTTAACCTGGACTTCACTGAGACTAAACCAGGACAAAGCCAGGACTAAATCCAAATTTAACCAAGGACTAAACCAGTCAGAACCAACACAGACTTAGTCTAAGACTAAACCAGAACTATTGGACTAAACCAAGTGATATGGAGTAACAGCACCATTTAATCAAGGACTAACCAAAATGAGTACCAACTAGGACTAACAAATAACTAAACCAGGACTAAATCAGAACTGAATCAGCATTAAACTAACATTAAACCAGGACTAAAATAGAACTTTTGTTTGAGATGCGGGACTGGCCTCTCGTCTGGGTTTGATGGAGGAAACCGTTTCGAACCTGAGTGTCTCTTTGACCAGCTCACAGAAAGAAAGCAAAGGTATTTTCACTAACTGCACTGTAAAACGTAACTTATGTATTAAATTTAAATTAGTTTGTGTAAGTTTTCTTTGAGACAGCTAGAGGCAAAACAAAATGGAACATAATTTCAATGGTTAAAGTGTATATAACAGAGGTTTTTTTGTTTTGTAGAGATTATTTTGTAGAGATAATTATGCACACTTAGCATTTTTAATGAAGTTTTTCAATGAAGTTTTACTGGAAAATACCTTACAGAAGTGTTGAAACAACAATAGTTTTTCAAATGAATCTAAAGATGTGTTCATCACTACCAAATCTTAAATTTTGCAAAAATCAAATACAGTTTTGAAGCTAGAGAAAATCCTTTGTATACAGATTCAAACTAAGGGACATTTCTACCCTGGAAATTCAAAATCGTGTCTTATTTTTTTGCTATTAAGACTTTATTTATATCTGATGTTATTTATATTTATGTTTATTTTTTAAATGACTTTATTTATCTTTATTGTGCTTTTGCTATAAAACATATAAAAATAAAAATGTACCATATGTCCAACTTTATTTTGAAAGTGTTTGTTGTGTTTGTCACAGATACAGCCAAAAGCGTGCAGAGGCTGAGATTTAATGTGGAGAGCAACAAGGACAACCTCAACTCAGGTTACACTTTAAAGCTGCATTGTGGAACATTTTTGATCGGGAGTCTGCCACTCAGATTTTCCTACTTTGCCTGGAATTTCCTAGCCAGACTGGCGCCACCTAGTGCCTCTGTTCAATTTCATTTCTCTCCAGCGACTAGGTCAGGAATCAGAATACACTATACGGTTTGCAAGAACCCCGGAAGTCCGAGTTCGGGCACCAGCCAATCAGCGAAGAGCCATATATTCTGTGTTGTCAATGATTCCTGAGATCTAGGATTTAAGCCGGAACAAAGAGAATGTTAATTGAATTTTATCAAGGGGAAAGACATTATTGCTCTTGATAAAATTTCTTCCTACGGGATTTGGGAAAAAGCTTAATATACCTGTTAGCTCCGTTAACGGGGCATTACATACATCACGACCAAATAGCAGAGATTGGTTAAATTTTAAAAAGTACCCACCTACCATCGAGCGAAAGAATCCCAACACTTAACACATTCCCACAGTATGGCATTAACTTATCTTTCTTGCATTCCTTCAATTACAGGCAATTTCTATTATTAAATACTGTGACAAAACATGCATTCTTACTGTGAGCTTTATCTGTGACTTTAATGCCCTATGGTGGAACATTCTAACCAAAGCATTAACATTTCCATGGAGACAAGCAGGTGGCAGATCCTCCACCAAAAAAGTTAGATAATGTACCTTTGAAAAAGCCCAATTAATTTGACATTTTACCTATAATTTAGGTGTTATATCTAACACATGCTTTTCAGTATCTTACACATCTCTACATATGAAAACTACTGAATGATTTTATTATGAGGACAGGAATAATTCTTGTATTAATTAAAATATACGTTCATAAGAAACATGCTAAAAAGAAATATTAAACATGATTATTTACAAGGTCCATTATCCTTCTATATTTATCTAACCACACCACAATATTTGCAGATGAAAGGCCTTGTATCCGATTTTTTCCCATGCATTTCAGCAAAACTGGTCTTGTCCCAGTGCAGATATAGCACTATGATGACAAAACTCTGCTCTGGTCTCTGAAAATTTGAAAAGTGCTCATAAATTCATTGTGGTGAATAATTTAAATGCTCAGAATGCATAAGGTAAATGAGGAATGACCACTACAAACCACTTAAAATGAACGGGTTTTTAAGACAGTAAAACTCAGAGACATTTTATTTAACTCCATCTGGTAAACATAATTTTGAGGAGGAAGGCATGGCATCTGGCACATAATCTGCTGAGACCTTCCTCAGTCTGGTTTGAATCCCAGTTGAATCTGGTGTTTTGTTTTTTTTTTTTTTTCAGTGGCAGAGTCATTACAACAGCTCTCAGCATTGGATTCGCTGACCAAAACAGTGGCTTCGGTCAAATGCACATTGAACCAATTACTCAACAATGGTGAGTATTTTTTAGAGTTTTTATTATAGTGAAGATATTTCCTCCTGCAGTTAGTTCAGTTATGACACTCTTTGAACTTAATCTCAAGAAACAGGTTGCAATCCCTACAGTTTAAACTGAACTGGAGGACAGGTCAGAAGTCTATGGTGCTCTTTAACTGTCAGATTGTAGATTTGTTGTCCTGGTGCATCAATAGTTAGACCTGGAATAGTCCTGTTTTAGACCTGGTTTAGATCTGGCAGTACTCAAGAGACAAATAATCTTATATGTGGTGTGAACCGTGGGTACAGACTAAATAATGTTATCAAAGTTAGGCAGTTGTAGTAAGTGTTTTTGTATGTTTTGTATTGTTGTGGGCAAAGTGGGCTCTGTAGTTGTAGTAATAGTAGTTTTACTGTTGTGTTGTAGGCACGATAGGCTCTGGCTGCTGTCCGCTAGAGTGGGACCGGTTTGAGTCTTCCTGTTATTTGTTTAGTAAAGAGTCCAAGACGTGGCACGATGCCCGAGACTGGTGCCACGCTCACCAGAGCCAGCTGCTCATCATCAGCACTGACAAGGAATGGGTAAGGCTCCTGCTGATACTTCACAGTGACATCATGCTGGGGGTGTTCTACATGCTTTATTGGCGGCACTAAACAGTTACCATGGTGACACAATGCACACATTAGCAATGACTACCAAAAAGATCGTCTGAAAACTCAAGTAAAAAATACTAAATGGATTTAAACACATTTTCAGGATCCTGTGATCAATTCTTTATGTATATAAAAGTGGTAAAAATTAAGAAAAAAATACATTAAATGAGAAGGTGTGTCCAAACTTTATCTGGCAGTGTATTTTTAATGGAAAATCAGTTACCATTAAGAATGAGTCCAATTTTGGTTTGACCATGGCCAGTTTTTCATTTGATCTTAATAACATTTACATCTTGAGCCCTGGCTGCTCCTGTCTGACTGGTCTGTTCTCTGCCTTGGTTCAGGACTATCTGACCAATCACCTTTCGGGGACCTTTTACTGGGTCGGATTGACAGACGAGAACGGCAAATGGGAATGGGCCAATGGAACTCCATACACCATGGACCGCAGGTAACGCCTCTGCACCTGTCTGCACCTGTCTCTGCTCCTCTGGTTCTCCTGCTTTGGCTCTTCTCTGGTTCTTCTCCTGTGGCTCTGCTCCTCTAATTTTGCTCCACTGACTGTTCTTCTCTGACTGTTCTCCTGTGGCTCTTCTCCTGTGGCTTTTCTCCTCTGGCTCTTCTCCTGTGGCTCTTCTCCTCTGGCTTTTCTCCTCTGGCTCTTCTCCTCTGACTCTTCTCCTCTGACTCTTCTCCTCTGACTTTTCTCCTCTGGCTTTTCTCCTCTGGCTCTTCTCCTCTGACTGTTCTCCTGTGGCTCTTCTCCTCTGGCTCTTCTCCTGTGGCTTTTCTCCTCTGGCTCTTCTCCTCTGACTCTTCTCCTGTGGCTCTTCTCCTGTGGCTCTTCTCCTCTGGCTTTTCTCCTCTGATTCTTCTCCTCTGACTCTTCTCCTCTGACTCTTTTCCTGTGGCTCTTCTCTTCTGAGTCTTCTCCTCTGGCTCTTCTCCTCTGGCTTTTCTCCTCTGGCTCTTCTCCTCTGACTCTTCTCCTGTGGCTCTTCTCCTCTGGCTTTTCTCCTCTGACTCTTCTCCTCTGACTCTTCTCCTCTGACTCTTTTCCTGTGGCTCTTCTCCTCTGACTCTTTTCCTGTGGCTCTTCTCTTCTGAGTCTTCTCCTCTGGCTCTTCTCCTCTGACTCTTTTCCTGTGGCTCTTCTCCTCTGACTCTTTTCCTGTGGCTCTTCTCCTCTGACTCTTCTCCTGTGGCTCTTCTCCTCTGGCTCTTCTCCTGTGGCTCTTCTCCTCTGACTCTTCTCCTCTGGCTTTTCTCCTCTGACTCTTCTCCTCTGGCTGTTCTCCTCTGACTCTTTTCCTGTGGCTCTTCTCCTCTGGCTCTTCTCCTGTGGCTCTTCTCCTCTGACTCTTCTCCTCTGCTCTTTCTCCTCTGGCTCTTCTCCTGTGGCTCTTCTCCTCTGACTCTTCTCCTCTGGCTCTTCTCCTCTGACTCTTCTCCTGGCTCTTCTCCTCTGGCTCTTCTCCTCTGACTCTTTTCCTGTGGCTCTTCTCCTGTGGCTCTTCTCCTGTGGCTCTTCTCCTGTGGCTCTTCTCCTCTGATTCTTCTCCTCTGGCTTTTCTCCTCTGGCTCTTCTCCTCTGGCTCTTCTCCTCTGACTCTTTTCCTGTGGCTCTTCTCCTGTGGCTCTTCTCCTGTGGCTCTTCTCCTCTGACTCTTCTCCTCTACCTGTCTGCACCTGTCTGCACCTGTCTGCTCCTCTATTGCAGGCGGTGGAAACCTGGGCAGCCTGATAACTGGACTGGTCATGGTTTGGGGGAGGGGACGGAGGACTGCGCCCACCTTCACTGGGACGGGCGCTTAAATGACCTGCACTGCTCCTCCCGCTTGAAATTCATCTGCCACAGACACAGCACCCAAACCTAAACCTAAACGCTAAATTAAATGTACTGGCTTGTATTGTAATGGTAATAAAATTCACTCATGGCTTATTTCTGTATCTGTACACTTCTCCTTAGCCACTGAAGTTAAAGTGACAGTTTTCATGTTTATCTATCATTTGGTTTGGTGGGATATACCTGTGCTAAATATTTATCCTATTTTGAAAAAAAAAAAAAAAAAAAGTTGAGAATTACAGAAAGTAACAGAGTTCTAAAAAGGAATTCCTCTTTCTATGGCCCCATCCACACTTAGTATGTATTTGAGTTGTTTTTGTTGCGGATCCATTGTTTGTTGACACTAATCCGATTGAAAACGGCTCCAGAGACGGAACAATCTGGTGCCGCCAGCTCCCACGAATTCATCTGAGTACAGATCTGATCCGGCACTGTGTGGACACCTGAAAACGCTGATACACTGACACGCTGATGTAGGTCTATGAGCCGCGAAGTAGCTAATTTACTGCCAAAACACTAGAATATACAGTATGTCCATTCATATATACGATCTATGCGTGTGACCTGCAGATGTATAATCTCTGAAAAGTTTAACATGACCCATCTTCAACGCGATAGAAGCACAGAACAGACTCACCATCAGCAGAACTCCCCTCTGTCACAGAAAGAACACTCATATTCCACTGAGTCGTGTCCTTTAGTCCGACAGAAGCTGAACTGCATCAGCGCACAAGGAGCAAGCAGTTTTCTGAGTGCTCAGTTTATGCAATTTAGCCATGAGGTTTTAAGTTTCGCTTCTGTAAAACGTAAACAAATATGCTCAAATCTGTGTGGATAGAAACGGATTGCGGACACAGAAACGACGTGTCTGGACGCAAATCGTTTCTGATACGGTGATTCGTTTCAATGTAAACGTAGCCTATGTCATCAGTTGATAATTGATAACAACACACTGGGGGTGTTTTTCTTGTTTGCCTATGCCAGAATGTTCAGCAGTTACTATGGTGACACAATTAGGGTGACCAGATTCTCAAAGTCAAAAACTAGGACACCCCAGTTTGTAGCGGTTGGTAATAGAATAGAATAGAATAGAAAGTAAGTGCAAAAAAACAAATTAACAGTTCTCAGTGTAAAGTTGAGTTTAGTCTGGTGACAGCTTTGGGTAAGAAGCTGCCAGAAGCGGCTCTGGCTGGTATGGACTTGCAGTGTCTGCCACAAGGCAACAGGTTTAAGAGGTGGTAATAATGAAATTGTGAATCAAGTGCAAAATTAAGGAAAACTGTTCTGCACTCGGCCCATTTATGACGAACATGAGTCAATATAGTCACTTTTTCTGTGTTTTAGTCATTTTTAAGCAGCTTTTCTGAATTTTACTTCGACAGATATCAGTGCCTCTCTTTACTGTTGGCAGGGATCAAATCCAAAATAGGAACATCAGGGACATTTCTTTTATAAAATTGGGACAAATCACTGGTTTTGGATAAATCTGTGGGGACAATGGACACAGGGCTCAAAACTGGAACTGTCCCAGGTAAATAAGGACGTCTGTCACCCTGGACACAATGCACATTAGTAAATCTGAACACTGAAGTGGAAATAGATTTAAACACATTTTCAGGAGCCTGTGATAAATACGAGCTTTCCTGGTTCTGTTTACGTGAGCATGGACTGCTGAAAAACTGTTGGCTGATGCTAGCTTCTGACTGTAATGTTACTTGAGAGGGACTTGTTTAACAGCACTAATCATCTCACCTGTTGTTGTCCCATTTATGTCAGAATGTGTTAAAACAAAATTCTGATTAAAGTCTAATTTGAGTAACAGAGCTTCAAACAGAGCAGTGCTTACAGACAGCATCATCACACACCCAGAGAATATTGTTGATATCAGCTGCAAAGTATCAATATATCTAATTCAATCTGTACCAGGAGGTAAAATTATAAACCTCACTAAAATTGTCAATCTAGTGAAAACTTGGTAACAATAATTAGTAAAAGATTTTATATAAATATATGAATTACCGGTAATAATAATGTTTGTGAAATGAGTGGAGTAAGATACTTTGAACCTGTCAGGAGTAGTGTGGGTGATTGTAAAGTTTAGTCTGATGGGGAAAGTCAGATTAAAGTCACTCAGACACAGGAAGAACCCTGAACTCTCTCTAGTCAGTAATTAGTGGTCAAACAATGTCAAATTTATTGCAAAATTTGTTCAACATAAAATTGTGTTCTTTTTTAACAAGTCAAACTCGCTAAACGTACAAATGCAAAAGATGATTTCAAATCAATTAAAATAAGAAAAAGTTTAAATTATATCACCCAAAAGTGCAAAAATATTTTAGATGTGTAATAAATAAATGAAAGGTACAAAACTTCACAGTGTTCATACGAAACATTAAAATGGAAACTCTGAATAAGACATGTGGTGTTGATAAATATGAAAAACAAAAGTGCATCAATATTTAAGATGTAATAAATAAATTCTAAATAAAGAAAAAAAAGGTGCATCGGAATTGTTTTGTCACAACCTATTATTTCTTAATAAAAAAAGCAAAAAATCCTAAATCATTTTCATATCAAATAAAGATGATTTTTTTTGTTAAAGGTGCATTAACTTTCTGCTGGAGGCTTTGGTTCCTGCTTGTCTCCATGGCGATGTTATTGTTTGTCCTAGAATGTTCCCCAGAATGGCACTTGTAATGTGCTTTGAGTACCTTGAAGGTGGAAAAGCGCTATAAAAATCATGACCATTTACCATTAAACGTTTCTGTATTCATAGAGACGATGCCACCAGACCAAGTCTGAGGTTAGATCTTTTAGCAAATTAACACTAACTGAATAAATAGAAGATCTACATGGTTAATGTCATACTGTGGAACATTCCAAGCAAAGGAACAATATCAACCATGTCGCAAACTCACCACCAGAAAAGTTACATAGTGCACCTTTATCCTTTATAAAACAACAGTTTTGTTATTTTTTTCTTCACAGAATCACTTGTTAAGGTGAGTTTGTGTTACCTAAACAATCACTCCTTCCACTACCCACTAATAATTATTTTGTTGTAGAACTCTAAAGTGGTTGTAGTACCGTCTCTGTCCGTTTGAAGAAAAGGGGGCGCTCTCAGTTCAAAATAAACGCTCGGATCAGAACCAGCTCCACCGCGGCCCCGCCCAGATGACACGCCTCCAACACGCACAGCAGCCTCTGATTGGACAACTGTGCTGCCGTGGCGATGAGGTCGGCAGGGGAGGGGGGTGGGCCGTGGGGGGAGAAGGCGCCGTGTGACAAAATGGCCGCCCAGGAGTTTGAGTGACGCAGTGGAGCCGGAGAGGAGTCAGGGAGGAAGAGGACGTCCAGAGACAGGCCAGAGAGGACTGAGGAGGAAGAGCAGAGGATTTTTACTTAAAACATGAATTATTATTATTCTTTGACAGGCTGTGGAGTCAATAAAAAAAGCACAGTGCTGTGTACCTTCTTGTCTCCATTGACATTTTATTGTTTAATGTTCCTCAGTACAACATTAAACTCATCTATCTCTGTGGGAAGAAAACAGGTAATGCTATAGGGCCAAAGTACAGGTCAGATCCGTGGAGAAGCGGTTATGGGATTGTGTAACTTTTTTAGCAATATAAACACCTACAATTGATGTAGTCTAGATACATTTAATGCTATACTGTGGAACATTCCAGGCAAAGGAATAACATCTCATTGGAGACAAGTAGGTGCTGCAACCTTTAAGCTTTAAGTTGCAGACAAATCGTTCATGAAAAGATATCCATAACTCTTGAGGTAGACTGTAATAGTAATAAGAGTAGTGGTATAGTATTTGTAGTAGGTTAATAGTAATAATAGTACCTTGCAGCCTGAGAGAGTAGTAATCCTCAAAAGCGAACTGGAAATTGTGCACAGTGTTGGCCATATTTGCGCCCATCGTCACAGCAACAGCCAGTTCATCTTTTTGGGCGGGGTCAAAGCGCACGGGCAGCGTCTCCATGGCGATGGGAGAGAGGGTGGGACATGTGGTGATGTAAGAGGAAGAGGTGGAGTCTTCCTCTCGGTCGTCAGATTCCTGCAGAAACTCCAGAGAGGCCTCGAACAAGACCACTGAAAACACACGTACGGTAGGGCATCAGGGCTAATCGAAACCAAATCAAAATCACACACACAAACTATGACTAAATTATGAATATGCTCTGTTCATGTAACTATCAGACTGCGTTTGTTTATCTGGTTTATGGTTAATATCTCTGTAATTACTGGACCAATCCACATGAAACAAAATCTGTGAACAAGTTCTGGTCAGTTGACAGAACTTTAAACCATCTACCTGAAGGGAGGAGCTAACAACAATGAAACTACTTTGAAAACTAACACACGTACTTGTTTACAGTTTTGGTAAGTTAGCTAGGCCTATTGAAGTCCACACTATTTGCAGAATCATTCAGGCCACTGACGGGTGCTTTTACACCTCTGTGCCTAACCTGGATATCCATGTTGTTTTATTTGTTTTGATTTAGGTCTGAGGAGTTGTAAATGGGAGACAGATGATGGCGAAGACCTCCATTTTTGTTAGGAAAGACAATCCATCCTTGAACAGAAATGGAGGCCTTTGAAATCATCTGTCTCCTATTTATAACTCCATCCTCAGACCTAAAAAAACAAAAAACAAACAGAAACTGTAAACAAGTAGATGTGTTAGTTTCAGAGTCGTTTCAGTGTAGTTAGCTCCTACCTGCAGGCAGATATAAGGCAGTGTCCAAAAGCGTTCTGACCAGGACTGAAGAAGCAGCTTGGATAAGCTGCAAAACATATTTGACCAAAATAAACTTGTTTCCAGTTGACAAACTGAATTTCTCCTTGGCCATCTAGCATTTACTCATTACGGGTGCTTCTATAGCTCAAGGATACAATAATTCCTTTTGCGAATAGGGGCGACTCTCCACAGATCTGAATTATAATGTAGCATAGTACTGTTACCTACTTGTCTCTCTTGTGATAGATATGTTTAATCTTTATTGTGGAACATTCTAGACACAGGAATAACATTTCCATGGAGACAAGCGGGTCAACTCAGGTCAACCCTCAACTAGGAATGTTATGCAGCGCACCTTTAAGTGGATTGGATTGGATTGGATCTACGCCTAAAAAGAAGCAGTACCTGAGTTATGGTTGGGCTCTGGTCGGAGTGCAGCAAACGGAGACCTGCAAGAGGAGCAGCAGAAACATTCAGAGGTTTAAACAAAACCAGACTATACAGCAAAAAAAAAAAAAACTGTCACTTTTACTTTCTTTTCGAATGAAAAGGGGGCTGTAAGTGGAAGCAGACTTCAAGGGTGTTAAACAACTGTCCTAACCTGAGACAGTTCAATCACAGCCACTAATCTGTAGCACGTGGCTTTCAAATGCAGAACACATCTCCTTCTTGCTTGCTTGTTTCTCAAACCTATGTAATTTTTTCTTTTTTACTCGTAAGATGCCATATTTGTTTTCACACAAACAGATCATGTGTGTCTCTAATTGACCTGTCAGTCACATCCTTATATCCTAGAAGCATATATAATCTGGGCAGAAACAGAGAAAACACTGACCGTTTGTTTGGAGACGGGGCCTGGAACAACTTCCTCTTCACTGAACGGCTGCAAAACAAAACATTTAACTAGGTCTGTTACAGGTCCAGCATTATGCTTTGTCCAGACTTAAGCTAAGACTCAAGTTTCTCCAGTGTGAGGCGCTGTGGAGGCTCTGACCTGGGGGTGTGGTCCAGGGGGCGGGGCCTGAGCTGATTGGCAGGTGATGACGAGCAAGAGGAGGGACTTCTGACGGAGCGAGGGGATTGGTCAGGGCGAGGAGTGGAGCCAATGAGAGGAGAGGACAGAGGCGTGGCCAAGGGAGTGGGTGGGGTTAGAGACCAGGACAAGCACTGATCCTCCTGGGAAAATAAATAAAAGTAAAAATGAGTTTTAATCCTGAATGACATCTTCCTCGTACAAAAATATCATGTCTAACAAGTGAAACATATAATTTTCACAGCAAAAATAGTATCATTACCTGCCCCCGGCGACAGTGCGTCACCGCGGAGACCGTTGCCTGGAAACAGAAGCTACGTCGTTCGCGGTAACAGAGTCGGTCCAGCTCCCTGCGCAGCTCGGCTCCCTGCAGGACTGAAGGTGCAACTGGACACAGGAATGCATAAAGAATTATAGGACTAACCTAGATCTAAACCAGAACTAAATCCTTATAATGGTCTGGAGCAGTACTTTTATTCTTTTTTTATTTTATTTTAAAAACAATCTCAGTCAAAAACAAAGACTAAATTAATATTCCTTATCAAATTGACACTAAAGAATTTTTCACCCATTACTAAACTAAACCAGGATCAAACTGGGGCCAAATAAAGTCTCAAATAGGACTAAACTAGAAATGGACCAGGTCTTGATTGTGACCTCTGACCTCTGCGTGACTTCATGAAGGCCTCCATAGTGATGGGAGGGTGTGGGAACACGAAGAATCCTCCAATCAGAGCGCGGCTGAGGACCTGTCCGTCATCCTGTGTCCGAAGCCACTTCAAGAAACACTTCACTGGATTCAGTCTGCGATAGGGCATCTGAGAGTGGTGTCCAAAACCTGCACAGAACCAGTACTGAACCAGGACTGAACCAGGACTGAACCAGGATTGAACCAGGACTGAACCAGGACTGAACCAGGATTGAACACCAGGACTAAAACAGGACTAATCCAGGAGTAAACCAGAACTGAACCCAGGAACCACAAGCTAACTCTTTTGGTGGACGCTCTGCCACTTGCTTGTGTCCATGGAGACGCTATTACACATGTGACAACACCAGGCCAAGTTACAGGTCAGATATGTGGACATGCAGTCCCACTGACAGCATACTTTTTACCTTCTTACCTGTGCAGTAGACTTGGGTGTAGTTGGTATTTGTGAGGTAGAACTGGGTCTGATCCAGAGTCCGGACTAGTTTGAGCCGAGTGCAGACCACGACTGACACTGAAGAGAGAGACATCACCAAGATCAATATGATTTAGATGATTGTTACAATTACTGACTGAAGTGGGGCTGAACGAAAAATATCCAATTTCAATTTGTCTAACAAGGATTGCTTTATGATTACTGACAATGACATAAATTAAAAACAAGAAATATTTAATTTAATTTCCATTTAATAGACTGATACACCAGCTATATTGCTGGGTTTCAAATGACATTACAAAATTCTATGTACCAATAATATTTTATACAGAAGGGAGCAGCTTAAATGAGAATGAATGTTAAAGCCACAGCATGCAACTTTTTAGCCAAAAAACTGACTAAAATAAAAGCATGTCATGTCACAGGCCATGTGAGTTCAGTGGAGGTGTACAGGCGTTAATTTTAACAATGAGTCTTACTTGGGAGCAGTTGTCTGTGGACTTCGGGTTGTGATGTCGCAAAAAGTTTCACTGTGATTGGCAGATTGCAGCTGCCATCCTCCAACTGCAGCCAACGGTACTCTGAGAACAGCTCCGCACCCTGAGAATCTGAACAATCACAAGAGGAGGGAGGAAAAGGAAATGTCATGGCCCAATTTGAGTCACTCCATAAATAACATGACTGACGCATATTGGGTAGTGACTCTCACCTTTGGAGCGAATCCGTTCACTTCTTCCTGAAAACATCACCAAACCGATGACATCACAGATTTCCCCATGAGGCTTGTGGCGCAGCTCCGCACTGAGGACACAACAGGGAAAAACATGTAAAAGGTCTAAGGTGGATCTGAGCTGAACTGGAGCAGCTAAATTGTTCTAGATTTAGCTGACAATGTTTTTAGCTTCAATCCACAGCTGTTAGGTCCTTGATGGTTTGCATAAAATTTTCATAAAGACTGTACCTGAATTTTACTGACTATATAAAAAACAAAAAAACAAAAAAAACAAAAAACAAATATTAAATAAATGTTAAAATGGTGAGTCCAACCTGGAGCAGAAGGAGTAGGTGGGCTCTGGGGGAAGATGCTCTGGAGACACAAAGGATTCTGAGAGTTTTCTGATCTGAGATGCGGGGTTCCTGCTGTTCACACTGATCTCTGACGACACACAGAAAAACCTGCCTTAGTGCTGGTTTAGACCTGGTTCAGTCCATGTTTCAGTCCCTGGTTTAAGCCTCGTTATTGCTTTTTTAAAACCCTGTTAACTCCTGGTTTGGTCCTGGATAAAAAGGAATTAAGTGTGGTTATTTTAGTTCAGATTAAGGTCTGGTTCTGTTCTGGTTTAGTTCTTTGTTTAGTCCCATTCTAGTCCAGATTTAATTCTCATCCAGATCAGGTTAAAGCATAGCTCTATCTTATCCCAAATGAAAGGACTGACTGACGTGCAGGGATCATTCACTGCTTTCAACACTGCCCTCTGGTGATCACCGGGGACTCATAGAACCATAGTTATATCCATAACTTTCATTTTTTATCAGTTTCCTAACAATTTTGAGGTAATGTGTGCAAGTGTGAATGCATCCTTAATCCACTGAATACAGGAATAGCAGATCTATTAGGAATAATAATCGTTTCAGTCTCAGCTCAGTATTAGACCAGTTTTTGTCCAGTAAAGTAAAACTGCTTTGAGCTCACACCGATCTCGTCCTGGCGCTGTCCCTGGTACAGTGGTTTGACTCTGAAGCGTCGCAGGCTGATGATGTCACCGGGCGTGAGACAGAGGTACCAGTCCAGACACACACTGTTCCACAGAACCACACACACGCTGCCGGATCCATCACACACTTCCAGAATGGCCTAGGAACAGAGACAACAATGGCAAATAAATAATAAATAAAACATTTATTTATCCTTTATTTAACCAGCAAAGTCCCACTGAGATTTGGAATCTCATTTTCAGGGGAGTCCTGGCTCCTGAGGGGAGGAGCCTATTATATATATATTTATGTATTTTATATTTTGGGGGGAAACTGGAGCACCCAGAGGAAACTTACACAGACACAGGAAGAACATGCAAACTCATCCAATTCAGCATTTGGGAAAAAAAATGTAAAAACTGTGGAATGCTTTTCTTTTGTGTGATTTATTTGACATTTTAGTTATTTATATTAAATATAGTCTTATTTGTAACATATTGATGGAATTTGAAGGGCAAGGATTGTATTAGTGTCCATGCATTTTAAAACAGGATTATATTGGTTACCTTGAAAGGACATGCACAGTTTTGCTCCGTTCGGCCATAGTACATCAGAGCAGACTTCTGGAGGATTCGAACGATGAGCAACTTTTGGGACGTTCCACCAGAAAAACTTGAGAATCTGAGTTTGAGATCCTCTACAGACACAGACGGAGCCAAACCTGAGGAGCAAAGACCTGGGTTAGTCCCAGTTTTTACCCGGTTTAGTCCTGGATTAGTCCTGGGGCAGTCTTGGTTTAATCCTTGTCTCATTTAGTACAGTCATGCTTTTATCCGAGTTTTCTCCTAGTTTAGTTATTTTGCGAAATTATTTTAGTTTAGGATATTTCTTCTATAAATAAACTTTAACCAATACAAGAATACTAAGCCCTGCTCCATCTGAGAGAAAGACATCAACACAGTCTACTGACAAACCAACAATAAAGACCCTGGGAGGGCATCTGACACTCACTTTCTTGCTCTTCCTCATCTGACTCCTCCTCTTGCTCAGTGGGTGTGGTCCGTCTCCAGTTGTTGCCGTGGGGATCGGTGTTGTTCCATAGTGACAGAAACACACTGCGTTTGGCTCTGAGCGGCAAAACTCCAGCATCACCAACTTTAAAATGGTTACACAAATAATAAAGATAGTGGAGTTTAATATATGTTTTTATTTAAGTATGTACTACGTAGCTTTTATAATTGCTTGTCTCTATGGAGATGAATAAGTGCTCTGCCTGGAATGTTCCACAGCATGGCCGGTCTTGCATTTATTCAATTACAGGTGTTTCATTGTTCAAAAATTCCTTGATAAATGTGCATTCTTACTGTGAGCTGGGGTCACCTCTCCACAGATCTGACCTGGTAAAACTAGTCACTTGCTTGTTTCCAGGGAGATCAGTATGTTAATGTTTGTTCATTCCATCATCATAGAGACAAACAGATGATGGACCCTCAACCAGAAAAGTTGCATAGTGCACCTTAATCATTACTGAACAAGGGGAGAACATGCAAACTACACACAGACAGACCCCGGCCACTGAGCGGGAACTGAACCTTGGGCTTTGGGGTGTGAGCGAACATAAGATATAGTATTTACCATGAGAATCTGAGCCAGGACTAGACCCAAACCAGGACAATGGACCAGGATCCAGGTCCTGATGAAGACCAGAGACCTCCAGAGAGACCAGGCTGAAACTGCAAAGGTGTCAAGAGTGTTAAAGCCAGTTAAAATGCTGCTGTGCTCATTCATTCTCCTGCCTATGAAAGAATGCTCCATAAAAAAAACATACACAGACATGAACAGACCTAAGGAGCTAAGTTGTGGTTTAGTCCTGGGTTAGCAATAGTTTAGTTCTGGTGTAGTCTTAGTCTAGTCTTGGCTTAGTCTTCTTTAATTGGGCCCATTTTCTTATTCTTTGCTTAATCCTGGTTTAGTCCTGGGTGTATTGTGCTCCATAAAAAAAGATTTAGTTTTATCTCAAGTTTGTAATCACAATACTATTCTGAAAAGTCCAGCTAATACTACTACTATCAAAACTACAGTCTTCCACAATGTCCATTGCACTGATTGGTTACTCTATGTGTCAGTCAAAAGGTACATGTAAATATGGGGACATTAAAGCTGCAGATTAATGGAAGAATCTCACTCACCTGTCTGTATGAGGTACGGGTTCTGTGTCCTGGGTAGTGGAGCATTCTGGGAGCTGCAGTGCCAAGCTGGTCCTAAAGGTTGTGCTCTTTATAACAGATCCATGACAAAGAATGTGTTTTTCTACCAAACGGTTGAGAGATGGATCCAACGAGACTCGCAGAAGACAGTCACCATCAAAAAGAGTCAAATCGTAAAGATCTGGACCTAAAAATAAACATTTAGAGACAGTTCACCTGTCCATATGTGTGTGGTACTCGTGTGTGTGTGTGTGTGTGTGTGTGTGCACATTTGGCAACATGTACTGTACTCCAATCTTTTAATTATCTTAGCAAAATTTCATATCCATAAAAGTAAATGAATTAATCGTATTTTTTTTAATTTTTTTTCCCATTTTCCTTTCAGAAATTCAGTATTATAAGAAAACCATCCCGTTATCCTCTAATTCCAAAGTTGTTAAACCCCTGGAAACTTTTAAACAATTTAATTTATACATTTTAACATCTAAACATGATTTTTGGTTGTGTGTGACCTTTGGATACACTCCACTGTCGTTACGTCTATCTCCCCCTGTCCTGTCTTGTACATTTTATTTAATAAAAAAAAAAAAGCATGTACTGTACTCACTATGGAAGATGTTTTGGGGGAAGCACAGGGTTGAACTTTGGTCTCTGGTGTAACGTTCCACATCCAAAACTACCAGCTGTTCCCGACACACAACAGGAGACTGACAAAAAATAACAGGAAAAATTAACTCATAATGAGCTATTGATGATACTGTGAAAATGAATGGACTCTCATTTCACTTCCTGAGAAGGCTCGGACCACACTATTACTAACGTTACAGCAATACTACAGTGACTCTACTAGGACTTTTTTCTTTTCTTGGATGCAGTTAATGCTTACAACTAAGAACAATTGAAGGAAACATTTGTAAGACTTAGATTTTAAATCTTTGTCCCCAGATACAAGGTTAATGTGTTCAAATCAAAAAGCTTTTACAGTTTTAAGATATGTTTGTTTTATTTAGATGTGCACTGTGTGTATGCTTAGATAACGAGCTTTATATGTTTCTAAGTTTATGGTTACAGTCTATGGGTTCTTGTCCATATACTGAGAATGAGAAAAAGTTGTATGTTTATTAAGGCACTGGCATCTCAGGCTCAATTGTGATTGTAGCAAAAAAACCCAAAAAAAACAGTAAGAGCTGCATATACCTGTATACATCTCCTTTAACAAATTTCTTTGAACATATACTATATAATATTGTCATTTATCTTGATTACTATTAGCCCTGGATTTCATTAGAATGTAAATGTAACTTTTACATAGTGTGGTGGTTCCTTTACCAAGATTCCAGTCAAACTATGATAAATGTTTAACTGTTTTGATAAACTATGATATACGTTAATCCCATTTCTCTGATAAATACTTAAATAGACTTTAATTGATGTGTTGTTACCTTAAATCATACGGTTAGACAGTGTATTCGGCGTTAGATTTGTTCACATAAAGCTTGTTAATTTTAAGTAATATACGATTTGTATGATCAAATTGAAGACACAATTCTGCACAACTGCGTCATATTTACAGGTGAAATATTGAACAAATAAAGCACATGCAACACAAAAGCAAAAGTGCTATAACAGATCAAAATATAATTGTAAACTGTAATATAATATTGACAGCATAAGAACAATGTGTTGTATGATAAAGAATAAAAGAAACCTACGTTAAAACCGTAAAGAATTTAATGAAGTTTTGTGTACGGAGCACAAAACGTAACTTAGCTCGACTTCTGCACATGCAAATTAGATGATCGGGATTTAATGAAAGGTTTCGGACCTGGTTTTGACCTGAATCGGGTCTGGACTCGGGTCTGGACTCGGGTCTGGACTGGGATCGGACCAGGGTTCTGTGGAAGACGCAGCCCGCCGCCATGACAGCTGCTTGTAAACACCGCGATGCACTCTGGGAAGTAGCGGGCTTTAAAAATGGACTTAACATTTTGCGTTCATTCAAATTATGAGGGGAAAAAATCGTTTCTTACAAAATGTACCAGATAAAAGCATAATGTGTTCTTCTGAGCGAAGTAATGAAAGTGAAATAACTGTATCAGATGCCCTCCCATACGGTTTTTGGGTACAGGTAAAGTGTCTAATCTGAAATAAACTTTTGTCCATACCCACACCGTTGAAATTATTGCATTTTTATTTTGCATATTTGTAATGACTAAGATCATGTGTATGCAGAAATAATGGATTATTAGTTTGTGGTTGAAACAATTTTCTTTTTAATTATTTGTGGGGAAAAATTTTAGATTCAAGGCAAATTGTATGCTCAAGAGTAACAGCATCTTAACAACAACACACCAGACAAGACTAAAAACTATTGAAACTGATTCTTGTGGCTATTTAAAAAATAATAATAATAAAAAATACTTCCATTTGTGCTGCTGATGAAGACATTGCATTTACTTAGTGTTAGTTTGTTTAATCTGGATAGGCCCAGTAATTACAGGGATAATAACACAAACCAAGTGAAACATCCATTACCACAGCAATCTTAAAACAAATATCAGAACAGAGACAGTTGGAGTCCTCCACAAGATGTTTATTGTTATGAGACACATGTAGATTTGAACGTTGGTCAAAAAATCACTCTTCCAATTGATCATTCACTCAAAAACAAAACAAATGGAGGGAATATTACAATAAAAAGAATTTAAAAAAGGAGGTTAGAAAAGTCAGGCTTAAAAAAAATCTAGGTCATCCGGAGCGTCCAAGTCTCTATATTCAATGATGCTGCGTGGGTCTCCTCTCATCCCTCTGAAAAAACAAATATATATGAAGTGAGTGAGAGTGAGAGAAAAGGATGAGAGGGCCAGATGAGGAGGATAGAGAGGAGAGGGTCAGATGAAGCAGAGGATGCAGAGAAGAGGATCAGAAGGAGCACAAGATTCACCTGGTGCCTCTGGGTTTATTCTGAAAACTTGGGTTTCCCCTGAAAGAGTCGTAGTTTCCTCTCCCTGCTCCAAACTGTGCTGGATATGGGCCTGCCCCTTCAAGAAACAGTAAATATAAAACTTCAATGAGAATTTTAGCTGACATTTTTAACCATAGTTAAGTAGTCAAATACTGAAGTATGATATATTGATTCTGAAATTATCACGATAAATGATAATATTGAAATACATTTTTACCATGTTCACAATAACCTTTAAGGAGCATAATCAGAGTTGAGTTTTCAGTGGATTATATGAAAATGTGACCAACAATATTTATAAAAAAGTTAGCCTTTAATGTGTAAAGTAAATGAGAAGGGGTCATTACCAGGGAACCCGGGCATAGGCGGTCTCACTCCAGGAGGGTATCCCAGAATGCTTTGCTGCTGCTGAGGCGACTGACCAGGGAACGGCTGCATCGCTGTAGGAGGAGCTAGAGAGAAAAACAGAAATAAAATATTTAAGATAGATCAGTTGGTAATTGTTGACACTCTGGCTCTTTGGTAACAGTAAATTAGCTGTTCCATATTTTTATTTTGTAGTAGTAGTTCTTGTACAGTAAAGACGTTTTACTCAAAAATCCATAAATCACTGTAACTACAAATGTGAGTAAAATTCATAAAAGTCAGTTTAGCATAAAATATCTCCTTTAACCAATATCATATCTGCTACTGTCAATAACATGAGCTGCTGTCACCTGGTGGGGGGAGGGGCTTGTTCTCAGGGAGTGCGGGTCTCTTGGGGTCTAAAAGGAAATTGTTGAAGAATTGTACTTCCTGTCTGACAGCGGAAACTTTTTCTCCGTGTTTGTTGAGGATGTGTTTACGAACAAACTCTGGAGCCTGAAGAGAGACAATGGTCAAAGTTACAGAAGTCCTGGTTCAACAAGTCCAGGTTCAGTTCCTACTCCTCGAATAGGACTCTTGATACAGTGATACAGTTTGAGTTTGTCCCGTTTGTTCTATCCCAGTTTTTATATTGTTTATTTAGTCTCCAGTTTTTCTATCCTTGGGCAATGAGATGAATTCTCATGATATTCATAAATTCATGAGAATCATATAGCAGCTTTGTGGTTTAAGTGGCGCCAAAGCTGAAGTGCTTAAAATCAAATGAGCATGGCATTAGACAGGTTACGGTTCAAGTCCTGGTCCAGACCTTGAACTTCTTGCCGCTGAGGGGACAGAGCCACTTGTCTTTGCTGAGCTCCTGAGTGTTAGCAGTCAGGAACTTCTCCACCTGAAACAGAAAAGCACGTGTTAAGTTTACTGTTGTCAGTTGGGTCAAATAACAATATTGCATGTTCCAAACAACTACAGTGACATCGTATGACATGGACCTAAATAGTCTTGCCTTTTATCATACAGTACCATAGGTACATATTATGCAGTAGATAATGGCTTATTGTACCTCCTGTTCGGGGTCCTTCTTCCCCAGTCTCGCAGCCTCCTCTTCACTCACAGTTTCAGACAGAGACAAAAGAGGAGCCATGCGCTGATCACACATCTTCAGGTGCTCCGACACTGGCCAGTCACAGGGTAGAGAGGAGTATTACATCATAACTCACTGACCAATCAGGAGGCCAAAGCAAAACTAGTACTTAACATGAACTACAAAAGAGCTTAAACAAGTTTTTGGAGAACATTCAAAACACTTTCTCCATGGAGATGTCAGTTTGCCTGGAAGACCTTTATAATTTGCATAAACCCTAGACTAAAACCAGGTCTTTAAATTCTTAAGTTTCTAAAATAATCCATGTTAAACACATTGGTTAATTGCTGTGTCTCACCTTCAGCTGCAGTGATCTTCCCCACAGGCAGGGGGCCCCGCACATGCATGAGGCCACAGCGATGGGGCATCTCGTCCTCTGCAGGATACTCGCAGAAGTTATAATAATCGACAGAGTGAACAAGACGCAGGTACAAGAGCAACCTGTCCAACACCTGAGGAAACAACAAAATAGGGTTATGGTTTTTGAGCTCATGCACTGTCATTTACTGTGTAAGATGCCCTCTTTTTGTATAATAATACCTGTTTAGGTCTGGTACCTCACTTTTTTCCACGTGTCTTTGAGCAAAATTTGTGTTACACTAGTACTGAAATACTGTATAAACTGCCACTGATGTGAGTTAGCATGAAAGTTATGAAAAGCACTTATAAACTCATCGCGGAGACTGATTAAGATAATCATTTGGCTAGTAAAAAATAACTTAAGGAATAACCACTGTAAACCCTTTAAAATACTGTTTCCACTCTTTTAGACAGTAAAAATTAAGTACAGCATCTTTAATCTGCAAATTCTGTGATGTGGTTGGATTAAAATGGCTCAGTAATAAACCAAACCAGAACTAAACTGAATCTAATGAAAGCATGTTGTGTTTGTGGTCCCACCTGTAGCAGTGTCTCGTCTGTTTCCAGGGAAACCTCTGAGGGGTCTTTAGCTTCATTAGCTTCATTAGCAGCGACCCCCGTTAGCTCCTCCTCCTCCGCGCTCACCTCCTCAATCAGGTAGTCCGTGATGTTTTTCAAAACCGGGTTGGACTCCATCTGAAACAGGGACTGGGGCTCAGAACAGGACTAAACCAGGACTAAACCTGGACTAATGTGAGACCAACCTAGAATTACATCAACTTTAAGTATTAAGAACTAAATCATAAAAATCAGGACTAAATCAGGATTGAATTAGGACTAAATTAAGACTAAATTAGGACCAAACCAGGACTAAGACGAGGACTAAGCCCAGAATTAAACCAGGACGAACCCAGGGCCAACTCGTACCTCAGAGCTCCAGAGCGCCCCTTTCTGGTCGAGGGCATGTATGAGTTTGGCAGAAAGGCGGATGTCGTTTCTGATGATGGGTTTGTGGTAAGTGAGTCCGTTCACGCTGCGCACTCGTCTGCACAGGTCTCTGTTCACCACCGGGGCCAGCTCCACATCCTTCAGCTGAAAAGGGGAAATAAATAAAAGATATTTAAACGTTGTCTTAATTATCTGACTTCCTCTGTCCTCATGTACACAGTTTTAATCTGCTCTGAGCCAGGTCTACTGCTGGCACTATTACATTTTTGAAAATCCTTTGCCCAAAAATGTATCTTTCTCCTAAATTTTCAGTGTTGTTTTTGCTTCCACTCAAAATAATATTTAGTACAAGTCAAGTAAACACTGCAGCTTTCTGGAAGTGCCACGTCACCTGGTGCTCATTCCATGGAAATAGAAATCATACTTGGGAACATTCTCCAAAAAGAAACACAACTGCAATGCTCTAGGCAAATGATCCACATTTCCATGGAAACAAGAAGTAAGAATAATGTTTATGGAGACGCAAGTCCACTCACAGTAAGGACACATTTTTGAGGGTTTTTCAGTGCAATAAAGACATCCAAAGTGTCATGATTACTCAAGAAAAACACTATGAAACTATTGAAACCAATTGAACACTAGCACAAAACTTGAAATGCTTGATTCCTCTTTTAGTTTAACGCTTATTAAAGACGTATTACATACATCACTAATGCAATTTTTAAAGAAAATAATAAACAATGCGATCCCAATTAGATGCAATCCCAATACTGTTCAGCTCAAACTCCTATGAATTCCGCCATTAATCTTTTAGCCTTAAACAATCCACCTCCCCTTTGTTTACCCGAATGTTCTGCAGATTCCAGCAAGTTTCTTTAATGTTCACACTGCGATCGAATGTCACCCAGCAACGGCGGAAAAACCTGAAACATATAATCAAAGTTACTTACAGCTGACAATAAAGTACCAAACATTTTAAACATTTTTGAAAAGTGACCTCCTCTCGGGTTGAGGGTCAGACAGCGCCACCCGTAAGAATCCTGGATACCTGCGACACAACTGTAAAGACAAGACAAACAATAAATAATTTTAATTGTCATAATTAAATCATTTTCTGTCATTTTTTCTTTAACTTTTAGGTACAATA